AACACGTGGAAGGTATTTGAACGTCCTGCTTGACCCTGGACATCATCATTGTGCACCATGATTGAATTCTCCTTCGGGCACATATTTAAACACACTGCACGCAAGTGTGTAGCGTCAAGAGGAATGCCAACGGGGACCGCGGCAGCCGAAGCCGCGGTGGAAGGCAAACAGGCAGGGAGCCTAACATTGAACTGTTTTAATAACTCACTATGGGACAGCCTTATCCACAGTGATCATATGTGAAGCGGAGAATTTATATGGAAATGTTCTATTTATATGTTGAACCCCTTTCTACAATTTTATATTATGTTTAAGGTATTCATATTTTCTTACCTGCTTTTGTTGCTGTCTGCTGTTCTTGCGCGCCAATCCGCCATCTTGGTCAGCATCTAGGACTATTTCTGGGTTACAGAAGGCAAATTTATCTCTTCCTATGGGTATTTCATTTTGCCAAATGGAGCATTTGTTAGTCTTTCCACAAAGGTAATGTTTTTTGTTGTTTTTTTAGCTGAATGAAGCGTTCGTGCGTTTGTATATTCCCACGAATACAGTGTGTTCGATTGGTTTATATGAATTTCAAATTTGTGAGTTTTCCCATGAATTTGTTCATTTGTTTTTATTTGAATTCTCTTATTTGATGTGTCTTATAATGTTTCTGTTTTCTGAGCATGCTCACTTTAACAAAATTTTGGCACGAAAACAGGGGCACTTTTGAATGGACAGATTTCTAATAGTCTTTATCTTCTTTTTTTACATACAGCTGTCTTTATATCTGCTTCAAGATCTTCAAGGTGCTTTCCTTCTAGGCAATCAAGGTAAGCTTTTTAGCCTCTTTAACCAGGGAAAAGAGTGCACATTCAGCCCTACTCATTTGAATCTTTTACATTCATTGCAGTGTCCATGAATATGTTTGATCTGAGACATCAGGAGGAGGAAACAAAACATATAAATCAGACAGATGTATAGCCTGTGATGCTAAAGCCTTAGAGGGAAAGAAGGTATGTGGTGCATGCCTATCTGATGCGGCTGGTCATTCCAAAGACCTTCCTCCAGACATGTTTAAATGGATACAGATGGCAGTAGACATGCACGTGGAACATTCCTTATGTGGATTTAGAGGACATGGGTTGCTCGGACGAGATGGTATCGGTAGCAGTGGCGGATCCAGAGCCTGATCTCGGGAGGGGCACTTGTAGATTATTTAAAGAAATAATCCAGACACAATAACCACTACAGCTCAGTTTATGGTGTCAATAGTGCCGGGACCCCCTCCCACAGTAAGTAGTCAAACCGTTTAAGAACAGTTTGACAACTTACCTGAGATCTGCTGGGAAATGGGGCTGTAGTAGGGCATAGGAGCAGTGGTGTGTGTGAGTGGTGCAATGTGTAAGGGGTGCAGTGTGTGTGTGAAGGTTATAGTGTGTGAGTGAGGGCGGCAGTGTATGTCAGGGATGCAGTGTATGTGTGGGACAGTATGTGTGTGTAACAGTTGCAGTGTGTGTGTATGGGGGGTGTGTGTGTATGGGGGGCAGTGTGTGTGTGTATAGGGGCAGTATGTGTGTATGGGAGGCAGTATGTGTGTATGGGGGCAGTTTGTGTGTATGGGGGGAGCAGTATGTGTGTATGTGGGAGCAGTGTGTGTGTATGTGGGGGCAGTGCGTGTGTATGGGGCAGGATTGTGTGTGTATGGTGGGGCAGTTTGTGTGTGTGTATGTGGGGCAGTATGTGTGTGTATGGGGGGCAGTATTGTGTGTATGGGGGTTTGTGTGTGAATGGGGGCAGTATGTGTGTATGGGGGAGCAGTATGTGTGTATGGGGGAGCAGTGTGTGTGTATGGGGCAGTTTGTGTGAATGGGGGCAGTGTGTGTGTATGGGGGGCAGTATGTGTGTATGAGGCAGGAGAGTATGTGTATGTGTGGGGCAGATGGTGTGTGTGTATGAGGGGCAGTTTGTGTGTATGGGGGACGGTTGTGTGAATGGGGGGGTAGTTTGTGTGTGTGTATAGGGGGCAGTTTGTGTGTATGGGGGGCAGTGTGTGTGTATGGGGGGCAGGTTTGTGTGTGTGTGTGTATGGGGGGCAGTGTGTGTGTGTGTGTATGGGGGGCAGTATGTGTGTGTGTATGGGGGCAGTGTGTGAATGGGGGCAGTGTGTGTGTGTGAATGGGGGGCAGTTTGTGTGTATGGGGGCAGTATTGGGGGCAATGTATATGTCTGTGGCTTTTTTTAAAATAATATATATATTTTTTTTATTTAATTCGAATTTATTTTATTTAATTATTTATCCGAAATATGTCCCCCCTCCCTTCTTACCTTTACTGCGGGGAGGGGGGACATATTTCGATCCCTGGTGGTCCGGTGGGCGATTCATTGGTGGTCCCAGTGGGGAGGGTGAACTCTAGTCCCCACGCTCCCGGTAACCGTGGCAACGCTTTAAATCTCACGAGAGGAGGACCCGGAGGAGCTGCAGACTGAGCTCCGGGTCCTCTCTCTCTCTCACTCCCTCCCCTGCCGGCTCTCAGCACTGTGCCTGCCATGCTGGCAGGGGAGGGAGAGGGAGACCGGCGGATTTCTCGGGGGGGGGGCAATTGCCCCGTTGCCCCCCCCCTGGATCCGCCACTGATCGGTAGAGGCCCAGATAAACTGTGGAGAAATTAATAAAAGCTGTCAGTGTATATATATATATATATATATATACACTGCTCAAAAAAATAAAGGGAAGACTTAAACAACACAATGTAACTCCAAGTCAATCACACTTCTGTGAAATCAAACTGTCCACTTAGGAAGCAACACTGAGTGTTAATCAATTTCACATGCTGTTGTGCAAATGGGATAGACAACAGGTGGAAATTATAGGCAATTAGCAAGACACCCCCAATTAAGGAGTGATTCTGCAGGTGGTGGCCAAAGACCACTTCGCAGATCCTATACTTCCTGGCTGAAGTTTTGGTCACTTTTGAATGCTGGCGGTGCTTTCACTCTAGTGGTAGCATGAGACGGAGCCTTCAACCCACACAAGTGGCTCAGGTAGTGCAGCTCATCCAGGATGGCACATCAATGCGAGCTGTGGCAAGAAGGTTTGCTGTGTCTGTCAGCGTAGTTTCCAGAGCATGGAGGCGCTACCAGGAGACAGGCCAGTACATCAGGAGACATGGATGAGGCCGTAGGAGGGCAACAACCCAGCAGCAGGACCGCTACCTCCGCCTTTGTGCAAGGAGGAACAGGAGGAGCACTGCCAGAGCCCTGCAAAATGACCTCCAGCAGGCCACAAATGTGCATGTGTCTGCTCAAACGGTCAGAAACAGACTCCATGAGGGTGGTATGAGGGCCCGACGTCCACAGGTGGGGGTTGTGCTTACAGCCCAACACCGTGCAGGTCATTTGGCATTTGCTAGAGAACACCAAGATTGGAAAATTCGCCACTGGCGCCCTGTGCTCTTCACAGATGAAAGCAGGTTCACACTGAGCACATGTGACAGACGTGACAGAGTCTGGAGATGCCGTGGAGAACGTTCTGCTGCCTGCAACATTCTCCAGCATGACCAGTTTGGGTCAGTAATGGTGTGGGGTGGCATTTCTTTGGGGGGCTGCACAGCCCTCCATGTGCTCGCCAGAGGTAGCCTGACTGCCATTAGGTACCGAGATGAGATCCTCAGACCCCTTGTGAGACCATATGCTGGTGCGCTTGGCCCTGGGTTCCTCATAATGCAAGACAATGCTAGACCTCATGTGGCTGGAGTGTGTCAGCAGTTCCTGCAAGACTAAGACATTGATGCTATGGATGGGCCCGCCCGTTCCCCAGACCTGAATCCAATTGAGCACATCTGGGACATCATGTCTCGCTCCAAAAACCAACGTCACGTTGCACCACAGACTGTCCAGGAGTTGGCAGATGCTTTAGTCCAGGTCTGGGAGGAGATCCCTCAGGAGACCATCCGCCACCTCATCAGGAGCATGCTCAGGCGTTGTAGGGAGGTCATACAGGCACGTGGAGGCCACACACACACACTACTGAGCCTCATTTTGATTTGTTTTAAGGACATTACATCAAAGTTGGATCAGCCTGTAGTGTGTTTTTCCACTTTAATTTTGAGTGTGTCTCCAAATCCAGACCTCCATGGGTTGAAAAATTTGATTTCCATTTTTTAATTTTTATATATATACACACTGGAAGATTCAGAACAGGATAGGCCTGAATTTATTTCCAGAATTAAGAAAGAAAAGGCTGTCTTTTCCAGTCCATGATGCCCTCAAAGATCTCTTTACCTTGGAATGGAAAAAGCGCCAGAAAAAGGTCACTGTCTAGGGTAAAATGTCAAGAATTTATCCCTTTAAAAGGAGATTCTTCAGCTTTGACTATGGCTCCCAAGATTCATGCTACCATTATTAGGCTGGGAAGAAATACAGTCCTTCCTCTGGATGAAGGTGCTTCATTCAAAGATCCACTGTACCGCAGAACTGACAATGTCTATGCAAAATTATGTGGCAGCTGGTGCTGCTTCCAGACCAGCAGTGGCTTTGACCTTAAGGCCCTGACTATTTTAGAGCAAGTTTTCCACTAATTATTTTTTCAGAGCTTAAATGGGCAGCAGAATTCATTTAGGAGCCTATCTCCATTACTTCTGTGAGGTCTGGGCATAAGCAGATTTAGATCATTGGGTCATCTCTATTCGGAAAGAAGGGTATCATCTGGAGTTTCAATTTTTTCATCAGATCAGAAATTCCAAAGGATCTTCTAAGAAAATAGGCATTTCAAAGCTTCTTCAAGACAGGGTTATTACAAAGGTTCCTGACAATGAAAGAACCAGAAGCATATTGTAACAGATCCCCTATACTCCGCCTGAGTATATCCTCTGAAGAGTCTACCTGGTCCTGTAGAGTGAAAGTGTGTTATAGCTCTAGTATGTCCAAGCATCAGCCAAGAAGACTTGAAGAAGGGTAACTCAGAATGTTTTATTAGGGCCAAGTTGCCAGGTTTTATACACAGACCCCCTGCATGGGGTCTCCATTCAGTTTTACAGTTTTACAGTAAACACGCCCAGGCTCCCATGTCTGGGAGATAAGAGTGCTGGCTTTTCCTTAAACTAATAATCTCCCAGGCACTTGAGGTACCTTACAAAACACCCCAAAATACACACAAGTGTTATATCCCCGGATAGCCCGGCAAGTTGTACAGATAGTGCTCGCCTCGGTGTAGTATAGCCGAATCGCCACTAGGGTAAAATTTTGCCCAAAATAGTTCCAAAGAAAAAGGTGGTAGAGGCCTGTCCACTTTTGTGAGTTCCTATATAAACATAAACTAAATCTCCCCGGGCTCGTAAGTAGCGAATGTTCCCCCGTTCTGGAGGTAGTTTTTTTCCAGAAAAGTGCTCTTCTCGCCTGTCTGGGAACAGATTATGAGTTTTCATTATTCATTCATTATTCATGAGGCATAGTATCTGAAATAGAGTTCAATTTACTAGAGCACGTGTTTTTCGGTTACATGAATGGCAGCCACCCAGAAAGTTCCGTGAGGAGTGTGGCTTTCTATTTATTGCTGGTCACTCGTCCTCTAATGTAGTTTGTTTCATGAGGTGGTATTGCTGGTCCATTCACTTTCGGCTCTGTTCGGGATTTTGGAACTGTAGGGAGAACATCCCGCCGCTGCCACCAATGTATGCTCCTCCTAAGTATATCCGCTGAAGAGTCTCTGTGACAAACTCTGTATTTCCTTGGCCCCAGTAAATTTTTTCCTGCATTCGGTAGTTGGACCACCACTGGCTCATTTAACTTCAAAGTAAAAACAAGATTAAGTGCTCTCCCTGGGCTGCCGCAGTTTGTATAACCGAACAACCCTTGCGCTGAAAAACAGTGGCCAACCTGTCTCCCGAAAGCAGGCAGCGGAAATTGGTTGTCAAGTGTCTGGAACTAAAAGCCGTACACTCGACCTAGCAAACACTGATGATTTTGTACGTACGCCTGCTTCTATTCTTGACAAGCCAGGAGAGCACTATTTGGTGAAAAGGTACGCACGAACAAGAGGAACAATCGCTACCTATGAGCCAGGGGAACTGTTCAGTATTTTGTTAGTTTTGGGACTGCCGAAAGTGACCGACCGCTACAATTTTTCAGTGGAACTATTTTGGGCAGACTCCACGTGTGCGGTCGGTGAAAACTTTAACCCAGTGGCGATTCGGCTGTATCAGAGCACTATTTGGACATGTTGGGCGCTCAGATCCAGGGATATAGGATTTGTGGGGGTCCCTATTAATATTATGTATGTTTTAGGGTGTTTTATGTTTTATATGTTGTACCTCTAGTGTCTGGGAGATAATTATTTTATGCAAAGTACACTCAATTATCTACCAAAAACAGAGACGCCTGGGCATGTTTTACTATGTTTTTGTTGGAGACCCCATGCTGTGGGTCTGTCTATAAAAGTGGGCCATCTGGCCATAATAAAACCATTCCAGTTGTACCCTTCATCAAGTCTCGAGTGATGTTAGGGTATGCGAACTACGAAATGCTTGATTTTTCCACGACCTGCTTGGATTTTGGGAGAGTACGAACTAATGTACTATGCAAACGGGCTATAATCACTCAAGCCTCTAGCAGTTTGGGAGTGTGCGAACAAACGTACCATACGAAATACAAGTGGTTTGTTACAGTCTCCCTGGTCCCGCAGAGTAAAAGTGTGTTATAGCTCTAGTATCCCCAAGCATTAGCCAGAACTTGATGAAGGGTAAATCAGAATGTTTTATTAGGGCCAAATTGCCAGGTATATACACAAACCCCCAGCATGGGGTATCCATTTAGTTTTACAGTAAGCCCGTCCTGGCGCCTCCGTGTCTGGGAGATAAGAGAGATGGCTTTTCCTTAAACTAATTATCTGCCAGGCTGTCAAGGTACCTTAAAAAACATAAAACATCCCAAAAGAATGATTGGAACCCCCACAAGTGTGATATCCCAGATCCAAGCTCCCAAGTTGTACAAATAGTGCTTGAATTGGTGTAGTATAGCCAAATCGCCACCAGGGTAAAGTTTTGACCACTTTCAGGAGTTCCTATATAAACATAAACAAAATCTCCCCTGGTCTGTAAGTAGCAAATGTTCTCCTCATTCAGGGGGGTGTTTTCCCCGAAAAGCGCTCTTCTGGGAATGGAGCAGGGAACGGTATGATTTTCCTTGTGTTCGCGACGCATAGTGTCCAAAATAAAGTTCTAGGCATTCGACGACCAAGTCCTGCTGCCTGCATTCGGGAGACAAAATGCCCACCATTTACTAGAGCACGTGTTGTTCAGTTACACAAATGATGGCCACCCAGAAAGAGAATTTAACGAGCCAGGGGGGTGGTCAATTTTTGGTTAAACAAAAATACCTGACCAAAGGGAATTGTAGGACGTTTGGTGAAAATGGGACGAAATAAAGGTGAATTCGTAGATATAGTCTGTTCAGAGGGAGTTTAGCACATAGTCTATTTCCAGTTCGTTACACATATATTCTATCCTATGCTTGGTACCAAAGCCTGCAGGAGACCGGCATCTGATTTTGGACCTCCACAAGGTAAATCTTTGGATTGTAAGGGAGTGAAATTTTTGGCGCTTGCATTCTCTATGTGTGGCAGCTTGTGCTACCCAAACCAAAGTCTCTTCATTCTGGTAGTGTAGTTAATGTACAAAGAAGGGTGCAGGGAAGCAGCTCGTGTAGTGTTGTTCTTAGATCCAAGGCAGTATAGGGAACAAGAAGAGAGAACATAATATAGTGCAGTATATTATAAATCTAGTTAAATGTAGAAAAATAAATTGCACTTACAATTTGCACTTACAATTTATCTTCAGCTCCAGATTTATGTGCGTGGATGGAACAATCCCCGTCCGTGGATATAGTGGTTTCCCTTTAGGGGAGATAGAATGGATAACTCTTACCACGGATGCCAGCGGTACAGGTTGGGAAGCAAATCTACTTCACAGGAATTTTCAAGGCATGTGGAATCACAAGGCCTCTGATATTCCAGTGAACCTTCTGGAACTCAGAGCAACTTAGATGGCTCTTCTGCATTTCCAGGATGAAAAGGGGAAAGGGGAAATGAGTAAAGATAAGGATGGACAACCACACAGCAGTTTCATACATAAACAGACAAGGCAACTGGAACCAATCATGAATTGGGCTCAAGTAATGGTTTTGGGGCTTGTGGCTATGTATGTTCCGGGAGAAGAGAACTCCAGAGCAGATTATCTCAGTTGCCATCACCTAGACCTCAACAAATGGCAGTTACACCCGAAGGTCTTCAGTCATCTGACACAACATTGGGGCAATCCAAAAGTGGACCTTATGGCAACCGGTTCCAATTCTCAGCTTCCAAGGTTCTTCTCTTGAGAATTTCATCCCAGGGCCTTGGCAATCAACACATCTAGGGTTAGGGGTAGGGTTAAGGGTAGGGTTTGAGTTAAGGAATTTCCGAAGTCCCGAATTTCAGAAGTCCAGAATTTCAGAAATGCCGGACCTAACCAAAGTGCCGAATTGACGAAGTCCTGAATTTTTGGAAGTGCCGAACCGAACCGAAGTGCCGAATTGCTGAAGTGCCAAATTTCGGAAGTGCCAAACCAAATTTTTTGCCCATGGACATCCCTACTTGACAATAGATGCTCTATCTGTCCAGTTGTCATTCAGACTAGCCAATGTCTTTCCTCTAATTTTGGAAAACTCTAAAGAAGATCAGACAAGAATGTCTTCAGGTTGTGGAGTCATTCCATTCTGGCCACGAAGACCCTGGTTTCCTCTCCTCATGTCAATGTCTGTAGCCCCTTGGTGGAAGCTCGCAAGGATTCCAAATTTTCTTATTCAAGTTCGTACAGTCCACCCAACACCAAACAGTGTACACTAGACGGCTTGGTGATTGAACACCTAACATCTAGGGGTTTCTCTCAATCAGTGGTTTAGACCTTGTTACAGTCAAGAAGACAGTCAACATCTACTACATACCACCATATTTGGACAGCTTTCATGGATTAGGCCAAGACAGATAATATATCATGTTCATCTCCTACAGTTTCAAACATCCTTGATTTTATCCAGACTGGTCTGGACAGGGGTCTCAGCTTGAGTTCTTTGAGTTCAGGTTTCAGCTTTATCTGCATTAACTGGTAGTAGATGGACATTGGATGCCATGGTAGCCCATTTTCTCACTACAGTTAAGAAAACCTTATATTAGACCGCTTTCCACCTCATTCGTTTTTGCCTTTGGTGTTAAGAGCCTTGTCCATTTGAGCCTTTGCAGGAAGGCTCAGACTGACTTCTTTACCTTAAATGTCTTCTCTTAGTGCCAGTCACTTCTGGGAGAAGAATTTCTGAAATGCAGGCCTTATCAGCAGAAGAACCTTATACCATCTTCTACCCTGACAAGGTGGTTCTTCGAACAATTCCGGAATTTAGGCCAAAGGTAATCTCAAATTTCCATCTTAATGAGGAGATTATATTGCCTTACTTTTTTCAAGATGCCAGGAATCAAGAAGAGGAAATATGGCACCCGCTTGATGTTGCCAGATGTCTTACTATTTATTTATCTAAAACTGCTGAGTAGAGACAATCTTCCAGGCTTTTTGTAAACTTTTCAGGTCATAACAGGGGAATGCCAGCTTTAAAGTCAACTCTAAGTAGATGGATCACTTTGGCTATTTCGGCTGCTTATCAGGCTTAATTAGTTCCCGTTTCATCTGGGTTGAGGGCACACTCTACTAGCTCAACGCCATCTTCTTGAGCAGCTGCAACTAACACTCCAACTGATAGCATTTGCAGAGCAGCCACTTGGGCATCAGCTAATACCTTCCTTATGCATTGGATGTGAGAACCCAAAAATCTACTGAATTTGGCAGAAATATTCTTTCTTCATTAACCTAATTTCACCCTGTGTTACTTTTTGAAAATAAATAATGTGAGCATTGAAAGATTTGTTGAGAGATTTTTATTCCCCCTCATTCCTTTATAGCGTGGGTATTACTCTATTGCCATGGATATAACCAGGAAAAGAAAACTACGGTGAGTATAAATAAATTTTCTGTATTGTTTTTTCAAGTAGCTGTAGAGATATTGCAGTACAAAGACTCATGGCTCTTGTCAGAGATATTATATAGGAAGGAAATACGTATATAGTGTGTGATGAAAATAATACATGCAAAATAGCAAAAACGCAATTTAGCTAATATGCCAGGAGGTGCTAAAATGAAGAAACAATATGTTTTTCTCAAAGTATGACCCTGTCAGCTAAAAGAGCCAGACAGTGAGTAAATACATGTGTCAATAAAATATATCCTAAGTTAGCAATTTACATATATATAAACTATATACATAAATAAGTTTAAATATCCTGAAATTGCCATAATGCTTAGGTGAACAGGGACACAATGGTTTATTGGTTTGAGACCAAAGTCCACATTGAGAGAAAAGAAGTAACGCTGACCAAAGCATCTTGAAATAAAACATTCCTAAATTGTCCTGAACAAGAATTAACCCTATATGATTATAGCTGGTAACACTCCTGACATAGACCAACAGCTCCACCTGCCATTTAAGACATATAGAAATATATAGTGGGACCTCGGTTTTCGAATTTAATGCATTCTCTGGGACATTTCTTATTGCCAAACATTTGTAAACCTCAACGCGGTTTCCCATAGGAATGCATTGAAAACCAATTAATCCGTTCTGGAGGTCAGAAAAAAAGTAAAAATGAGCTGGCATGGAACCCAACCCACAATGCAGAACACATAATAAAATGCATGCAAACTACGAAGCTTAGCTCCCTACCTTTCAACTGCTTGAGAAATGCACCAAAAAGTCCCAAAACAACTGAAAATAATTTCCAGATTGGCTCCAAAACTCGATGCAAAAGCCGCTCCAACACCTCCACACTCGACGCCACGTGCTAACCACAGGTTCCAGCATGCGCGGGGGGGGGGGAGGTGCTATAAATCTCCCAGGTGCAATGCATCCTGGGGAAACTTGCTTTACATTGCGAAAAAAAATTGTAAACAGAGGCATTATTTTTAATTGATTTTCATTTGTAAACCGAAAATTAGGTTAACTGAGGCGTTTGTAAACCGAGGTCCCACTGTATATCAAAATTACATCAATAACCATTAACATAATGACTTGCCCCAAAATTTCATTGGACCAGATCAGAAGACTAGCAGATAAGGAATGACATAAAACTAGTGATGTCGCGAACACTAAATTTTCGGTTCGCGAACCGCCATAGACTTCAATGGGCAGGCGAATTTTAAAACACACAGGGACTCTTTCTGGCCACAATAGTGATGGAAAAGTTGTTTCAAGGGGACTAACACCTGGACTGTGACATGCCTGAGGGGGGATCCATGGCAAAACTCCCATGAAAAATTACACAGTTGATGCAGAGTCTGCTCTTAATCCATAAAGGGCATAAATCACCTAACATTCCTAAATCACAATGGATATGGATTGACACCTTACATATGACATATTGACACCTTGACATATGGATTGACACCTGTCCTCAGAGCCCCTGATACACACTGACACAGAGCAGAATAGAGATTGTTCCTCCTACATAGGGTCACTTGGCAGATATGGATTGACACCTGTCTTCAGAGATCATGATACACACTGACACAGAGCAGAATAGAGACTGTTCCCCTACATAGGGTCACTTGGCAGATATGGATTGACACCTGTCCTAAGGATCTCTGATACACAATGACACAGAGCAGAATAGGGACTGTTCCTCCTACATAGGGTCACTTGGCAGATATGGATTGACACCTGTCTTCAGAGATCATGATACACACTGACACAGAGCAGAATAGAGACTGTTCCCCCTACATAGGGTCACTTGGCAGATATGGATTGACACCTGTCCTCAGAGCCCCTGATACACACTGACACAGAGCAGAATAGGCACTGTTCCCCCTACATAGGGTCACTTGGCAGATATGGATTGACACCTGTTCTCAGAGCCCCTGATACACACTGACACAGAGCAGAATAGAGACTGTTCCTCCTACATAGGGTCACTTGGCAGATATGGATTGACTGTTCCCCCCTACATACACACTATTGGATCTCGCAAAACTTACCAAGGATCTAAATCATGTTCCCGTATCGTACACGAAAAACCTACTCATACAAAATCTCTTCCCAAACGTCATTTCGTTCAAAGTGGAGAGAATGTTAAAAAAATATATTTTTGTTCTGAGTGTGAGAAATGCTTTTCAGCCGCTTCTAATCTTAAGCATCATTTGAGGAGCCATACGGGAGAGAAACCTTATTTTTGTGGGAAATATTTCTCTCAAAGAGGCCACTTTTATATTCAATCTATAACAGTGAAAAAAGTTTTTTGGTTTTAAATGCAAGCTATTGTGACAACAGTGAGTGAGTGGTAGCACTGGGCACAGTATCCACTGTGAGCCTGACACACCCGCTTTGAGACAACTAACTGCTATTCAATCTATAACAGTGAAAAAAGTTTTTTGGTTTTAAATGCACGCTATTGTGACACCAGATATGAGTGGCAAAGTACACTGGCAGAGGTCTGCAGAGCACACGCTGAAGGCCTGACACCCGCTTTAAGGACACTGACTGCTATTTGCTTACACTGAAAAACTTTTTTTCTTTGTAAAAGCACGCTATAGAGACACCAGATATGAGTGTCAAAGTACACGGGCAGAGGTCTGCAGAGCACACGCTGAAGGAGGCCTGACACCCACTTTAAGGACACTGACTGCTATTAGCTTACACTGAAGAACTTTTTTTCTTTGTAAAAGCACGCTATAGAGACACCAGATATGAGTGGCAAAGTACACGGGCAAAGGTCTGCAGAGCACACGCTGAAGGAGGCCTGACACCTGCTTTAAGGACACTGACTGCTATTAGCTTACACTGAAAACCTTTTTTTCTTTGTAAAAGCACGCTATAGAGACACCAGATATGAGTGGCAAAGTACACGGGCAAAGGTCTGCAGAGCACACGCCGAAGGAGGCCTGACACCCGCTTTAAGGACACTGACTGCTATTAGCTTACACTGAAAAACTTTTTTTCTTTGTAAAAGCACGCTATAGAGACACCAGATATGAGTGGCAAAGTACATGGGCAGAGGTCTGCAGAGCACACGCTGAAGGAGGCCTGACACCCAGACGCTTGCAGACAACTAACTGCTATTCAATCTATAACAGTGAAAAAAGTTTTTTGTTTTTAAATGCAAGCTATTGTGACACCAGATATGAGTGGTGGCACTGGGCACCGTATCCACTGTTAGCGTAACACAACCGCTTTAAGGACACTGGCTGCCATTCAATCTATAACAGTGAAAAAAGTTTTTTGTTTTTAAATGCAAGCTATTGTGACACCAGTGAGTGGTGGCACTGGGCACCGTATCCACTGTGAGCTTAACACACCCGCTTTAAGGACACTGACTGCTATTCAATCTATAACAGTGAAAAAAGTTTTTTGTTTTTAAATGCAAGCTATTGTGACACCAGTGAGTGAGTGGTGGCACTGGGCACAGTATCCACTGTGAGCCTGACACACCCGCTTTAAGGACACTGACTGCTATTCAATCTATAACAGTGAAAAAAGTTTTTTGTTTTTAAATGCAAGCTATTGTGACACCAGATATGAATAGTGGCACTGACTGGGCAAATGGTCACAGTATCCACTGTGAGCCTGACACAGAAGCGGGCAGCAGTGGCAGACAACTAACTGCTATTCAATCTATAACAGTGAAAAAAGTTTTTTGTTTTTAAATGCAAGCTATTGTGACACCAGTGAGTGAGTGGTGGCACTGGGCACAGTATCCACTGTGAGCCTGACACAGAAGCTGGCAGCAGTGGCAGACAACTAACTGCAATTACATTACACAGAAAAAAAAGCAGACTGATGTTCTAGCCCTAAAAAGGGCTTTTTGGGGTGCTGTCCTTACAGCAGAGATCAGATGAGTCCTTCAGGACTATAGTGGACACTGTATACCCTAACCTAGCTATGCATTTCCCTATCTAATCAACAGCAGCTACACTTTCCCTCCTCTCACTAAGCATGCAACTTGAGAATGAATGTAAAATGGATGCCTTCCAGTAGGTGGGAGGGTCTGCTAGGGAGGGTGTGCTGCTAATTAGCTGGAATGTGTCTGCTGACTGTGAGGTACAGGGTCAAAGTTTACTCAATGATGACGAATAGGGGGCGGATCGAACCGCGCATGTGTTCGCCGTCCGCGAACACGCTATGTTCGCCAGGAACTGTTCGCCGCATCACTACATATAACCCCAAAAGATACACACAGAGACACACACAGAAGGAGAAAGGAGATAGTACACAAGAGACGGATAAGAAGACATCTTGAAACAATCTTAAAAATAACATCCAGAACATCTATCAGTAAATATAAGCCAATTATACTAGTTATAAAATTACATAGCTAAAAGCTAATATTTTCAGCTAAAAGCTGATATGAAATCCGCCAGATTGGGTTTTATGATAGCTCATGATAAAGATTGATATCTCAAACTGCAGACTGGAATATTAATCAAATCATGAAATAAAACAAATAGAATATCAAGAGTTACCCAGAGGAATATTACTCCTATAACAATCTAGGAAATATTTATCAGATAAGAACTGTTTTAGCTAAACCTGCAAGAATTTAGTTACTGGATGAATTAATCATAATTAATTACTCTAAAACAGCACTGAGCTGGTTAACATTTCTGTGGCTAGCTGATACGACATTGTCATAGAACTCCGTATCTGCCGTCACATTCTATGTTTCAGCTAATCTAGTGTTTACAATAAACAAACAATCCATATGTGTAAATTGTACTATGAAGTAAAAAGTTAAGATTGTATTTTAAGATCCTGAAAAATTCTGTCTTAAAATTATAATAATCCATATGCTGATAAACTCATATGGTTCCCTATAATGTAACACAAAGTAACATTCTATTTGCTGATCGTCTCAATCAATAGTGTATGAAGAACATATTCCATATACTAACCCAGTTGATTTAATTTGTCATGAATGAACAATCCTATCACTCTAAAGAGCTTAAAATTGCTTTACTGAGATTGTGATACTGTACTATGCCATATCTTGTTCAATATTATTGAAAAACTATTCACTAATTACCACGTATAATGACACTTTTTTTTTATTCTTTATTTTTGTTATTCATGGGAACAACGTATGCCATACAAAATACACTGAGTAAATAGCCAGTAGTTGGTCTGTCAGACAGATGAAGTGTACATATAAGACAGCACATTTTTGTTTTATAATGAAGTAAAGACATGAAGAGCGCGGTTCACATTTGAGTGGTCACCATATGAATAAAACTCTGACATATTATATGCACCACAGTCAATATAGTATTCAATAACTGTAGAAACTAATAGGCTTGAGTAAGGCAGTGTAATGACTAGCAGGTATAACTGGAAAGAGTAATGATGCAGGGAACAAACTGAGATCATGGTGGTATCACAGGTTTACCCTAAGGTAATCATATGAGCAAATGTGGTCATTTGAGTTACAGTTAACACTTAAGGCCACTGGACCCTGGCGCGCACTAGCGCTTATGCAAGGGTACTCCATACTAGGGATAGTGTTTGTCTAGGTACGAAATATAAGGGAACACAATAAACATAATTTAAAACCGATAGCAGAAAACTGAAAACATGAAAAGCAATGAGGAGTCATCTGGGTATGCAGCTGCCGCCGCTGTCTGAGAAAGACTCGGAATATAGGTGCAGTCCAAGGATCATCCAATTCCTGCAATCGGCAGGGTTGATGCGTGTGCAGGAACGGTCGGGAAATATGCTTTAGCGGCACGGCATATCTGTGCTTTCCTCCAACTCCACGCTTGAATGAGGGCTGGCATCCCTTGTTTGCAGGCTTATTTCCTCTTTGATACCAAGGTTATCTTCCCTCTGGGACGAGCAGGGGGTCTGGATGGTCTATGCAGCTTTCTGTGGTTGCTCCTCCGCTTCGGTGGTTGATGCTTGGTGGGGAGGCCTCGAGTAGCTCTCGGCCCGGGTTGGTGGGTGTCTTTGCACCTGGGAGCTTGCTGTGCACTTTCTCTCTGTGAAGGCACACTCCAGTCCGGTGGCTTGTTGATGTGCGCAGCCTTTTGCCACTCTGGCTCAGAAGCTTGGGTACCCTGCTCTAACTTCTGCCAAAAGTGTTGGAATATTGCATCCAGGCGCTGTGAGGTGAGGTCACCTGAGTAACATTGATGCGCTTGTATGCCCTGTTGGTCGGACAATAGGGCAGTCGCCATCTTGATTACCCAGTGCGGGCTATGTGTTGCTTATTTCCATGTGAAGTACAGAGTAGATAAGGTAGTTAACTCCAGTGTGTCCAGTGGGGACCAGGATATCCCCCACCGGTCCAGGGGGGGGGGGAGGCAGGAGTATAGCTGGGCCAAACTGGGGTCTGTGAAGTGAGTAGATTGGCCGCCTCTCCCCAGCTCCGACGTCAGTAGGCCGCAACAGAAAGACAAGGTTTCCGATAGTGTAGAAACACCGTTTGAGGTTCAGGACAGTCAGCAGGAGTCCCCTGACTCGCATGGTGCCCTTGCTGTTCTTTAACCGAGGAATATCACCTCAGATGTATTAAAACTCTTAGGCGCTCAGGCACAGCATGTCTGCGCTGCATGGAAGCCTAGCCTGGCCCCACCCCACCTATAATTACACTTATTGACAAAAATAAACATTATCATTTTTATAAAACGTTGTGATATTAATGTATGAAGTATTAAATTCGAACAACGTACTCCAGGTCTCGAGTTAAAATAGTGAGTAACTCTTCACTTCAAATAAGAATTGGAAATAGCGCCAATAAAATATCAACCCCTGATATTTTAATAAAGATTAAAAATATAATTTTTATGAAAATATTATTTTTAATTAATGAAAATGAATTAATAATTAATCCCCATAAATATCCTCACACTCTACATTGCTAGTTTTACCGTACAGCTTGTTGGGTTTGTTACACTTTGATAAATCTTTCTATATATTGTAAACATTGTAGATGCAATAATTTTGTTTGTGTGTGTATCTACATGTATTTTTTCATGTTGTCTTCTTGTTTAATTAGTTGTATTTCGGATGACCAGATATTTATCTGTCCCTATACATACTGCTATTGTGTGAATGATTCAATTTATATCGGGAAGTTATTCCCTCTTATGTCATGAGGTGTAGGGGGGCATATATTTAATAGAGCATGTTTCATTTAGTAGAAATATATACTGACCAGACACAACAATAATACCACCTGCCTAATATCGTATAGGTCACCCTTGTGACCTTTAAACATTTCCTGTGGTATCTGGCAACAAGACATTAGCAGCAGATCCTTTAAGTCTCCCATAGATTGGATTTGTTGTTTCAGCACATCTCACAGATGCTCATTTGATTGAAATCTGTGGAATTTGGAGGCCAATACAACACCTTGAACTCTTTGTCATGTTCCTCAAACCATTCCTGGACAATTGTTGCAGTGTTACAGAGTGCATTATCCTGCTGAAAGAGGCTACTGCCATCAGGGAACACCAATGCCATAAAGAGGTGAACGTGCTGTTCGGCCGCACAGGACTCCGTTTAGCAGGGGGCGCCCTGCGGCCGACACAGCTCACACATGGCCGGCTACCCAGGTGGAGGATTTCATTATTCTCCACCCGGGATTAGAAAAAAAAAAACTCCCAGCATGCGGTGGGGCTTACCTTGATGCAGGGTCGGAGCTAAAATGACAGCTGCATGGGAAGCAGAAAGGAGTCCCTGCTTTACCAACAACCAGACCCCAGGAGCTGCCTGCACTGCCTTCACTCCTCCCAGACCATACAGGACAGAGGTAACCATGTATTAGCCTGTTTGTGAGTGTGTGTGTGTGTGTGAGTATGTGCAACTGTCTGCCTCTGTGTGTGCGAGTACCTGTGTGTGTGGCTGTCCGCATGTAACTGTGTGTGTGAGAGAGAGACTGAATGTGTGGCTGTATGTATGTGACGGTCTGTCTGTATCTGTGTGGGGGGGGGAGAGGGGGCGCTGCGAAGATTTTTCACACAGGGCGCCTAAGGCCGGCCCTGGGTGTACATGGTCTGTAACAATCTCTAGGTAGGTGGTATATGTCAAAATAACATACACATAAATATGAGGACCAAAGTTTCCCAGCAAAACATTGTCCAGAGCATAACACTGTCTCTGTCGGCCTGCATACTTCCCATAGTTCATCCTGCTGCAATCTTTCTGCCAAGTAAACGATGCAAACATCCACCTGATCTAAAAAAAAAAACAACACAAACGTGATTCATCAGAGCAGGAAATCTTCTTCCATTACTCCATAGTCCAATTCTGACACTTACATGCCCATGTTAGGCACTTTCAGCGATGAATAAAGGGCACTCTGACGAGTCTGTGGCTCCACACACAGCAAACTGTGTGGTACTGTGTTTTGACACCATTCTCTCATAGTCAGAATTATGTTTTTCAGCAATTTGTGCTACACTAGCTCTTCTAGAAACATAGAATGTGACGGCAGATAAGAACCCTTCGGCCCATCTAGTCTGCCCAATTTAAAAAAAAAATACTTTCATTAGTCCCTGGCCTTATCTTATAGTTAGGATAGCCTTATGCCTATCCCACGCATGCTTAAACTCCTTTACTGTGTTAATCTCTACCACTTCAGCTGGAAGGCTATTCCATGCATCCACTACCCTCTCGGTAAAGTAATACTTCCGGATATTATTTTTAAACCTTTGTCCCTCTAATTTAAGACTATATCCACTTGCTGTGGTAGTTTTTCTTCTTTTAAATATAGTCTCCTCCTTTACGGTGTTGATTCCCTTTATGTATTTAAATGTTTCTATCATATCCCCCCTGTATTGTCTTTCCTCCAAGCTATACATGTTAAGTTCCTTTAACCTTTCCTTGTAAGTTTTATCCTGCAATCCATGAACCAGTTTAGTAGCCCTTCTCTGAACTCTCTCTAAAGTATCAATATCCTTCTGGAGATATGGTCTCCAGTACTGCGTACAATACTCCCAGTGAGGTCTCACCAGTGTTCTGTACAATGGCATGAGCACTTCCCTCTTTCTACTGCTAACACCTCTCCCTATACAACAAAGCATTCTGCTAGCATTTCCTGCAACTCTATTACGTTGTCTGCCTACCTTTAACCTCTTAAAACCGGAGGGCGTACTATTACGCCCTATTCTAAGCGGCTCTAAACGCCGCAGGGCGTAATAGTATGCCCTCCATTTTTTGTTACTTACCCGGTCGCTGGCGATCCCACGCTGGTGATCGCGGTCGGGGGACTCACCTGGGATCCCAGGATCCTGTCTCCTCCGCCCCCCCCTCCGGCCATGTGAGAGTGAGGTCCTTGTGAGGACCTCCCAATCACATGGCCGGGTTAGCTGGCTGCTGCATTGCCAGCAGGGGGACTGCCCGTAATGACAGTTAGTCCCCCTGCTGGCTGGAAATCAAATCAAATAATGTTAATCAGTGTAAAAAATAAATACATGATATACTTAGATCACACATATATATATATATATATATATATATATATATATATATATATATATATATACACACACACACACACACACACACACACTGTCTAGGTGTATTTTACTATTAATATATATATATATATATATAAATATCAAATTACACATAGACTGATACTGATTAAATATATATATATAATTATTGTTATATATATATATTTATATATATTAAAAAATATGTAAATACGTTAAAAAATAAAATAATAATTAAAAATAAATAATTAAAATATATATAGATGTGTGTTATTTCGTTCTAACTGTATTGTGATAATATATATATTTATATCAAAATACACGTAGAACGAAATAATATATATATATCTATATACATAAATATATACGTATATATCACTATATATATATACACCTATATATAAATAAATAAAAATATATATATACACATACGTATATATATATATATATATATATATTAATTCTACATATATATTTATGTAATATTTTTACATAATTAGGTATTTTTTATTAATTACAATTAGCGGGACCTGCCTGAAAACCCATGCCGAAAGTATAGGGAATTTAATTTGCAAACACTATATTTAACCCTATAACTTTCCAAGACACCATAAAACCTGTACATGGGGGGGAGAGGGGGTACTGTTTTACTCGGGAGACTTCACTGAACACAAATATTAGTGTTTCAAAACAGTAAAATGTATGATAATGATGATATCGCCAGTAAAAGTGACTTTTTTTGAATTTTTCACACACAAACTGCACTTACACGGACGATATTATTGCTGTGATACTTTTTATTGTTTTGAAACACAAATATTTATGTTCAGCGAAGTCTCCCGAGTACAACAGTACCCCTCATGTACAGGCTTTATGGTGTTTTCAAAAGTTACATCCTCAAATATAAGGCTTGTGTTTCATTTTTTTCACATTAAAATTTGCCAGATTGGTTACGGTGCGTTTGAGACCCTATGCTAGCCCGAGAATGAAAATTACCCCATGATGGCATACCATTTGCAATAGTAGACAACCCAAGGCATTGCAAATGGGGTATGTCCAGTCTTTTTTAGTAGCCACTTGGTCACAAACACTGGCCAAAATTGGCGTTTTTTTGCATTTTTCACACACAAACAAATACTAACGCTAACTTTGGCCAGTGTTTGTGACCAAATGGCTACTAAAGAAGACTGGACATACCCCATTTGCAATACCTTGGGTTGTCTACTATTGCAAATGGTATGCCATTATGGTTGTAAATTTAATTCCTGGGCTACTATACAGTCTCAAAGGCAAGTTAATCAATCTGGCGAATTTCAATTTCAAATGTAACGTGCTATATTTGACCCTGTAACTTCCCAAAACACCATACATAGGGGGTACTGTTTTACACGTGAGACTTTGCTGAATACAAATATGTGTATTTTATTGCAGTAAAAGCAAACAGTATTATGACATTGACAGTTAAAATGTCATGTAGAACTAAAAGAATAACAACATTTCTTATTTTCTCCTATTTTTTTCATATTAAATTATGTTTCATAGCTAAATATTTGATATTAAATGAAAGCCCTGTTTTCCCTGAATAAAATTATATATAATAAGGGTGGGTGCATTTAATATGAAAGAGGTGAATTACGGTTGGACAGACATTTAGCGCAAATGCCAGGTTTTGTTTACAACGTGTACATCAGTCCTTATGGGGTTAAGTCAACAGAAATAATCACCCCTAAATCTTTCCTCAGATGTTGAGGTTAGGACTATCAAATATTCTGTACTCTGCCCTTGGGTTTTTACATCCAAAATGCATTATCTTGCACTTATCCACATTAAATGCCAGTTGCCACAACTCTGAATATTTTTCTTGTTTACCTAAATCATTTGGCTTATCCCTCTTGGAACATCAACCCTGTTACATATCTTAGTATCATCAGCAAAAAGACATACCTTACCATCAAGACCTTCTGAAATATCACTAATAAAAACATTAAAGAGATTGGGTCCAAGTACAGATCCCTGAGGTACCCCACTGGTGACAAGCCCATGCTTCAAATATACTCCATTGACTACAATGTGTGATTTGGACACCCATGACCCTGACAGCTGTTGTCTTACCTGCACCACTTTTGGTAAAACAAGGTATGACACGCTGAGATTGCACGCTCACAGGATGTAGTCGTCTGTAGGATGCCTCCCCGGGTGGAGTTGCGGGGCTAAATAAGACTTTCCTTTTCCTGCTCTTTATGAACTTCCAGGAGCCAAACGAAACAGGAATCAGGTAAGGTGTAAAAATTAATTTATTTTACACCTTACCTGATTCCGGTTTCATTTGGCTCCTTCGGAAGGGCCACCTTGGAAAGCTGATTTTCAAGTTAACCCCTTAACGCTGTTACAGCGTTCTATGCTGTCCCGCATTTAAAGGACTTTAAAGCAGTTGCGGCGGCATAGAACTCCGTAACGGCTTAAGCCCCCAGGAGCCACCAACTACTCACCTTCGCCGTGATCCTCTTATGGAGGGCTGCCTGACAGCCCAGGCAGCCCTCCCCCGGCAAATCAGGCCCCCGGGGGCCATGTGATCGCTCTCAAAGACCGATCACATGGCCCCTTATAGCTGGCTGTGGATCTGCCAGCAAGGGGACTGTCTGAAATATCAGACAGTCCCCCTGCTGGTGGGAAGTAATAAAAAAAATATTAAACATGTTTAAAATGAATTAAAAGTATTTTTATTTATATAATATATATATATATATATATATATGCAACGTCATACGGAATGTATTTTAATATTAATATAAAGTACATATATTAGCATTAAAATACACGTAGAATGACGTTACATATATATATGTATACATTATATATATACATACACATATATTCTCTATATATATACACGTATAAGTACAATAATAAATAAATAAAATAAATAAAATATTGAAACAAAATTTAATATAAATTATATATTCATATGTAATTTCATTCTATTTTGTTATTAATATATATATATTGGTAACAAAATACACTTAGAATGACATTCTATATATATCTATATATAAAATACAAATAACCGCATATATTATATATATATATATATATATATATATATATATATATATATATATATACACACACATATAATTACATAAAAGATTACATTAGTATACACGTAGAATTTAAATACCTATAAATGCATATATATTAAAATTCTATGTGTATATTTAAGTAATCTTTTAACATAATTATTTGATTTGATTAATTAAAATTTGATTGGCATGCCTGACAACACAGGGAGAAAGTGCAGAGAATTTAATTCACAAGCACTATATTTGACCCTGTAACTCTCCAAGACACCATAAAACCTGCACATAAGGGGTACAGTTTTACTCGGGAGACTTCGCTGAACTCAAATATTAATGTTTCAAAATGATAAATTCTATTACAACGATGATATTTTAAAAAAAAGTTAAGTTTTTTTGCATTTTTTACAAACGACACTTTTTTTCAAATGGTATGCCATTATGGGGGTAATTGTCATTCCTGGGCTACCACACTGTCTTCAAAGGTAACATTACTAATCTGGCAAATTTCAATTTGAAAATGGAACGTTCTATATTTGACCCTATAACTTTCCAAAACACCATAAAACCTGTTAATGGGGGTACTGTTTTACTCGTGAGACGTCACTGATTACAAATATGTGCATTTTTTTGCAGTAAAACCTAACAGTATTATGACATTAACAGCTAAAATGTCAGACGGAAATACAAATTTAAAAATTTATTTTCTCACTTTTTTAAAATTGTATTCATAATAAATTAAGTTCCATATATGAATAGTTAATGATAAATTAAAGCCCCATTTCTCCTGAACAAAATGATATATAATAAGTGTGGGTGCATATAATATGAAAGAGGTGAATTACGGTTGGACAGACATATAGCGCAAATTCCAGTTTTTGTTTTGATCAGAACGTGCACTATTGACTCCATCCTGAAGGGGTTAAGTTATATTTTGTGTTGTTTTGCTTAATACTAACCACTCCATACTAGGAACACCGCAGAAGACTTGCCATTAAGTTGTTAAGCCATCACTATATGGCACTCAGATCTTTTCACTTGCAAATTTCTCCTGCTTCCAAAACATGAAATTCAAGTACTGACGGTTTGTTTAATACATGCCATCGTAATGACAGTTATTCATATTACCCGTCAGTGGCTGTTTGGACACCTTGAGCCGTGTGTTCACTAATTATTCTTTTATTTTTCTTCCCTTCTGTAAAAATTGTTTAAACTTCAAATCAAATATCAATAAAAGATACTTAGCACCATAGAGTGTTTTTGGTAAACACATCAGGTCCCTGCTCAATCCTGAGCCATTTAGGAATTAAAGGAACACTACACTGCCCAAATACAAAACCAATAAAAAAAAAACACCTCACTGTTTAGTAGATATGAACATATATATTTTTTCATTGGAGGAAGATCTAAAAACAGCTTCCAAAAGCTGTACATTTCTTGTCTGCAGAAAGTCTGGGCTTGGGAGGGCCTGCAAAGGATGCAGACAATGCACCTCAATTATAAATCTTTACAAGACTCTAAGCAATTGTCTGCCGCTTGAGTTATGCTCCATTGAGCTAAACAACTAAGAAGTAACAGGACCGGTCATCGGATTGACAGCCAGGGAGTGTAACAAGGTTTATAAGTTTAGAAAAGTGCCAATTTATATTGAAACCTGCATTTTTTGTAAAATTAGGAAATAAAAATAGATTACACACTTTTCAAACATTAAGCACTTCAGCAAGTTAAAGGACCACTATAGGCACCCAGACCACTTCAGCTTAATGAAGTGGTCTGGGTGCCTGGTCCAGCTAGGTTTAACCCTTTTTTCTATAAACATAGCAGTTTCAGAGAAACTGCTATGTTTATAATAGGGTTAATCCAGCCTCTAGTGGCTGTCTCATTGACAACTGCTAGAGGCGCTTCTCACTGTGAAAATCATTGAGAAGACGCCAGCGTCCATAGGAAAGCATTGTGAATGCTTTCCTATGGACTAGCTGAATGCGCGCGGCTCTTGCCACGCATGCGCATTCAGCCGAGGAGGAGAAGAAGGAGGAGGGCTCCCCGTCTGGCGCTGGAGAAAGAGGCAAGTTTAACCCCTTCCTCCCCCTAGAATCTGGCGGGAGGGGGACCCTGAGGGTGGGGGCACCCTCAGGGCACTATAGTGCCAGGAAAACGAGTATGTTTTCCTGGCACTATAGTGGTCCTTTAAAGTGCTTTAGAGGTCTGGACTGTCCCCTTAAAATTACTTTGATTATGCAGCCCTAGCCACAGCTCCCCCTTGGCTGAGACTCACATAGCCTCTCTGCCCTAAAAAGTAACTAAATGTTTTTCGCTTCCCTCATTGCACATTGTGTGTAATTTAGAATTTCCTACTCTTACTCTCTTAATAGCGCTCCAGAGCCTCATGCATATGATTAAAGTTCAATTAACATAACAGTAGGTAAGAACTTCTAAAATAACACTGTGCTGTAAAATCTGATTGAAACTTAAACCATTTTTTATGGAGGCTGTGTGAATAACAAACAGGGAAGTGGTGGCTAATACTGCATAAACAGAAACAGAAGATTTAACTCCAAAATGGCAGAGACTTGAGCTGTGAAACGGCAGAGGCCAAAGATTTGTACGTCAAAACTGCTTAGTTAAGCTAATGTTTTGGTGGTTCGAGTATCCATTTCGGGGGTTAAACAGTTTATCAGGGGTTTAACTAAAAAATGCTTTCAACTGTGCCCGTTCTACTGGCCCCTCTGTTTCCTCAGACTCTAATGTGGAATCCTTCCCATAGACCAGGGGTAGCCAACCTTCGGTAGTCCAAAACTCCACATGTTGTGGACTTCAACTCTCTTGATGCTTTGCCAGCATTATAGCTGCAAGTGCATCACAACATTTCTGTTTCTTTTGCCAAAGGTTGTCTACCCCTAGATTGTGGTGATCGATTGAGAGCAGCAACTGACGCTCTCAGCCTATCAGTGGCAACCCACTGAGGAAAATGCGTTAGAACTGTAGGTATGTTTCTAATTAGATGTGCATTTCCATTGTAAAATCCCACAAATTCCAATTAGGCCATGAAAAGCAAAAAAACAAAGACAAACTACTTATTGTAGTGTTTATATTGCAATTGGACAACGGTAAATAAAAAATGAGGGATTGTACAGAAACCTTAACTGTATAACTACATGGATGGAGTAAGAAAGGATTGCAATAATAAGCTGCAAGTGTTGTAGCAGAATGTGGTTGTACGTGTTATTTGCATTCCTTTTGCACAGCAAAATCACTGTTGACAGAAAGGGCTTTGGTTGTCTGGGATCATGTAAAGGGCTGCTGGAATCAACACAAATTGCATGCTTGGACATTCAAATATTTGTAGAAAAATAATCTGGAGATGAAACCCGTCATTATGATTTTAGAGTCAGAGAACACCGGATGTTGGGGAATCCTCTTGTTTTTAATCAAAAATATTTGACAATAAACCAGAAGCACTGTAGCCACAGCCTCCTTGCACCATAACCATTACAATAAGCTTCCTTATACATTTTTTACAATTACCTGTTTAGTAAAAAAACAAACAAATCTTGTGGTGACCAGTGGATAAAGGAACATTCTTGGTGCTTGCAGCCACTTGGGACTGGGATATGAGACGTGTTATAAAACAATTTTTTATCCTTCTGCATGAACTATATGTAAATACGAAGGACAATTACATTACAAAAAAAGAGTCTAAGTCATTGTAAAGTAACAAATGTTTAATTTAAAATGACGGCAGTGCAAGGTACAGCTAAGTCCATCTCGTTCCTCTGTGTGTATTTATTATAGCAATAAAACAAGAGTACAGGGCATGAAATTCTCCAATTACTTGTCAAACACAAACAGAAAACAAGATGTAAAAAAAATTCTGTATCGAAGGATGATGGTGGTTTAATATATAACAATGACAAGACAGTCAAAATAAGCATATTAAAAAATGTCCTTATATCAAAATGGTATACAATGTACAGAAATTCAAAAAAATAAATAAAAAAAAAATGACCTGGGCTTCCCAGCTGCTAAAAACAACTATTGTTCCACAATACTCCTTTTTATCCTGGTTTCAAATAAATTACATATTTTCAAGGTTGTATGCCTGGCGTATATTTAGTGTGTCACGAAGCATTAGGTCTCGGAGGCGCCATAAGGCATTGGCCATAGTTGTATGTGCACCTTTGCTCTTTAACCAGTGGGAAGGAAGCCGACTCTCCTGCTCTTTGGACAAATGGATATCTCGACGTTTAGCTGGAAGAAAAAATAAACATCCCAATTACATTTTTATCTAATCAAAGGCATCAATTAGGGTAGAACGGAGTGCCCATTGCTGGACGGGAAGGTGCAGCCTCTGGTTTCACTCTCTGCGGGGTGCGGATCTGGTGTATGTCTCCACGATCTCAAGGCAGTACAGAGACCTCGTGAGCGCCATTACACAAGGTCTGCACCAAGCAGATGGTGAGACTATAAGCTCTCCACACTGGATCACCAGGGATTAGCAAAATGCCCCCCCTGAGATGTGAGCGCAAACCCACTGAAAGGCAAGCTACCTGAGCTGTTTTGCACGGTTTTTTTTGCTCTCTCTAAGTTTAAAAGTTAATCCAGACATGAACCCCTTGTTCACGGTACCTAGAGGGGTATCAGCTATACCTCACTGACAAGGCCCAACAAGGCTGTAATGACCCTCTGGGGTTGCTGTATCTCTTGTGCAGAGAGAGACAGACAGCCTGTGTTTCGGATCTGAACTGCTCTTTTGCGTAACGTCAGTCTGACATGTAATGGCACAAGATAAACTAAAACCAGCTTGAGATCTGAGCAGCCAACCATCGAAGGGCAGGCTACTTGAGCTGTTGTCCATTCTCAGTATTCTGTTGCACTCTGATTTTGTGCTCGGTCACGGGCCCAATTGGTTTCACACATATTTTTACTTAGGCATACAGCACACATTTCTTTCGGATGTACTTTGGGGTTTTATTTTTTTCTTATGTTAGCTACATATTTGTGCATTTGGTCATATAGAATTTTATTGTACACTACTATTACTAAGTGGACCCTAATACAGTTTGTTATTTCACCGATTCTTATCCATGAGGTTTATATGCGCTTCTAATATATGATCATTTAGTGATTATTACATATGCATAAGAATATTGCAGCATCATAAATACTAAACATAACTGTTGCCTTGATTTATTTAAAAACATTTTTTTTTAGAAACATTGCTTGTGACATGCTATGTAGTAGTTCATCCATGTAGAGTTAGGTAAGTACATTTAGTTCTCGTATGTATGGAATGTAATTTTGATTATTGTGCATGCTTTACCATGATAATTATTTTACACATGGCTCTTTTCTTTACTGCACACGGCTAATTTATTTACTTATTGTATGCTTGTGGTTTTATCATATAGATAGAATGCATCTTATATTTGACTGTGGGTTTGTATCTCTCTTTATTCCCCCCACACTACATCCCCAGCAAAAACACACTATATTCCATAAATACACTGCATTCCCCCATATGCACTGCATCTCCTTTATAAACACACACTCACTCTCTCTCAACTGTCCATAGACACATATACTACACCATTAACACAAAATAAAGAAATCTATCTACACATACCACACCAGCAATCACACGAGAAGCCTTCAAAACACGTTTACAATACCGTTTCCTATGATATCCCACTTAACAGAGATGTATGTTTTCATAATATATAATATACAAGTAATGTGATTCCTTCCGTGCTAAATACATCTAAAGGGGCATGATGTACCATATTCACTACAGCTCTCTTTAGTGGTTATGGTAAGGGGTTACAATGCACGCAGTGTACATTCGGTTTCTGCTTTAGCTATATACATTTTCTGGAAGTGTTCAGATCATTCATTGGCACCGACACACTCCAAGCTTTATGGTGCTTAAGTGCTCCTTTACCATACTGAGAATTTGGAAATGTCTATGGTCCGAGAACCTTGATTTCCAGGATGTTAATGGATGACCTGCTGAACAATAGTATATCACTCCTCACTCATTCAAAACCTACGGTTGGTTTTCTCCAAGGAAAATGACCTACGTTTGTATGCATTCTCACCTGCCAGTGTTTGATCCCATTTACTAATGCAATTCGAGTCTGCCGTCAGCCCCTCAATGTATTTCAGGTAGGCTTCAGAATGTAGCAATCTTTGAGTACGTGGAGGAGGAGCCACAAATACTGGGGTGGAAGGCTGCTGCATGACTGGTTGATTTATTGGAACTTGACCTGGATAAGGGGGTGGGGCCTGCTGACTTTGTGGAACAAGAATTCCCATCTATAAAGCAAACAAAGATGTCACAGAGTATCATGCATTTTAAAAATCAACCAATATAAACTGATGCACTTAAAATATATATATATTTTTTAAACTAATTGATAAATGCATAATTTCGTTCAGAGACATTGATGTGGCATTTTTGCAAAATAAAAAATAAGTTTCTAATATGATTTGATCTCCCTAATTATTTTGTTCTTTTTGATCAATAAAAATTATTTCCTTTTTAAAGACATCACAAAAGGACAAAAAGTTCCAGAGCATGGTATTAAAGGGACACTATAATGTGAAGAAATGTGTCTCTCTTGAATAAGGTATTTTACTTACCATTTTTCCAGCACAGCGCAGGTCTCTGTGTGGTTGGCCCAGCTACAATCATCAAATTTGACAATCTCGGCCAATACAATGTTTAGAGTCTATTGCACATCAGTGCCTATTAGCATCTCCTCATAGTCAAGCACTGAATCAATGCACCTCTATGGGGAGTGTGAAGATGCTGAACATCATGTGCAGCACTGACCCAGGAAGCACCTCTGGTGTCTGTCTGAGTGATTGCCACTAGAGCGGTTACTAGGCAGCAATGTAAAAGGCAGTGTTTACATTAAACAGCCTACACGGACAGGCTGTAGACACCAGAACAACTACATTGAGTCGACACATATTGTATCCAAACATTTACCACAACAGCTACCTCCCTTCTGCTTTCTATCTGATCCCTTTTTCCTCCAATAATGGCATGCATTAAAGATTATTCCTCTTTCATTTGCTTTTATTTTAGAACCATTTGCGTAATGCAGTTCATTTTAATTACCTAATTAAAATGTTAGTAGTATACATTTTACCATACAACTAAAAGTTCATGGATTACTTTTTTTTCATTAAACTTAGAAATTCTAACCCAGCAAGTTTATAAAAACATTTATTTCCCTCGTAACCACTACCGGACACCCTAAAAGCTACAAAATACATTGCTGCAGAGTGAGTTTGGCTAATAAATGATGATAGAGAGACCGTGAAGGCAAGGAAACCATTGGGTCCCATTAAAAGGAAACTGTTGAAGGGTTAGTCCAACCACCATAACCACTTCTGCTTTTAGGCAACGGTGGTAGGAGTCTGTATGTGCAGCACCTAGGCTTGAAACAAAGCACAATCAGATATTTGCACTTGTGTGCCGGTGGCTAGTTACACCCCCCCTGGCACACGTGACTTAGGCAGTCTAGTACTCTCTTCTGGACTGCCTAATATCAATTCGGTGCAAAAATAATAAGTCTCATCAAAAAGGCTTTTTTTTTTTTTTAATTTTACATCCCCATTTCTCAATCCCCCTGAAACGACAGCCAATATGTATCACCTCATTACAAGACTGAAAAGGTCTATTTAATTCAGACTTTTCATGATTTTTCATCACATCCTGAAGGTGCTTACAGATGAGCTCCTCATCTCCCCCAACATAGTACAAATTTATTTTTTGGGGGCAACAACTGATCTAGTTTTTAATTTTGTAATTTTGGAAGAGGCAACCAAAGTAAACCATGATCCTTTCGTTACTAATTGGCAGTTTATTTTGCACCAAACAATGAATTACTATAATTAAGGACCTATGGGCATTAAACCCATTACAACATGTTTTTATGGCTCCCCCGTGTTGCTTTTTGTTTGGTGCCAATAAAGTTACATTACCATGTATTTAGATACCACAACCTTTTTTTGAATGTTACATACTTTTTCTTTATACACACACACACACACACACCTGTATCACTGGCCCAACGCTTGTTCTATGGACTGTATCTGATTTTCCCTATAATTATATGATTCCAATCATTTTTACGTAACATTTTCTATTGCAGTATATATACCAATCTCTGTGAATGACAGCCCGCCCTTACCTGTTGATTATAAGGGTTGCTCCCAGTTGCAGATGAGCCAACCATTGACGGTACACCTTGTGCTATTACACCTAAAAAAATATAAATAAAATAAATCTTACTTTACCATTTGATCAAACACACAATTAAACAGTGTGATAGAGTTGCAAAGGTAAAAAAATGGCACTTACACGCAAACTTTTAGAATAAGAATAAGCAGAGAATGTATAGGCATGTAACATTTGTCAAATGTTTAAGCAAGTACAAATAAACAGGGGAGACAAAAATTATAGAACATGAAATCATGTAAAATATAAGGCTTTATGCTGCAAATAAATTTTGTATTTATAGGACATCACGGCAGAAATGAGAATATCCTTTTATTAGAATGGTTATTTAAACCTGTAAATCCTATTTTCAAAATCCATATGACACAGTGATGTGTGTCATATCATCCAACATTATGCTCTCTGTAATGCTCCGTCTAATTGACATGTGCAGCTGCTACTCAGCAGTGAAACACCCGTTCAATCTCAGGCAGAGTAAAAGGGCAGTTTGCAGGATTGAGTTGGCCTCACTCTTACCATTTTGTGCTAAAGCCCAAAAGTAAAGTTTGGTTGCATCAGACCAGAGAATCTTTACACTTTATTTATTGGAATAGATTTTTTTTTTTTTTTAAATAATTTGTTAATGAAAACCAATTTTATGGCTAAATTCTCCCACTTCAAAGAGACATTGCCCCTTTATTATTTTTCTGACTAATGTCCTACTTACCTGATTGCAATTATGCAATTCTTTCAATTTTACAATCATGATTTTTAATGTTCTAAAGTAATGTCCAAAGTCTGATACATTGCTATAACCAAACCCTGATTTGTGCTTCTACAGAACTTTATGCCAGACTTTTTTTGATTGTAACAGAAGCCCAAGGAATATGTTTAGCTTTAACAAAATCTGTGGACATCCTGAAACATGTGAATTTAACTTTTCGATCATGTAATACTAATGGACACCGGCTCATTTTAAAGGGGACACTAAACTATTGTGGTTAGTGGTTTTGGTGCTTAAAGGGACACTATAGTCACCTGAACAACTTCAGCTTAATGAGGTTGTGCAGGTGAGAACTATAGCCTGCAGCCTCTCTCATGTAAACATTGTATTTTCTGAGAAAATACAGTGTTTACACTGAAAGCTAGGAACACCTCCAGTTGCAGTCACTCAGAGTGAACCAGAGGGACTTCGGAGTTGATGGAGGCATAATATGCCTCCATCCACTCAGATCTGCTGTGCACGAGCATCCTGTGATTCAGTATCTCCTCCCTCTGCATGCAGACACTGAACTTTCCTCAGAGATTCATTGATTCAATTCATCTCTATGAGGAGATGCTGATTGGCCAGGGCTGTATAAGAATCATGCTGGCTCTGCCCCTGATGTGCCTCCTTGTCAATCTCAGCCAATCCTATGGGGAAGCACTGTGATTGGATCAGGCTATCACATGTCAGCAGACTGCTTGTTTTCCTTGAGTCTAACAGCATGCAGAATTACAGCTTCTGACTTGAATACAGTAAGATTTTTACTATATTTATGGAGGCATGAGGGGCTCAGGGGGGCTAGATGGTCGTGTTAACACTATAGGGTCAGGAATACATGTAGTTGCACTGGTGACTATAGTGTCCCTTTAATGCAATGGTTAGGCTGCAGTGACAGAATGTTTACACACTTTTGTAAACCATGTCTTATGTAAAAAGTCAAAAGTTTACTTATGTCCCAAGGACTTTTATAATAAATGCCTCAAACTACTAGAGGTGCTTCTTATTACGGGCTTGCAATCTACGCAGTGCTGACATCCCTCATCTTTATGTTCTGCATGGTGCTGAATGCTTTGCATAGAGATCATGGTTATAATGCATCTCTATGAGAAGATGCTGATTGGCACAGCGATTGCTGCATATATGCAGTAGGCCACCAGTGATTCTCTATGGAGAAGCATTGGATTAGCAGAGAACATAGGAACGATGAACTTAACTAAAGGTGAGGCGTCGACAACAAATTTGGCGTAGATTTGAAGCAGCCATGTAAATTCTTAGTTTTTCATAAAATCTCTGACAATTACTGAATGGGAGTTTCAGTGACAATATAGAGACTACTTTGTGCAAAGGCAGTGTTTCACGGCAAAACATAGCATATATATATATATATATATAGTGGAGTTTTAAAAAGCTTTAACTTTATAATTCAATTTCCCATCAAGCATCACTCATGGCTGCTGAAGGAAAAATGCATATTCTTGCATGTCTTAAACATATAATTTTACATTTGTAAATATAGCTATGAAGGGGCTTTCAGACTATAGACCTCTGTTTGTACTTTTGTGCATGCACGAGAGTACAAAAGATCACGTGTATCGTTACAGCTTCAGCTCACAAGAACCGAAAAGAGGACAATGGTGGCAATGAAGTCAGAAGAGCTTCCAGTAAGTAGATCGACCTTGTTATTTTCCATCATATTCCAAAAATTTAACACGACACCTGGGTCAAAGTACTGCTTTAAAACGTTTAATCCTACTTGTACACCAACACCCTGAATATAAAGCACAAAGCAAAACCTTCATATATGATATTCATGTAAGAATAAACATCTTCTAAGCAAGGTACATGTTCCTTCATTATTCATTCCATTTACATGTAAAATATAATTTTAGAATGTGGGGTGATTAAACATGGGAATAAGGTTAATGTCTTTCTACTATGTCACTTTCTGATTCCAATGGGACTTCATATGATGCATTCACTTTTTTTTTTAGATAAATCTACTCATTAACATTTATGTTGACAGAAAAGGAATGGAATATGTGTTTTCTTGAACTTTTTTCAATAGATGTATGATATAGCCAACATGCTTGCCTTTGTCTGGTGCAGAAAGCACAGTGGAAGTGTGACTAGGGGATAAACAGAAACAAAAGTCATTAAACTCCTAAATGGAAGAGAATTGGGCAGTGGGACTGCAGGGGCATGATCTATACAACGAAACGGCTTCATTAAGCTAAAGTTGCATTGATAAAGCAGATTATAACTCACTTCCAGCATTTTCAGCCAATCAGTGTCAATGCTTGAAAAAAGGGATGCTGATAATTTAGAAGTCTCAAACTACTCCTTAATGGTTTGACACTAAACAGGGGGATAGCACCATGATACTCTACATTAGTGTTATTCCAATCATTTTTTGAGCAAGGCACACTTCACGAGAGAATTTCTTATTTTTAATATTGAGAATTAAAAAAAACAAAAAACACACAACTATGCAGAGTGCGGTGTGTAAAAACACATCCAGAGTACCATATCCGAAGAGCAAATTATCCTCTTTGCAGTGAAAGGATAGAGATGGGTCCAAGTTACACAGCCAATCATGGCTCCTGGATAACCAGCCTTTAAAATAAATTTTCTGTTCCACTGTTCAATATTGTATAAGATCTTCTAGCTTATTCCTTTTGTGTTGCTATACAAGAGTATTGAATGTTTTTTTTCATTTCAAACTATACACCAACTTCTACACTACAGTCTAAACTATAGATTAATTGTATATGTTGTCTACACAGTCACATACCCACCGTCACACAATAAAATCATATGGTCACATAGCTTAAAAAGAAAGTTCCCCGATGGATCAGTCCTTTAAGAAGACATGTTCAAGCTTGGGTTATAGATGTGGTTTTAGCTATTAAAGGTGAAAATGATGGGATGGTTAGAACATTCTTACCCTGTGGTGGGATGTTCGAGATGCCAGGCATACATGGTGGAAGTAGATGGGGTGGTGGAATCACCCCATGGTGAAGAGGCTGCATGCTGCCCATACTAATAATGCCATCAACAGAGCCTTGCATGGGAGGCAGGCCAGGCGGGTACCCCCCTATCATGCCTTGAAGAACACAAATGTCAGACATGCATAAGTAACATGCAATATGAATGGATTAATAATAAACACATGCGCTAAACAAGGATTGTTTTAGTCTGGTAGGGAAGGAAAAAAAAAGTTAGTTTGGTGGCATTAATGAAAATGCAATCTAACAAGGTTACATAGATGAAAAGAAGAATTAGTAGCAGAATAAGGCTAATTTTCAGTTCTAGAATATGTGATAATTTCTTCATCTACAATAAGTAAATCTCCATGGCAACAAAGGGTTAATGCACGGGTACACATGAAATCTCTGGGCATCTGCCTTGGTAAGAGAGACTTGCTGCAGGTCAGGTGATGGATGTGGTCATGTTCTTAAATAGTTAAATGGACACTGTAACTACTTCATCTCATAGAAGTGATTAGAGTATCTGAAGTTCTTTGGCGCCATCCTACCATTCAGTGTTAAACAGTTTTTTTTAATATTCAAATGTTAAATGAGAGACCCAAGCTTGGGGTAATGAGGATGCATTAGTGTTCGCAGCAATGGTTAACTGAGTGTCACAGTTAACTTCTTTCAGTCTATCACAGCAATCATTGCTGGTATGAATTGGTAAGGCTAAACGAAGGTGTGTAATATCTAGGGGCCAGGTTGTGAGTAGTCAGTGACCATTGTTTAGTGTTTGAAAAGTTAGACAATTGTTTAAAACTGAATGCAGGGACAGTGCCTAGGGATCCCAAGCACTATAACAATGTATTGAGTTGAAAAGGTAATAGTGCCTACAGTGTTGTTGAAATCATAATTCTTACCAGAGTAGGACAAAATCCTGCCATTTAAAAAATAAAAAGGGAGCCAAACTTTATCTTCAGAGGGAAATTATACATTATCTTTCTTTACCATTATGTGATTAAACTTAATTTATCCCTGTTAATCCTTCAATGCCCTGATGCAACATGCTGCTTTAATAGACCTTTAAAGAACGTTAATAATTCAATAGCCAATGAGCTTAACCATCAGAAAGTTTAGGATACTTTCCAAAAATAATGTGCGATTTTACTGGAACAGTAAAGAAATTAGAACAGTTCTATTTAAACTGCTAACTACATTTGCAGTAAATAGAAAGCCAGTCTCTTACACCATTGAAACAAATAAATGACAGAAACCAATATCCAAAAATCAGCAATGAGAAATGATCAGAACTGTTACCAATATCTCTTGATTAAATGAGTCAGTCAAAAATACATTTTCACAATTATTATAGCTTTAAAGGAACATTGTAGGGTCAGGAACATGTATTCCTGACCCTATAGTGTAAAATCATTGTATACCCCCCCTGGTCTCCCTTCAAGGTAGTACAACTCATCTGATTTCTGCCGGCGCTTTGTCCACCCCCCCATCCGCCTTCTTGGCGAACATCAGAATTTTTGTTATACTGTACTTTTTAAAATAAACTTAAGTTTCTAAGAAAATTTAAGGTATTTTTTTGTTTATGTGGCCCGTGCCAGGCTTTGCGTTTGACATGCTTATTGTTATGGTGACTATAGGGCCCCCTTTAAGAAAAAAGAGCAAAAGCGACAGTCCCACTTTAAATTTCATTTTTAGGTCCCAGGACAAACTTAAAAGCGAGAGAAATCTCATTTGGGAAAGTGAAAGCCCCCTTTTAAATGGGGAATATGTATGGGTCGTGAAATAGATAACTGAATGCACAAGAATCAAAATTATGAAAGTCTGCTGAGGAAGCATTCGGCCACATATTAAAAATATACCCAGGAGAACAATAGAACATATAATATAAATCTAGCCTGAGTATCACAAAGAGAGGAAAAAAATAAATACATTAATATAATAATAATAATAAAAAAAGCCCAACTAAGATCTATCTTAAGTTACTGACACATGATATACATGACAGGGCAGTACGGCTAATTAGGAAAACAGAAGGAAAATGAAAAGGGGAGAAATGAAATATAGAATGAAATATAGAATAGAATATATTGCTCTATTGATTAATATAAACTCTTTTCGGATTAATTGGCCTCCCAACCATCACAAATTAATTATAACCATGACCAAATAAGATTTAAATGAGTGCATGGTAAACATTTCCACAAGCGCATAAAAATTGTGAGTTTCTGATCAAGTTTTGACCATTTCAGAAAGATCTGCAGCCCCTGGGTTACCTGAAACAGGTGTCATCTGCTGATTGAGCATTCCCATTGGTGTAGGAGGTGGGACCACTCCCATCAGAGCTCCTACCGGTGTACCAGCACGAGGAGAGGAGTTCTGTTGTTGCTGCTGCTGTTGTTGCTGCGCTGCCCTTTCTCTCTCCTGCTGTTCTGCAACTTTAGCTGCACGCTCTGCAAAAGGAGGCCATGTTCATCACAACAGCTAATTTTATCAACAGGAATTGCGCACAATGGCTACTTAACCATTTATTGTGGCAATATTCCAATAACATTGGGACTAATAGATTGAAACAGATTTGTTATACCCAGACTGCTGTTTTTTACTTTGATATTTCTTAAAGACGTATTCCACACACCAGAAGTACTCCTGGTAATCTATTAGATTTTATCTACAAATTCTGGCGTCAAGTGGGAGCCTGTTTTATCCAGTAGAGTAGTATCAAAGCCACTACTGCCTTTCCTAAATTGAGAGTTTCATTCTCACCTACACAGTGCTCTAAAAATAAAGGAAACTACACAGTCTTAGTACAACTGTGCTTGTGTTCACAGCTTTTATGGCAAAGTGCCAATCTGATGTCTCAGAAGTGAACTGACTTGAAACATGGACATATCAATTCATAATGCAGGTCAAAGTTGCCGGAGAAAATCCCATAACAGTCTGTTTTAGTTGCACAACTTTTTTAGAAGGAACACTTCTAACAGTTCTGCAAATAAAAATCTTTACATTTATGAAGTGTTTTAAAGTATTTTCAGTCTCCTGCACCTCTATATAAAAAGTTACTTATCTTTAGTCCAATATCCTCACTGCAGATCTGCTCAACCCCACCAACCAGGAGATCATCAATATTGATGATCTGCAGGCCAACAGAATGCTTCTCATAGAGTAGCACTAGGAGGCAAGGGATCACGTGCAGCTAACACCACTTTGCACCTCTATGAGAAACACTGGACACAAAACAATTAGCAAGAGTATCCTCCTGTCTGATGGACAGCTGGGATGGTGCAACTTAGCATCTTTATGCAACTGTCAATTTATCTTGGTATCAACACTTTCATAGAGTGTAAAAGCTTGCTAAAGAGCCCAAATTCCTAATTCTCTCCCTCTTCTTTATTCATGTAAACCTAATAGAAGATATTCCAAGGAAAAACCAATGATTATTCACGGTTATGAAAATGCAATATATAATTGCACTACAAAATATATATATAGCTGCACTACAAAATAGAATAGAGAACTGAACACACTGGCATTGGATGCGCACAGGAAGTACATTTTCAGAAGCTACTACATGCCCCCTCATTGCCTTAATTGCAATTTCAGTGCTTCTCCAAGCATTAAATTTGTATTAGCTGTAATTGTAACCGTAAAGTGCACAAAGTTCTCCTCTATAAAGAGGTGCTGTTTGACTAAGCCGCTGTTTGCCGATTTCAGCCAATCCAATGCTTTCCCTATGGTAAAGCATTGGATTGGCCGAAATCATTTAATTCAGTTAATGTCAGCAAGGAGGCGGATTGGGGGTGGGGTCAAAATTTGATACGTTTTCCTACCTTTTAAGAGGGTTAAGGGGGGAGGATGCCACCTAAATGGTGGTTTTAACACTACGGGGTCAGAAATACATGTTTGTGTTCCTGATGCAATAGTGTCCCTTTAACTTTTAACAGAAACTATAATTATGGTTTGTACAGATATAGAAAAGCAAGAATACTGTCAAACTGTACAAAATCAAGAGAACAATTAATTATGTATTCCTAATTAAGAACTGGAACACTATCACTTTAGAGACTGAAATATATAAATTTCTTTGAGGGCTCTCAAATATCCAATTATGTTTATAATCTATAATTTTCCCTCCACAAAAGAGAGACATCCATCAGCTCATACACAAAGATATATATTGAACCTGTAAGATTCACGTTATGTGTTTATACACAGTGTTTCAGCAAAACAGATCAAGTGAAAAATTTCAGACAGGCTTAAAGAGACACTGTAGGCACCCAGACCACTTCAGCCCACTGAAGTGGTTTGGGTGCCAACTCCCATCACCCTTAACCCTGAGAATGTAATTATTGCAGTTTATAAATAATTACCTGCTAGGGTTAAGTCCTCTAGTGGCTGTCTACCAGACTTACGGGTTCTTAGACGACTTTTGGTAGTCTAAATGATGCTGGACGTCTTCATGCTATGCATGAGGACTTCCAGCGTCGTCGGAATCCCAATAGGAAAGCATTCAATAAAGCTTTCCTATGGGGAGATCCTAATGTGAGCGTGGCCATTGCTGCGCATGCGGTCTCATCTGCCAGCTGACGTCAGCAGTGGAGGAGTGTTAGCTGAGCTGAACCAGCGCTGAGGGACAAACGGCTACTCCCAAATAAACCCCTTAAGTTATTAACTCCTTCTGCACGAAGGAGATGAGCCTTGACAGAAAAAGGAGCTACAGTGCCAGGAAAACTAGTTTGTTTTCCTGGCACTATACTTTCCCTTTAATGTATATAAGGTTGAATAAGATATGACACCTAGCAAACCATAGAGAAATTACGAGGATCTTAAAGTCTCGCAGATGTGCCGCAAAGAAAGAAGAATATACTCTACCAGTCATAAAAAACTAAAATGAGATATGGGACAGATTGTATACTAAGTAACATTCTTGGCAACGACTGATTGATTTTACCTTCATAATCTGCCTTCTTTGTTGCTTCCAGATTCCGCCATTCAGTTCCTACTAAACGACTAAGTTCTCCAAAGGAATAATCAGGATGTTGGGCTTTAATTACAGCCCTCATTTCACTGCTGAACAGGATGTAGCCACTCATGTTAATCTTCCGCTTCCCACCTTCCTTTTTAGCGCTGTTCTTCGTGGATTTTGGAGTGGACTGAAATGAACAAAAATGAGATGGCAAACTTTTCATTATCAGTGTTTAAATCTAGAAGTCTGAGATTTGGTATGGACAGTGGGATCTGTGAATCCAAGCAATTCTATACTAGAAAATGTTAGACAGTTTTTTGTGAATCTATGTTAGATGACTTCTATGAGATGTGATACATAAAAGAAGGAAACTCTGCTGTCTTAAACACTCAAATGAAACACTCGGTTTTTAAAAGCAAAGCATAGCTAATTTGTGGCCCATACACACCGCACAGTCACCTCAAAGCAGCAATACCACGGGGACCCTCCCACCCCAAGAAAGAAAAAGGATCACATCTTGTCTGACCTTGGGTCTCCAAATTTACCTTTCCGTGGTCTAAATACTGTTTTGGTAATTTGCTGTCCACAGTCTCCCCTGGGACGCCATCTTTCGTTTGTCTGTCAGTGGGTGTTTCTGTGTGCTCTGCTAGGGTTGCCCTTTGCATCACTGAGGAGGGGGAAGGCAGCCTGACCGCTGGCGTCAGGTCGTCGGAGCATCGAGGGGAGCTTGAAAGCGCGGCAGCCTGATTTAGTGTTTTAAAAACACCAATTGCAAATGATTAACGGAAAAAAAAAAGAAAGTTTCTGGGTTTTTTTATTTGTTTTGCACTTTTTTCAGACAGGGAATCAGCTGAGCTATCACATATTGGAAGACAGCAGATATTCGTGGTATTGCTGCTTTTTATACTAGCAGGTTTAACCCCTTAAGGACCAAACTTCTGGAATAAAAGGGAATCATGACATGTCACACATGTCATGGGTCCTTAAGGGGTTAAGTAACTTTGCCCCCACAAGCAGGCTTTGATTTTGCATGTTTAATATCGTTATATGAGCGAGAAGCACTTGCCAATAGCACATCACACATCACAGAGAGATCAATGGAACCCTTAAAGCCAGATTAGCTAGACCTCACAGTGCAAACCATCCCACATTATGAAGCGTTGTATATGGAGGTTTTCTACTGTTTTCTCAGTGTTTTCCTCAACACATTAACTTTAGGTCTACAATTTGCTATAAATTCCATAATTTACCATCATTTTCCATGGAGCCAAGAAGGAGTGGATAGTAAGGAGTAAAACTTAACTTTTAAAAAGGTTATTGTTAAGTAAATCTTGGTACCTGTTCTATAATAACTAAAATGTAAACAAACAAATCTTATCGGTGTTGAATAATGCTATTACTAATAAGTAGACAACAAAGAAAAGGCAAAACTACTAATATCATACACCTGCTCCCAAACAAATATCAATCACATCCAAGTTTGTAAAGAAGCTGCTAATTGGAAATCCACCAGGCGGAAGCCTCGGATCCCTGGAGAGTCCAACTCACTATACTTTGCAATAGTGGTCATTTTTAATGAAGGCTGGAATTTGAAGGTCTACCAATAGCTCAAGGTAACAGTCAAAGTGGGTTACAAAGTGGGAAGAGTTGGTACAATACAGCCATTCCATATAACACCCTAAACCCATTCTATAGCTAAACTCACACTGGTTATTTGATAGTTGATTGTTCACTCATAGGAATAAACATAGTAGCAAAGTAAGTAAGTGCGAGTATCCAAGACCAGTTTTGCTCTGTCAGGACACACAGCTTATCAGGAGTACAGAGGGACTAACTAGAAGTGAGGCCATTTAAACTTTATGCTAAAGTCACTGATTGGTGGAGCAATCACATGGGTAATAGGCACCAAAACAAATGGGGCATCTCCACATCTGAGTTAGATACGGTTACTGTACATCGTTGTAGCGGCTGTAACTAGGGGAAGGAACCACTGAGAAACATTGTTTCTATAATGTGCTATAGAAACAAAGATTATCTGCATGTCAGCGGCACAGCAAATTTGCTTATATTGCACAAAGGCTTGCATATTAAAGTACCTTCACACAGAGACAGTGACACTAGCCAGCAGTGGGGACAACACATTGTTCAGATGAAAAAAATAAAATAAAAACATGAGAGGAGAGAGAGCTCTTTTGGAATTCTCGAATATTGATCTTAATGTCAAAATGTCCAGCAAAGATAATAAGAACATTACCTCAATCTCGTAAACTCAAAGACTTGCCCTCAGAGAATTATAGCAGGAACCTAACCTTCCCATTAAACCATTGGACAAAGGGGGGCAATATAGTCTTACCTAAATGTGCAAACTATATTCAAGTGTCCATGGACCATATCTCAGATACAGATGGCTATAAGGTTATTTCCTGCAACCCAATTAAATGTTCTTTGCTGAGCTTAGAGTATGGTTATACAGAGCCAGAGAACACATCCGGATTTCTGTGTTTCGTTAAAGAAAGATACTACTTTGGCCACATTCTACAGTTTACCCAACTTCCACAAGGTTGCCCAGAAACCTCCTGGACACCCAACAGCATTTAGAAAACATTCACTAGCTGAAAAATCCAGTTAATTACTTGATCAAGTACTATGCCCCTTGGTTAAATCAACACCCTCCTTCAGTTGAGAAGTAGGCAAACATTGATCTTCCAGTTGTCACTCCTTGGTCAGCTCGGATGTAATGTCCCTTTATAATATCCCACACAAATAGTGCATTGATGCCTGTAGACACTTTTTGAACTCTTACAACTCCTTATGCTCAGAGTTCTGTGAATTTGCTTTGAGACTACTTGAATACTCACTCACAATTACTTCAACGGGAGACATCTACAAACTAGGGGCACAGCTATGCAAACTTTTACCTAGCACGGTGGGAGGCCAAGTTCATCCATCACCAATGTAAAATTCTGGGCTAGGTATGGCAATATTTTGTCATTGTGGAATGTCATTAATGAGACTTGGGTCATCAATGTCTTACATCTGAATTAAAACAATATTGGTCTCAAGTTGACCTGTTTGAAAGCAATGAAATTGAATTTCCAGTCATTAAAATCATAATCTAACAGGTTGAAATTATATAATAAAACAAACGATTTCCTGGACTGGGAGAACTGGCACACTGTATTCCTTAAACAGGGCATCCTATATGGCCAGGCGAAACTGTACGACAGATGCAGACTTCAAAATTGAAGCACACAAATGCAGACTTTTTTTCAGAACGAAGGACTACCAGGAAAAACTACTAAAATGCGCTGGACAATCGCACGTCAGTCTAATTTAAATTATACAAATTCCAAGCCTATCAAGAGAAATCAGGTTATCCACTGTACTGCCACTTTGACAAAGGATGGCACCAAATACTACCCTCCTCTGAAATTACTGGCCTATGCCATAGTTTGATCCAACAATCTCTGCTGTTATCTCACTTGTCGCCACTGTCACACCCAGACATTGTTGACAGTTTGGTCTTTAGCCTCTTTTCCAATGCCCCTAGCTCTGACTCCTGGCTCTCACCACCTAGAGGTATGTTTAGGTGTGTAAAGTGTAAGGCTTGCCCATTCATACAGCCTCCTGAATAGAATATGTGTACCGTTTCTAACAAATCAGACTTTGAAAGGTTTTGTTAACTGTTCCTTCACCTAGGGGATCCATGTTGTCACGTGTACATGCAAGACACAATACACTGATAAAACCTACCAACAACTACGTCTGAGAAATTTTCCAACCTATAAATTCAGTGTACTCCGGATTATAGGCCACCTCTCCCACAACGTAGAACAGTGAAACTGCACATTTAAGTTTCCAGATCATTAAAATGTACTCTACATGATATTCTTTTAATCACCTCGAAAATTATAAACTGCTTAAACGTGAGTCACGTTGGATATTTGATTTTAAAACGCTGGTCCCTCATGGGTTAAATAAGGACTTTAGTTATTCATCCTTTATTGTAAAGTAAGCCTTTTCAGAGCAGGGAGCTTTTATCTTACTTAGTGCAAACTACAATGGTCTTTCACGCATTTTCTGTACCATTTGTACATAGTTGTACATACATTCTTTTTAGAATGAATTTCTTTTCACGAATTAAATTTTTATTAGCATACACGCTTTTTATTATTACACACTGTATTACACTTTTTTAGGCTTTTCCTTTCTTGCCACCTCAAGAGCAGCTATTATTACAGGTCTTGTTTGGATGTTACTGTCCAATTTGTTCTACAGGAGCCCATACACTAATCTTTCCAGACAGGTTTCGTGACCAAAGGGGGCCAGTGGTCATCTGTCCCACAGATTCTTCAGTACCCTGTATTTGAATACATTGCATCCCTAGGTCACTGGCTGGGGATTACACTGCATTGTATAATGGGATGGGATACAAACAGCAGTTTTTTTTGTCTCTTACTCTCTTTTTACATCTGGATTCCGTGCCGTTGTCTGATGCCAAATAACTCTGTGTTCAGTTACTTTATTATGTAGGCCTTTACACAATATAATCCATATTGTGTGGAGACATGCATAGTATTTTTGCCGTTTTCTATAGCACATTAGGTTTCTTGGGGTTCCTCCCACTGGTTACCGTTGCTACAGGGATAAAGTAATAGTGCCTATTACTAAAATCAATGCCTTTAGTGCAAGGTTTAAATGTCCTCATTTCAGATTAGTTCTGTGCATTCTAACTCCTGTGTTCTGACAGCGAAATGAGTCAGGTGCTCACTCCTACTACCTCTTTGTTACTCTGCTATTCTCTTTCTTTCTTGGACGGGACAATCAGGCTGCACACAATGAGGGCATAGATTTAGGGTGTCCTAGGGAACATTTTTAAATTGAAGTCTTTACTGAAACAGCTAGTTGTTGACTCTTACAAAGTACAGTGAGAGTTGGGCTCTACAGGTACACAAGGTCTCCCCGTTGTAAATTCCCAACTAGCAGTTTGTTTGCAACCTTGTATGTGATTTGTATTAGTTTGTGAGTAGATGTTTGATATTAGTAATTTTGACTTGTTTTTTTCCAAACACCAATAAGAGGTGTTTATTTTTTTAGCTTGTACTAGACTTGTACCAAGATTTACTTATAGTCTAGTAACAATAACCTTAATAATAATAAATCACCAATAAAAGTTAAACTTTACTTATGGCTATCCACTCCTCTTTCACTTCTTGATGGCTAGAACGCCTCACAGTGTAAAATATCATTTAACAATCTCTTACTTCTGTTTTCTGTTTATTTTCCATGGACTTTTAAACATTTTAAAATTCAAAAACAGCAAAACAGGAAAAAAATAAATAAATCCTTTTTCCACATCTAAATCAGATGATAAAAATGAGACACTGGGCCATCTCTACTAGGAAATCCTCTAACACATGAAAAGCCTACATTTATAGCAGAATCAGTAAAACATATAAAAACAAAACAAAAACATTACGACATGGCACACACGAGTGTCCCTGCACCACATCCGGAAGCGGATCTCTCTCTAAAGTAAAGCAGGACTGCAATTATAAGGGGAGCGCACTCAGTTGACACTTCCAGCCAATGACTGTGGTTCTTCATCACTTGGCTTTGCTTTAAAGAGACACCTAGCTTCTCCAATTTGAGTAGACTGGATGTGGGGAGTGCACCTGGATAAAATGATGGTTTATTTGATACAACAAGGAGAAACTAGAACAGGTCATGTAGTTGGGTGTTTCACAGAAAACCTTGGTGTATAATATAGCAAGATTGGATTACAGTGAGACAGGATACAGGGTTTTAAATCTTTCCGGAGCTTCATGAACACAAAATGACTATGAAATAAGAAACTTATTGTGTTGTGTTCTGGACCTGTTTGGACACTAATAATTTCTGAAAGTGTGTGCACAAAAACAAGTTGATGCTCTGACAAAAAACAAATTGCCAACACGATTATTATTACAAGATCAGGGGGATTACACTATAGTATGCAAAGCACTTACACATTACACTATACTTAATTTCTCCTGGAACAAATGGCATTGCTCAATGAAGGGGGGGTCAGGCATCCAGCAGCTAAGATTTGTATCATTATTATTTTCAGTTAAAGGGCCAGGGTCTGTGCAACCACCTCCACCGCCAAACAAAGAATAAAAATAAAGCTGCACAGATGACTCCAAGGAAAAATAAAGTTCTCTAAAAATGTATTCAAAGTAAAAGTGCTTACAAAAAAATAAAAATAAAAGTACCATAAATAAAATTTCTGTTTAGTAGATATACCTGCCTTTGTCTGGTTCTTGAGTTTAGCTTAATTGAGCTAAGCAAAGATAATTAGTTTAGAAACATGCTAATTTCTAGTTAAATCTGCAGTTTTTGTAAAATGAAAACGATGACAGGCTCTTCATACATAAAGCACTTGAGTAAGCTTAAGGGCTTTAATGTGTTTCATGATGCAGTGCATTAAGTGATTTTGCTGTTGTATTCCAGTTTCTGTGTGCACCAATACACTGAATACATTTCGGAGCATTGAATTATTTTTTCTTGGAGTCATGTGACTACAACTTTATTTAAAAATTTTTTCCTTGACTCACATTATGTAATTTGGCGAGTCATTCTTTAATTACAAAAAGGAACTAAAATGGTTTTATGTCATATAAAAGAAAAGCACAAATTCTGTAAAACCCAGTCAGACTCTGCGTGTCTCCACAGTTACAATATCCTTTATGGGCAGTTATTTTTTTTTTTTAAAGGCCTTTTTTACTTCCCCGATCTAGTAAAGGAACCACTGTGTTGTAAGCTTTATTCTTATATTTTCATCTCTGGTAATAATTGTGAGCTAAAATGGATTGACATTCACAGAAATTCCTTGTGTTGCCTGCTTTACAGAACATAATTTTGTGGAAAGTGCTGGGAACATTGAGCGTTATAAAAGCAGAAAGAACATCGCAACAAATATAGATTGCAAACAAGTATGTATTTTGACCCAATTCTGTTGCCCCTGTAATGTCTGAAAAGAAAAGAACTCTATACATTTTTAAAACCAATAGATATATAACAATTGTAACAAAAGTTTTTTTCTTAATGACTTTAAATAAAAAAAAAAAAAAAAAACCAACATATGGATAATATTAGCAGCTTGTGAATCCAAAGTGAAACCCAATTTTTTTAGTCAATAAGAATTTTGGTCTCAGCTGTTTCAAGGTTTTTTTGCCATCTTTTTTGTCTGTATCATACAGGGAAGTGTAAAAGATTTGAGACTTTTTTTCTATTTGTTTAACCGTTTTGCAATGTTATACATGTAAGTGCACAAAATGAGTGGGGGAAAATAATAACCGAACAAAGCTAACACATATCTAATCTAATTGTGAATCCCTTGTCCTTGAGTGGTTAACAGTACACAAAAACATGGACAAATATATATTTAAATGTTGGTTGGCTAACTCTCATATACATCATGTACATTACAACTTGTATAACAATAACAACAACATTTGGATTTTTACAAATAAAACTGTTTACATTCAATAATAAAAAATAAATAAAAAAAATAAAAATGAAGCAACGATGTTAAGAAAATGTAAAAAAACAAAAAAAAAACACAAAAACAAAGGATTGACCTTAAGTGGAAAACATTTTTATAATATTTGTTTCTGTAATACACATTTATAATGTAATGTAGTGTGTACTTTTAAAAACGCTAAAGGTATGGCTATTTCACAGCGTTGAGCCTTTACCGGCTCAAAAAATATAAATTGGCCAATAGTATCAACATTTAAATGTTTTGTTTCCATCTCAAAAGGAACACAAAGGCAAAATCGTCCTGCTTATTGTTAGGTTACCGTCCCACCTTATGCAAAAAAAAAAAAAAAAAGTCTGACTCGCTTCTCACAGGGAAGCACCTCTTGCTGCTATCAGGAAGACAGCCACTAGAGGTGCTGAACCCTGCAATGAAAACATTGACGTTCATACATACTGGCAATGTTTTACATTTCAGGGTTAAAACTGTAGTGGTACACTGCAGTATCCTTACCGTTCGTGTCCTTTTAATTAAAAATGAGTCTGCTTTAAAACTAGCACAAAAACAAACCTACTCTGGTAATAAAATGTTCAACTTTTCCCAATTCTTGTAAAGTCGCAAATTTATTACAGACAATGCATAAAACCAAAACTAAGGACAGTGTTAGATTACAGTTTGAAATGATTGTATTCGGCTAATGAAGATTAGCAAATGATTATTTTCTAATTAATATAATTAATTGTACAGAAGGTTAGGAGTATTTACCTGCGGTGGTGTGTAAGGCATGATGTCCAACTCTCCTGACAGAGGGGTTGGAATTTGTGGGAGGGACGGAGCGTCTAGGATTTCCCCCTCTTCTTCTCCTAGATCTTCTATCTCCTCCTCCCCTCCCTCCAGTTCAGCAAACTTTGCCTCCAAATCCTGAATCTTTCGTTCCAGCAGAGGGGATGGCTCTTTCTGGGGAACAATGGGTTTCCTAAGAAAACATCCACCACCCCCCCAAAAAAACAAAACAAAAAAACAAACAAAAATCGCACAACATTTAAAGAAGTTCATTCAAAAGATTACCGTCTTCATGCGGATTTTAATTGTATAAAAACATGAATAGATTTTGAAAATTGATAAATAGAAAGTATATAGGTCTACTCTGCACTGGTCAAGAAGATTACTAAAGTACTGGTATATATGCAAAGGTTGTTCACTAATTTTAAAGGTGAATTTATAAATTGACTCGTAAAGAATATTCTTCCATGTAAATCATATGGGGGTTATTAAATAAAAACTCCAGGTACCATAACCACTACAGCTGCACGCACCATAACTACCCTTTACTCACACTGTCAAACTGATCAAAACAGATAAACATCTTACTGACATTCCCTACCACCACTACTTTAACCAAGTCAGGGAGCTGGGAGACTTTGAGCTAAGGGAAGCAAATGGTGCGCATCTTAGCTCACTGGCTGAGAGCAAACCGGTGGCTTCGCACAGGAAAGATAACGGAAGCGACACAACGTGGACCTCAAGTAAGATGGTATAGGGGGGAACTCCTGGCATCATTATCACTACAGCTAGTTGGGTATCTTATCGGAAAGTGAATTTATAAAAAAAAAAAAAAAAAAAAAAAAAAATTACTTAAAGGACAACTCTAGGCACCCAGACCATTTCAGCTTAATGAAGTGGTCTGGGTGCCTGGTCCAGCTAGGGTTAACCCATTTTTTTTATAAACATAGCAGTTTCAGAGAAACTGCTATGTTTATGAATGGGTTAAGCCTTCCCCCATTCCCTCTAGCGGCTGTCTCACTGACAGCCGCTTGCGTGCTTCTCACTGTTGATAATGATAATGATTTCCTATGTGACTGGCTGAATGCGCGCGCAGCTCTTGCAGCGCGTGCACATTCAGCCGACGGGGAGGAGAGAAGGCGGATCGGAGGAGGAGAGCTCCCCGCCCAGTGCTGGAAAAAGGTAAGTTTTTACCCCTTTCCCCCTTCCAGAGCCGGGCGGGTGGGGGACCCTGAGGGTGGGGGCACCCTCAGGGCATTATAATGCCAGGAAAACGAGTATGTTTTCCTGGCAGTATAGTGGTCCTTTATGTAAATATTCTGCCATATAAATCATGTGGGAGTTTATTCATAAAAATAACACTCAAGACACCATAATTCAGGCAAATACAGACAATTTAGAAAGTCTGTATCAGTGTCATTTAAATATAATCATAGTCAGAGATGACCAAAAGGTAGATCTCCTGGTAATTCAGAACTACAAGTCCATTGAGAATTTGCCAACCTTGTGGGACTTGTAGTTATATTACAACTTGGGACCCACCTGTTGTCCAGCTTCTTGACCAGTATTCACAGCAGCATCCTACTGGGTGCACAGTCAGGCAAGGCCTGCGTATACCAAGCACCTATTATCCTAAAACCAAAACAGTGACACTGTGCTTGTATTATACGCTACGGCTGGGACGTGGTTTAAGATGCTTACCTGAAATAATAAATCTCATCATCTACCACTTTTGCCGACAGAGAAAATCTTTTAAGCCCTTTAAATTTCTTCATTTGTTTGTCGCTCTCATTGTAACGACTTTCGCAGAGGAGTATGTCATTTTCAGGAATTTCTGTTGGTCGGCAAGACAGGAAATCCTTGAAAGACAAAACACCACACTTTCCTAAGAGAGAAAAAAAATGTAATTGGTAATTATTAATCCACTCTTCAAGCAAAGATGGAGACAGATTTAGAGAATATTACAGCATATGAATGTTTGTGATAGAGTGCCAATTGTTCCACAAAGCCATTTGCAAAAATGCAGAAAATACATCAAATCAATGTTTTGTTATCAATAATGGTTATATTTAATGTATAACTGAATATCATATCCATATACCATATTATATAAAGCAATATCTGATCAGATCAGTGCAATGAGAATGCAAAGCAATGTCAAATCAACATATTATGGTAAATAAAGCAATATCAGATAAGTGTATTGTGAAATCAAAGTATGAGGAGGAGCGTACCATGATATTTAAAAAAAGGTGAAATCTCAAAAGGGGATATTGGATGTAAACACCATGGATTTTAAATAAAACAACTAAAGCCATGACGAAATGGATGCTGGGATAATTAAAGGGAATTTGCATTACTAAACAGTGTGAAATAAACTTAACAGTGCAGGAATTTCAAGGCTTTTCATAGATAGCCCCTTTGTTTTAAAGGATCACTATAGGGTCAGGAACACAAACATGTATTCCTAACCCTATAGTGTTAACACCACCATCTAGCCCCCCTGTGCCCCTCATGCCTCCTTAAATATAGTAAAAATCTTACTGTATTCAAGCCTGAAGCTGTAAATCTGCATGCTGTTAGACTCAGAAAAACAAGCAGTCTGCTGACATGTGGTAGCCTGATCCAATCACAGTGCTTCCCCATAGGATTGGCTGAGACTGACAAAGAGGCAGATCGGGGCAGAGCCAGCATGATTCAAACACAGCCCTGGCCAATCAGCATCTCCTCATAGAGATGAATTGAATCAATTAATCTCTATGAGGAAAGTTCAGTGTCTGCATGCAGAGGGAGGAGATACTGAATCACAAGATGCTGTGCCAGTGCTGCCATGTGCTCTGCTGACAGCAGATCTGAGTGGATGGAGGCATATTATGCCTGCATTAACTCAGAAGTCACTCTGGTTCACTCTAAGTCTTGCACCCATTGAACTTGTGAGTTTTTGGACAGTTTCTGCTTGAATTTGTTTGCAAGATGTCAGAATAGCCTCCCAGAGCTGCTGTTTGGATGTAAACTGCCTCCCACCCTCATAGATATTTTGCTTGAGGATGCTCCAAAGGTTTTCAATAAGATTGAGGTCAGGGAAGGATGGAGGCCACACCATGACTTTCTCTCCTTTTATCCCCATAGCAGCCATTGATGCAGAGGTATTCTTTGCAGCATTAAATGGTGCATTGTCATGCATGAAGATGATTTTATTACGGAAAGCATAGTTCTTCCTTCTGTACCAGGGAAGAAAGTGGTCAGTCAGAAACTCCACATACTTTGCAGAGGTCATCTTTACACCTTCGGGGACCCTAAAGAGGACGACCAGCTCTCTTCCCATGATTCCCGCCCAAAACATGACTCCACCACCGCCTTGGTGACGTCGCAGCCTTGTTGGAACAGGGTGGCCGTCCACCAACCATCCACTACTCCATCCATGGTTGCATGGCACTCATCAGTGAACAGGACTGTTTGAAAATTAGTCTTCATGTATTTTTCTGCCCAATGCAGCCATTTCTGCTTGTGAGCACTGGTTGGTGGTGGCCGAATAGAAGGTTTATGCACAGTTGCAAGACTCTGGAGGACTCTACACCTGTCCTTGGGACTCCAGAGGCACCAGCAGCTTCAAATATCTGTTTGCTGCTCTCTTGATCCGATACATGGATCTGGCAGAAATCTTCCTCAATGTGCCTTTATCTGCACGAACCAGTCTGTGCTCTGAATCAGCCACAAATCTCTTAATAGTGCGATGATCACGCTTTCGTGAAATATCTAATGTTTTCATACCTTGTCCAAGGCATTGAACGATTTCACTCTTTTCGACAGCAGAGATCCTTTTTCTTCAAAATTGCATGAAAATGGTGCTCTGCTTAATAATGTGGAACACCTCCTTTAGTAGTATTTCCTTAAATTGGGCTCACCTGGCAATCTAATTATCACAGGTGTCCGAGATTGTTTTCAGTGATCAAAAGAGCCCTGAAACACAATTCCATCCATGAGTTAAACTGAAAAACTAAATATTAAATTTGTGTGACACAAATAGAATTTGCATAATAATTTGGAACAGGGTGTAAGGGCTTTAGAGAATAGCTTTCGTAATGAAGACTTTTTTTATCCATGGCATCTTGAAGACCACTGAAATCTCCTATAGGTAGGGTGGTTTTCTTCCCCCAACTGAGCTATCAGTACATCTACTTTAGGCAATTCTTCAAGATTATTTGTCAGGCTCTTTAATGGCAATTTTTTTTTTTTAAATGTTTTGATATAACGGCATTGTTAGAAGGATACTTCCATTCTCTAATATCAGATCCCTTAATGTTAAAGACTTGACTTTTATGTTGTTGAAAGCATTTTCAATTTTTGTTACTTAATTTTTCCGTAAGAAGCTGAATGTCTTTGAAGGGATTCTATAGTGCCAGGAAAACAAAGCCATTTTCCTGGCACTATAGGTTCCTACAGTGCCCCTCTCCCTTGGCGCTGCAGGGGTTAAAACCCCTTCAATCACTTACCTGAATCCAGTGCTGATGTACCTCAGCACTTGGTCAGGCTACGACCATGCTCCTCCCCTGCCGTCAGCTGACAGGGGAGACCAAATGCGTATACGTGGCAATGGCTGCTCTCACATTAGGATTTCCACATAGGAAAGCATTAATCAATGCTTTTCTATGGGGAAAAAAAAATCTAACGTTGGAGGTCCTCAAGCAGTACCTTTAAAGTACTAGGAGTCGTCCTGCCTTTTCCTATCCAGACAGATTGTTGTGCACTGACTCTAATCTGGAGGGAAAAATAAACTTATTTTTTTAATTGCTCTGGCTGCACTCAATTGAAGAATTTTGGTTGCATGTTTCACCACCCTCGCTGGCCAATGTCTCTGTCAAAAGTAAAGTCAACAATATTATGGAGAGGTTAACAACAACTATTCATCACACAACTGACTACACTTTACAAATTACTGTTCCCTCACTCATTGCTCCGATTTACTGCTCAACTTTATATTGCAATTGAACATCATGATTATGTTTTACAACTGCATTTGTTTGTACCTCTTGTGATCACACGTTGGCTCATTTCTTGTAAAATGGCAATGTACACTTTCAACTGTAATTCCTTTACAACCTAATAATGAACTTGCATCTTCTAAAGCAAAAAAAAAAACAAATCGACCCTCCTACCTAAAATACAGGACATTGGGCAGGTCTCTTCCAAGTTACTCAGAAACACTTCCTTCTTATAAAACATTTTTGTTGGTTCATGGATTGTTTCTTCAGGATGAATGAAGATTGGGCCAAAGAAAAATGCTGCTCCATCACGCACCCACATTTTCTCTATTCTAAATTATAAAATGTAAATATTAACAATGAGTTTAAACATAAAAATGCTTTGCAAACAATAACAAATCTTATTGCTTTATCATCCCAACATTTACATTGTGACAAAAGGAACACGCTAGGCATCAGGTGTATGTTATGTATGTTAGTGAACCAGATACATCAGAAATGCTCTCACCTTGCCCTCAGAGGAGATGAAGCTATGAATTTAGTAACCACACACAATTTAAATACATAAATGTGGGTCAGAGCATTAAAAACTTCATTTTTCTTAAAGAGATTATTGCACTGGCTCTGGAATGCCCCAGCACAGTCTGTCTGTTCACCATTTACTTATGGCTTATCTGTGATTTGGGCGCTCCTCGCTTCTTCTGCTCTGGTTAAAACACTTCCCTGTTAACCAGAGTGGCGATGGGAGCAGCATTGATAAGCTGAGAGTGTAATACGAGTTCTCTCATCCTTTTGTTGGTTGTACAGATTATTAAGAGATGATGCTCGGAGTCTTCCTTTCATAAATTACAATTCTGAACCAGACTTGTGCACTATGAATGAGGTTACTAAATTTACATCTGTATCTCCTCTGTAGGCATTTATCTGGTTTATAAATGTACATTTTTTTTTATCATCATGATACTGAATAGTGTAAAGTAAACAAGCATATGCCACACCATTTTAACTGCAGGCAGAAGCAAGTTCAAATCGACATATGTATACCTTGATTGTGAAAACATGATCTGCATCATCTATGTCACTGCACATGATAGGTGTAAACAGTCTAAAACCTCGATCGCTTTAACATGTGATCTACAAATACCATAGAAAGTCCCTGCATGCATATAGGTACAGATATTGTGTTATTGTCGCCATCATAGAAATCTCAATCGAAAGGTAGCAATCTCCATACCTTTACTTCTGTCAAGGGATTGTGGTCTGATAATAAACATCCACCACACATAAACCACCACAACAGTGACAATTAAAAAACACAAAAGTCAGTTTAAGTGTCACTAACGCACCTTGTCAGGGACCCGTATTGGAATGCCCTGTTATTATAGTATACTCCGGCACCAGTAACTGTGTTCTGGCTGCATTTTCCATGTATACATGTATGTTTCTTGCAGATACCTCACAATATGTTCAGCATGTACTAGAGCACTATGTTCTGCTTATTATTGGAAATATAACAAATACAAATACAGTGTGCGCAATAGCCACCAACACACAGCGATATATACTCTGGAAAGTGTGAGTGACCCATTACCTCTGTTTATCATTTATTATGGATTATAAAACAGTATTATGCTATGTGAGCTTTTTTGTACCATCAGGAATTTCCTGTTATAAGTATATTTTGCTGTGTGTTTGTAGTTATATTGTTTTCAGTCTCTGATGAGTGACTATGGACACTAGGGTAGCTGCATTTTCATTTTAATAAACTAGTGTGATGCAATGCAACTTGATCTTTTGTGTGCTCCCGTTCAACGTAAAAAACAAACAAAAAAAAACAGGTTGAAGAAAAAAAAAAAAAAATTGGAGTTTTGATCAAAAATGTATTCACACTATACGGAATAAATATTACCGTATATACTCGAGTATAAGCCGAGTTTTTCAGCACATTTTTTGTGCTGAAAAACCCCAACTCGGCTTATACTCGAGTCACTGTCTGTATTATGGCAATTTACATTGCCATAATACAGACTGGGGGCTGGCAGAGCTGTTACTTACCTCTCCTGCAGCTCCTGTCAGCTCTCTCCTCCTCCGCGCCGGTCCGGTCAGCACCTCGGTCAGCTCCCAGTGTAAGTCTCGCGAGAGCCGCGGGGTCATAGTGCGGTCTCGCGAGACTTACAGTGTGAGCTGACAGAAGAGCTGCACGGACCGGCGCGGAGGAGGAGAGAGCTGACAGGAGCTGCAGGAGAGGTAAGTAACAGCTCTGCCAGCCCCCCTCCTCCCCCCACTGAACTGCCAATGCCACTGGACCACCAGGGAAGGAGATCCCCCCTCCCTGCCATGTATCAAGCAGGGAGGGGGGACAGAAATAAATAAATTGATAATATATAAATAATAAAAATAATAATATAAGTAATAAAAATAATAATATAACAAAATAATAATATATACATATAAATAATATAAATAATAATAAAAAAATAATACAACAAAAAAAAAATATTAATTTTTTTTTTATAAAAATGCCCACCCCCCACCAAGGCTCTGCAACACAAACACACACTGCATCATACACACACACTGCGCACTCATACACACACACTGCGCACTCATACACACTGCGCACTCATACACACACACTGCGCACTCATACACACTGCGCACTCATACACACAGCGCACTCATACACACAGCGCACTCATACACACAGCGCACTCATACACACAGCGCACTCATACACACAGCGCACTCATACACACACACAGCGCACTCACACACACACTGCGCACTCATACACACACACTGCGCACTCATACACACACACTGTGCACTCATACTCACACACTGCGCACTCATACTCACACACTGCGCACTCATACACACACACTGCGCACTCATACACACACACTGCGCACTCATACACACACACTGCGCACTCATACACACACACTGCATTCATCATACACACACACACACTGCATTCATCATACACACACACACTGCATTCATCATACACACACTGCATTCATCATACACACACACTGCATTCATCATACACACACACTGCATTCATCATATACACACACTGTAAATAAATATTCAATTAATATAATTTTTTTAGGATCTAATTTTATTTAGAAATTTACCAGTAGCTGCTGCATTTCCCACCCTAGTCTTATACTCGAGTCAATACGTTTTCCCAGTTTTTTGGGGTAAAATTAGGGGCCTCGGCTTATATTCGGGTCGGCTTATACTCGAGTATATACGGTACTAGTGTGACTATATGCGTTGTGTGTCTTATTACATTTCAGGGCACAGTAGGTCTCTTGTTCCTAAACAAACACTTGCTCATTTATACATAACTCTTAAATAAAGCGTAATCCTCTGGGCAGGATACAAACCACGAGGAAAGAGTCATATCTAACCAAATATGAAATCTACTTACCTTCCAACTCTTGCTCGAACTAATCCATGAGACTTGATAAATACACAGTCTCCAACCTTCAGCCACAGTTCATTATATCGAAGCTGCTCAAAGTAATAGCAACCAGGGTCACCATTGGGCATGTCAACAGGAACGTCTTCCTTCTCCTGTATGATAAAAATCAGATTCTGGACATTAGAATTAAAATAGGTTTAATAATAATCTACCCTCGCTGCGCAGTAAGGCAGTTTCTTCGGCTCATAACAATGCTCTTATTTTCAAGTATGCCCTGCTTTAGAGTACAGCATTTATTATTAATATCCTCAGGTTAAACAAAATAATAATTTATATGAAGTAACTGGAACTTTTATTGTGAACAGTCAACGCAGAGAGAAGAGTGCACAAACTGAATGTCTCATGTATCAGACAGATTCCCATGTTAGGTGTGATGTCCTCCCCTAATGTGCTACAAAAAGATCATCTACCTTCTGCAAACTCTGAGTGATATCCTCTTCCTTGCATTCTTCTGTGGCATCCAGGGATGAATCTTCTTCCAGCTTGCTCTTCGTGGCAAACACAGAGGCTACTCTGACCACAGGCAAAGGGATATCTCTTGGCCTGAAACGAACGGAGCTGATTGGCATCGTCCACAACTTGATTTTCTTGAAAGACTTGGCTTTAGCAGAATATCGAGATTCGCAGACATACACATCCTCATCACGGAAGTTTTCAGGGCAGATTTTAAAATACTCCTGTGTGTTCAGAAAAAATAAAAATTTAAAAAAATAATTCTTACATCATACAGATTCACAAGGCTAGGGAGAATAAACAATTTCAACATCATGGCCTTCCAGTGCAAACGGGCATAACTATGGTAGTTTTTAGAAATTGTATTCATTTGGTGAAAATAAGAAAAAAATGGCTAAAACTTACACAGTGCTTTCCGTATTAATTATACCTTTTGTTTGAGATCCAAAAACTTTATGGCAGAAAATAAAAATAGTGAAAGTTACCTTTTTTCCCCTTCATGCATTGCACAAGCCACACAGGAAGGAATTAACTTAAACATCAGAACGTAAACATCAAAACCTAGCATAAACAAAGTCAATGGGAGTGGGGAGAAATTACAAACAAAATAGAATTCATCAAAAAAGAAAGGGAGCAATGCTGGTTGGCTTGACACATATCCCCTTCAAAGACAATGGGTTAATCCCTTTCACAATATTGTAAGCGCTGCAGAATAAGTTGGCACTATATAAATGTGAAACATAATAATAATGAATGTTCGAGAAAATCACCCCTTATACGAGTTCCTTTAATAAGATATGAGTAATAGAATCTCTCAAAGACAAGTTCAGGGCCCATCTGTAATATTTGAATCTCTTACCTTCACAAACATGACAACACATTTGCCAAGAATCTTGTTAACAGGAAATTTGTTATAATAATCACTCTTGAAAACTTCCTTTTCCAAAAATTTCCGCGTAGCAAGGTGAAAGGTTTCTTTAGGACGATAGAACCAGCAACCATACAGCCATTTCTCGCCTACAAACACCAATTGAATAAAATTACAGCCAAACGTTAATTCAACCAGTTTAACATACCTTTGCAAATATGGCTCTTAGTATTTTTTGCAGGAAATCTGAAAATTTTTAAATAGCAAATAAGAGGGACACAATTTAACCAACATTTTGAAAATCATAATACACATTAGGTCTAGCCCTATGCAAGGACCGAAAACCAGATGCTTAATGCTATTTTCAGGGAGTCTCCCATTGGCTGGCACGGCTTCAAAATCATCAGGGATAAGGCATTGTTTTCAGTTAAACACGAAAAGGAGAGAATTCAACGCTAATTAACACACAATTATTAGAGGGAGGCAGCAACCCAAAGGAAGGAAAACCCCTCAGGTCCTTCGGTGAATAAACACAAGTAGAGAAAAAGACGTATGAGGGCTGCGCCAATGAGTCCAGTAAAATATTACTAGGATACCAGTGGATCGTCGGGGATACTGGATAGGGTTTCTTGGTAGAGGTAGCTATTGTTTTCAGTACTGGCACTGCACTCTTGAGTACAACATTCCATCGTATGATTTAAAGTTATGGTCAATTTCATTATTTTCACCTTCTCTAGCTATATGCTGTTAGTACAGCAGTGAAGACAACAAATACCGTGCCCAATAAGTGACAAAGTCTTGAGCATCATGGTGGAACACTGTCTGCATATGAAGCTATGCCTTGTACCTCCTATTACTGGGTTAGGGGAGAGTCAATCATTAGATAAGCAAGTTTGAATCTTTACATTTGCTGAGAATATCATAGTGCAAGCAGTGTACATTCTATTACCTATTAACTATTAACACGCCATGGCTCCCAGGATCAAAACACACTTCAACATTTTGGATGACCTCACCTGCAGTATCCTCCCAGAGCCTTTCAATGCAGACAATATGTGGTTGAAGATTAGGCTCTGCAGGCTCCACGTACACATAATCTCCAACGTGGTACATACTATTCTTAAAGCTGCAGTCCTGGCTGTACGTGCGATATAAGCCAGACTGCCCAGACACACCTCCGGGATCTTCACTTTTTTCAGCTTCTTTAGTTAAAAACAAATAGGAATACAGAGTTTTTATTCAATCCAATGAGTAACTAGTGTAACAGGTTTATGCACAAGCAAGCTAGAGCTTCAGCAGATGCACTTAAAACATATTTGATATACTAAAAGGGCACCCAGCTCTAGGCTGACAGATTGAGTTGATGCTCTCAGCCGTTTACCGGCTTTATGAAATATTCACACTGGCGGTGTAAAGATAACATTCTAAGACAAAGTAGGGACTACTTTGCCTCACGCATTTCTCCTACACCTGACAAATCTCGACAGAAATGCAGAACTACTAAAGTCAAGCTCTGTCATTTCTATTTAAGATATATTAAACTCCAAAGTTATTCAGCCAAGAGAAATGATTAGTAATGTAGTACGGGACTGTATATTCATGCAATATTTACATTATCCAAGTTAATTGAACTTGTGTCTGCAGAGGTAACAAACCTTTTCACAACAATGTTATAAATTCAACATACAAACTTCAGAAAAAGACATTAAAAGTGACACTCCAGGCACACAGACCACTTCTGCCCATTGGAGAGGTGTGGGTTTTATAAACTGCATTAATTACCTTGCAGGGTTAAGACCTCCTCTAGTGATTGTCTATAAGACAGCCACTAGAGGGACTTCCGTGTTCTTTGAACACGAAAAAGTGTTTTAAACATCACTGCATAGCATGAGGACCTCAGGCGTCGCCAGAATCCCCATAGGAAAGCATTGAATAAGGCTTTCCTATGGGGAGGTATAATGCCGCGCATGCGCATTAGGTCTACCCTGCCGGCTGACGTCAGAGGAGGAGGAGCATGGGTGGAACCTGGATTCAGGTAAGTCACTAAAGGAGTTTTAACCCCTTCAACAACATGAGAGCAGGGTGGGAGGGAGAGGGGCACTGCAGGGATATGTTTTCCTGGCACTGGAGAGTCCCTTTAATCCCACTGTTTGCTAATATATGCACACACAATGACCAAATTACCGTAAAGGATTACTCCAAGCACCATGACAACTTCATTGATTTGAAGTGGTCATGGTGACTGGAGTGTGTATGTGCAGCTTTTATAAAACTGTCCACATACTGAGCAATATAAAAAAAAGTGTCTACATACTGAGAACCTGTCTAATGTCAAGTTCAGCTCAGCTAAGTAATCACCAGTGGGACTGCCATCTGAAGCTCTGCAGAAGCCAGATGTGCATCATCCAGCATCAGGCTTGGCACCCAGTGAGGACGCAGGTAAGAGAGTTTACCATAGCAGTTTAATATCTTTTTAAAAACGTTAAACACTTCAGTTAACGAGCATGGATATTTACAGGGACAATGTAGTGTTAGGAATACAAACCCATTTCATACCCCATGAAACAGCAGGAAGTACCTCTAATAGCGGTCTGGTAGACCGCCACTAGAGGCAGTCTTAACCCTGCACTGTTTCTCTAATAATCATAAAAGAAAAAACAGATTCCACCGATTATAACTGACATTTCAATGAAATAATTTCCGGGTAACAGACTAAACATAAAAAAAAAAACTCATCAGATTGCACCCTAGAAGTAGATTTGTGCATCTAATGTGCAGACCATAAATATTTGGACAAAGCTCGTACTCCAGCTAAATAGATTTAAATTGCTACAATAACCAAAATGTAGTTAGAAAATAAATGTCATACTGGAGGTATTTCAATCCATTAATTATGCCAGCATATTACAACTACCCAAAACCCTTATAAGGAAATAGATTTATTTTGTTTATTAATCAGGAAAAATTATTTGCTAGTGTTCGGAAAAACCCCTCTGAGCACTTAACGATATTAAAATACCTTTCTTCTCTTCTTCTCGTTTAGCTTTATCTTCTTCATATTCCTTAGGCAGTTTCTCTTTCTTCTCCTTTTCCACGTCATTGTGAAGGTGTTTGGTGGTGTAGCTAAGGGCAGGAGATAGAAGGATTTCTCCATTCTTACAAAGCTCATCACGAATTTTGATAAAGAACTGCTGGAGTTCAACTGCATCCTCATAAATTTCGGAGTCCGTCCTGTGACGAAAAATAAATACATTACAGAATGCATTAACGTGAAGCTTTGCTGTACTGAATAATCAATAACTCAGCATTCACATACACAAATGGCAACTTCGTTCTTTTTTTAAATAAGGATAACCCATCCGCTGTGTTTTGTCAATGTGTCAGAAAACAGTGACTCATATGAATAAAATTAACAGCCCTGCACCATCTGATCATGGGCCTTTTCCGACTTTAAAGTTTGTTTTAAATTTGCCCAATCTCCTGTCAGCCACATTTGCTCAAAAAAAAAATTAAAAAAAAAGGATTTTAAAATATCTGCCGTGCCCTGACCCTTTTCTGGTTTAAAAAGGACCAACATTTCAAACAAACGTTTCTTCTCTTGACAGTGGGATGGCACTTTAGTGGTGATGGTGTGAAGAGTCTCATTCAATATTAAAATGGAACAGTCATTTGTGATATAGTTAAAATTCTTAATCGATAAATAACAATGTAGGATTTTTATAAATCCCCTTTATATGTCATATGTGTTGTTAACTGAATACTATGAGGTGTCACTCTGGTTTTCCTTAATTTAAAATTGTACGCTCGAATTTTTAAAGGGTAATCCAACACCCCTTGGTTCCTTTTCTTTGGAACCTTCTTGTATACAGCTATCGTGTACCATATAAATTAGTGTATCTCCTGCAGTGTCACGTGTACAATACTATGGAAGGAGAAGACCAGATTCAGGAAAAGTGGCTATAGAGTCCTTTTGGACCTGAGACCGTTACTAAACCACATTAAAACGGTTTGACATCTTACCGAGGGACGGTGCCAGGGCTTACTTTAATTTTCTAAATTTATTAAAACATGCACACAAAAAAAACAAAAAAACACCCCAGTCACAAAGTATTAGGGAAAATACATATACGTTTTATGAATACATAATCCGCTTAGTCAGGTGAATCTCTCGCTGAAACCACTCTGCCCCACAATCCCAAAATTATTATTTTACCCTTAGCAGAGCCTAGTATGCATCACAGAACCCAACAAGGTTATGGAGAGGAAAAAAATGTTCATGTAGTTCTGCAAGTCAGACAATTTCACAAAGATGTGCATGGTATAGTTACTGCAAGCACCATGACCACTTCCGTAAATTTGCTTTATAACGCTGGAGTTTAACCACTGTGCCAGCAGAGGTGTAAGCTAAGGCAGCGTCATTGGGGTGTCATTTGTCATATCAATATTTTTATGCACAGGTATTCATTCACTGGCTGAGTGTGATCAGCTGACATTCCCAGACAATGAATCAACAGCAGGATTGGCATCTGCCTTCTGCAGGTTTGCAGAAGCCAAATGTTGTAAACCTACCCACAGAGCAGTCTGGGACACAGGTAAGAGTGCAAACTGTTGCCAATAGTTTGCCCAATTAGCTGGTAATGGAACCAGGGTACTACTCTCATCATAACCACTACAGCGGTTATTAAGGCGGGAGTAACCATTTAAAATTATTTTCGTTAGATTTCCTAACCATTCCCACTGTAAAAGGGATACTCTAGGTTTCAAACCAACTTTATCATAATGGAGCAGTTTGTGTGTATGGATCATGCTTCTGCAATTCAGTAGTTAAAGTGGCAACGTAACCCTCCTCTTTTTGAAATACTTATTTTGACTGTGTTGGGATTTCACTGAAATTCCAAACCAGGTCAAGAGATAGAAAGAGAAAGTAGGGACTATTTTGTCTTTGTATTTCTCCTCCGACTGACTTTCTTAGACTCATGGGGAGTGTTGTTTAATATCTACAGCTGTCACCAGTCACGGCTGCAGGAAATTGGCCGTGTCTATGGAGGGTCCTGCACATGCATGAGAGTACAATAGTGCCGTTGGCTCCAGAAGTTAGAGAAGAGCAGTGCAAGAAAGATGGTGGTGCCCACGAGGGACAGGGTCAGGTAAGTAATTTCACCTTTACCTGCCCCCATGCTGGCAACCGGATCACCCGTGGCAATGTCACCATCTGAGGACTTCAGAAATTTGGCACTTTAAACCAAACTCTCTAGCCACCCCTGCACTGAGACACAGTCTCAAAATAAATACATAAAATTATAAATTAAAGACATAGTGCAATAAAGGAAATGTATAAATTACACTTTTTCAGGAAGTATTAAGGAGGCTGTGTTAGTCACAGCCACGAGAAGTGTGGTTAGGACTGCATAAAAGTTATTTAAATGGCAGAGAATTGAGCTGCAGTTGCCTAATCTATCTAAACTAAAATGGCTTCATTGAGCTTAACTAGTCCTGGTGCTTAAAGTGCTCCCCTGATATGCAGGGCCTTTCATGATTCTTTTAGTTTTTACATATCCATATTTCTTCCTAACTTCCTAAAACATTTTGATGGAGCACAAAACAGTGTTTTAAAGATATTTTTGTTATAATCACCATTTAGCAATAAGAAAGCAAAATAAACCACAAAACGCAACAATATTAATTCTGAAAAGGTCAGAGGTATGTAGTCTAGTTCGTGCCTAAACATCACATTAGCATTTAAACAGATTTACAAATGTTTCCGCTCAGCTAAACTAAACTACTTACTTCTAGAGTCAGTGTCCAACACATGAAGAAAAAAAAAAAAGAGAGAAAAGATTTCTTACCGGTTCATCCTGCGTGCTCTTTCTAAAACTTCAAACATCTGCTCTTGGAATAAATCCAATCTTCTGTATCGGTTGTTCTCCACATTCTTTCTGATAATATCAAATGTTAGTGGAGGCCTTTTTGGAAACTTTGGGTCAACAGCAGGTATTTCCGCCAGAGAATCACTGTAGCATCTTCCTTCGTCATCCTGATGGCTCATTACGGACACGAAAAGGTTGTGGATCAGCTCTTGGATCAGAAGTGTGACATTTGGAACATGAGAATCTTCGTCTCCTTCAATATCTCTACGGGTCTCAAGTAAGACTTTGTGCAGAACCAACGCATCTTTATAGATTAACGATTCTGGCTCATTATAGGTGCATGCGTTATTGAACATAATCACAAAATCTTCACACATGGCATCGATATCCTGGTATTTGTTTGCCATTATATGACTCCTAATCTTTTCCATATCTATTGGCTTTTTGATTGTCAAGTAATAATCAGGGAGCTCAGAGCGAGAAGGGAGACGCAGGAAGATGGCACTGAGACGCCTGCCACGTTTATCTGTGTAATTCTTCACAGCTTCATAAACCTCATTAAGTTTCTGTTGCATGGGACTAAGGTACTTTGTCTTTTTTGGAGATATTCCACTTTTCCTACCTGGAAAATGAAGTTCTAAGGTCAAAAATATATTACAGATTTGAGACACTGCAAAACAACCAATATTAAAGCAAGTTAAAAATCAGATGCTGCTCAGCAAATTGATCTTCCACAAATAATGTGGAAATTAGAACCAGGTAAAAAGATTCAAGGGCTCAGATAACACAGATATACAACGTGGAAATATGGAATTCTAATTAAATAATGCCTTTGTCAATTCTATCAAAGGATTAATACATTCTTATACAAAGGCAATATCAGATATTACTTGGCCAAATAGAAGATGAGAGGAATTCCTAGCATGAAGTGGCATACACATTTGTTAACCAAGTGCTAAAGGCCTATCTAATATGTTTCCATGCCAGGACTAACATCATAGTCCCTTGTGCTAGCCACAGGTTTAGCAATTTAAATATGGACACATACAAGTAACTTAAAAAAAAACACCTCAAGCACGCTGTACAGGTTATGGTACCAGAAAGGTTCTGGCACGCTCCCCCCAAAGTAAATAGTCAAACTGTTTGCTAATGGTCTGACCGCTCACTTGGGGTCTGCTGGGCACCAGTCACCTCTTCCATGAGAGACAGGAGCTCTCTGCATTGAACTAAACCAGGCAATGATCTGGGCAGGATCTTCCCGTTATCAATGGAGGAAGTAACCTGCGACCTGCTGATGCCAGGTAAGTTGTCAAACTGTTAACAAATAGTTTTACTCCTTACTATACGGTGTGCAAGGGTACTCCTAGCACCATAACCACTACATTGTGCCTTAGGGGGTATGGTACTTGGAGTGTTCCTTTAAATACCAAGTTCTACTTACTTAATTTCAGTTTTGGAGATGCCATGTCATCATCATCAAGAAGAGGACCAAGTTCTTTTCTTTTTTCTTTGAGGACTTTTTCCAACACATGTGCATCGTTATACACCTGTTTAATTGATATGTATTATTAATATATAAAGCAACACAACCATTTATATAGAGAAAGATCACAATGTTTAGCACGGTGAACTCTAGTTGCATTAAACAGGGCGCGAGGTACAAAAATAATGTAATTTTGAAAAGGTGAGGTGCAGCACACCACAGCTGAACAAAACAGCATAAGAGGGTGAGGAACATCATAGAATACAGATGAATTCAGGATTAGACGGAGAAGAGTTAGACCCATAGGTGCATTGAAGCAGCATACAGTGAATAAAAAAAGGAAGTGCAAATAGGGAGCGCAGCACAAATAATGGGATCAAAGGATGAAGAGCAGCATAATGATGTTCACATAGAACTTAAAGAAAGGATAAGGAAAGTACAATACAGATAGCTGGAAGAGAAAGGAACAGCAATCAATAAAAGCAGACAAGTAGAGGAGAGAATAAAACAGGATGACACAATGAAGCAGAGTATATTACAGGCACATAAAAAAAATAATGAAAATGTTGGAAGGTGAGGTGTACACCACGGGAGAAGTGGTAAACTCCAGATAAATAAAACAAATAAAATAGACAAGAGATTGTGCAGCAGCACACTATAAAAGCACAAACCAGGATTGAGAGGGAGAGGAGCACCTTTCTATAAATTCACAGAATAGGATTAGAGATTGAAGACCAATCTAGCTCGTTTTGACATAAACAATATTTTGCAAAAATGTGGAAAACCCAGAAATATAACAAAAACAAATTTAAAGATCATATCAATATTAGCAACACACACAAAGACTTAGGGAAGATTTATCAGTGTTTTCAAAAGCCAAGGTTAGTTTAATTATTTAGATTGCATTTATAAAATGTTCTAAAACGTGACAATTTACACTCAAAAAACAGACATTATAGAAGACTACCAATACTGTTGTGTTTGTCAGAAAAAGTGTTGCTAAAATCTGTCATTTTGTAAAAAAAAAAAAAATATTAGGTCAATACAAAGGCATATATTAAAAAATTAAACAGATTAAAAAAACTTGACAGATTTAATAAATAGCACAAAGATTTATAGAAATTTAGACGTGTTGGCAACACTTTGATAAACTCCTCTTAATATCAGCTGATTTTCAAATGTCTTTTAGTCTGAGCTGGAGCTGGAAAACAGGTCTTTGACAGTATTATTTGTGACAGTGTTTTGATTATTGGACATTGAATTATATTTCTATAAAGAATAAAGCATGCTTAGGTTGTCACAAGTTAACTTAAACGGTGATTAGTTCAGTGAGGAATTCTATTTTAGTTTAGAAATTGTGGAGGAGGTTGTAATATTACCACAACGCTGTGAAATTCCAGGCATAACTTTTCATTATATAGTTTATTTTGTCTGACTGAATGCACGCTTGTGTGTTTCACGTCTACAAAAGATAGGCAATACCTGAGAACCTTCTTCATTATAATGCCAAGCATTTCGGAACATCAACTTCATATCATCCATCATAGCTTCTTCCCCAGAGTATTTTTCTGTACGAATGTTGTGCTCAATGGTCTTCAAATCCATTGGCTCGAGTATAATTTTATAGTAATCTGGGTAGTCTTTTTTGGATGGTCTGAACATGAAAAGTTCACAGAGTCTCCTTCCTGTACCCGGCTCACGTGATTCCAGAACAGCATTGAATAAAATTTTCATTCTTTGTTTTTTTATGTTTTTCTTGCTGTTGAAAGAGTTAAAATAGATTTCTTGAATTCAAAAACATAAATCCAAGCAGATTAACATGGTTATCAGCAAAACTTTCCCTAGAATCTAGGACCAAACATTTTTTAATATGGTCTTTTGAAGAAACTGACTAAACTTAGTATATCAAAACATATAAATAACAGTATATTAACACTGTCGGAGTTGGGAAGTTAAGGATAGTAAAATAAAAGTTTCCATGTCTCGCCTCACCAGCCTCTCTGTCTAGAGGTTGATTTTTACTTTATAAGATGTTTATAGAATAAGGAGAAACTAGTTCTTAATAGAATAGATGTTTTGTTACTGTATGTAAGCATATAGAAGGCTAACACAATGGGTTACATCAATAGAGCATTCAGTGGAAGCGGTTTCACAGTTGGCACTGCAGAATATAACCGATAACAGTTATTATGACCAAATGTAACAACATGTAAACTGGAGAAGTCTTGAAGGCAGACATCAGAGGTGCGAGTACAAACAGAAAAAAGTAATTTGTCTCCTCCTTGGGAACTATTGTGGTACTGTGATTTAGTGGTGGGCTTAACATGATATGACCAGATGGTGGAACTGAATCCCCATATTTGCTTGCTGAGATAGGCAATTTTAAGTAGCATTGTAAAAATATAACAATTTTTATGTGTGTGTTATTCCTTAATCTGTATGAGGTATATAGTTAAAGGGACATTTCAGGCACCAAAACAACTACATCTAAAGGGCACTCTTTTCTCAAAGGGTTAAACCGTACTCAAACAGTTTAACCCAAAGTTACCTCCAGTGCCAGTCTCCACTCCCCCAAGGCGGCATCTGGCTTCTGAAATTCAGTTTCAGGAAGTGCGGAGTGCCGCTGATTGGCTGAGAGCGGTCAGTTGATGCTCTCAGCCAATCAGTGACTCCCCATTCACTAAACGTCTGGGAAAGAAACAAAAGATCACAGCCAATCAGCATATCCCCTTGCTTCCTGAAACTGAAATTTCAGAAGCCGGATGCCATCGGGGGGAGAGGGAGTGGTGACCGGCGATGGAGGATAGATGCACGAATATATGTACATTCATTGTATAGCTGCAGTAATCCATCCATGTGCAACTAAACTATTACAGCTAGAAAAACAGCCAGTAATTTTCCAGTGAAAATACAAACTAGTTTCATTTCTTGGAGATGGGTTGGTCCTAGCTTTTAACCCTTTTACTCATCAATAAATATATAGACTGAATGGCAGAGTTAGATATACATACTCCAACCATTTCAAAACATACCTTTCAAGATCTAAATGTTAAAAATATAGTACTTGTCATTAAAGGACCAGTAGAGGAACCAAGACTACTTCATCTCAATGAAGTGGTTACGTTCCAGTGACCCTGTCCTTATAGTCATTCAAACGAAAAACGTTGCTGTTTAACTGAAATGGCAGTGTTTTTGATTGAAGGGTTAAACAGGTAGGCAAGGGCAGTCATGTTGACAGATGCAACAGGCCGTTGCGATGCAACAACAGAGTTCACTTGATTTTGTGATGTCTGACATGACATGAAGATACTGAATACCTTATAATGCAGTTCATAGAAAAAAAAAGTGATTGGACGTACGCAGCACAAGTGCATCCCATTCCCTCCCAATGCTACTGAATTGGAGAAGAAGCCAGGAAGCAAAGACCCCAGGATAACGTTGCGTTTGAAGGAGTGATCGGCAGGACAGAGAGAGTCTCAGCACCGGAAATAAGGCAAGTTAATATTTTTTTCACATGTCAAAAGGGGGGTGTTCCTTTAACTCCATTCTATGTTATTTCACGGTCTGCTACACAAGTTCAATAAAGATATTGTTATTAAATAATCTGCTATTGACAATGATATACAAAATATGATTGATGCAATCATAGTAGCTTTTTTTTGGGGCCTAGCAATGACGGGGTTAATGATGCCCAGGTTGCCTAGGTATCAAACCAGGTACTAAATATATGAGGGAAACAAACCATATTTCTATAAATAATTTTTTTTATAAAAAATGTTTTATTCTTGTAAAAAGTAACTTGCAGTAGGACAGAGGACCAATAATGTTCCCCTATGTTAAAAATACAAAAAAATACAATGATTCACATCATCTAAAGTGTAATTATGCAAGGCCAGACTGGTATGATAATGCAGATTTACATCAAGACCGATTCATGAATATTTATAGCAAGCAAAATAGGGCTGCACGCTGCAGTGCTGTATTGTACTGCAGACAAGGGGAACAGACATACCTTTTCCTTTTGGAGCTGCCTGTATCAGATGGAGCAGAAGAGATCATGCTGTCTCCGTCCTCTATATCAAGATCTCGCCTCGCAAGCTCCTTCTTTTTGGCCTGAAATAAAGAACAAATCTCCAGGGTCAGCCTCGCTTTGACAAACGTTCCCAGAATACATGAATATTAAACAGCTGCATAGATCAGTTTCCCCTCATAAAAGCTACAACGGGTAACAGAGCATAAATATTAAAGGGCTTGTAGAAATGCAGTAACGGGAGAAGCAGACAGAACCCCAGCTGCATTTTTGCATTACCTACATCAATTTCTTACAAGCATGTTGTGGCTTTCAAGACAAATGCATAGCCACATTTACACTGCGTCAAAAATATTAAAAACTTCCATAAGATACCCCAGTGTTCTAAAACAAAAAAGATGCATTTGATAAAAAATACTAAATTACAATTGTTAATCGCATCCTGATAAATACCGTTTTATACTAAATTGGGGATTCTTTTTCCTTTTGATTTAATAAAATAACAAAATCAAAATTGTTACAAAAAAGGTTGCAAACATTCTGTGGTGGATTTTCAACTTCCTATTGCCAGGCAATTACATAGTTACATAGCTGAAAAGAGACTTGCGTCCAAGTTCAGCCTTCCTCACATTTGGTTTTTGCTGTTGATCCAAAAGAAGGCAAAAAAAATAATCAGTTTGAAGAACAATTTTGCAACAAGCTAGGAAAACAATTCCTTCTTGACCCCAGAATGGCAGTCAGATTTATCCTTGGATCAAGCAGTTATTACCCTAAATTGAAAGATTATATCCTTGAATATTCTGTTCTTGCAAGTATGCATCTAGTAGCTGTTTGAACTTATGTATGGACTCTGATAAAACCACTTCTTCAGGCAGAGAATTACACATCCTGATTGTTCTTACAGTAAAAAAGCCTTTCCTTTGCCTTAGACGAAATCTTCTTTCTTCCAGTCTAAACGCATGGCCTCGTGTCCTATGTAAAGTCCGGTTTGTGAATAGATTTCCACATTTGCAATGTATGTCAATAAGATAATGACAAAAACAAAACGAAAAAGAGAGTTTTGTTTACTTTAATTAGGCTGGGAAATTTTGGGGATCTCATGGCTCAATGTCATGGCCAAAAAAAGTACCTTTTTATGAATGCGATATATGGCTTACTTTTCATGAAGTGTTTAGGAAGGCTGTGCAAGTCACATGCAAGGTGGTGTGACTAGGACTGTATAAACAAAATTTATTTAACTCCTAAAATGCATAGAATTAAGCAGTGAGACTGCAGGGGCATGATATATACACCAAAACTGCTTCATTAAGCTAAAGTTATTTTGGTGCCAATAGTATCCCTTTAAATAGAACCTGTCATTATATGGCAACAAAGTCAGGGTCATGGAGGAGGTTTGTCCTGCTTGGGGAAGTGTCCCCAAGCGGGGCAAATCAACAAAGACCAGAGGAGAAATGGGTGTTACAGAAGTGTAAAACCCACTTCTTTAAAATATATCACGGTGTGAGAACAGAGGGCCAGACAAGTCATAACAGTTTCCACTTAAACATGATACTGTATGATTTTAGGTCTTGACACTAGATGTCACTAGTGTCACACAGTAACTAATTGGTGTGATATGTGGATACAGTATAGCCAAATTGTATGTAACAAGACCTACAATGGAATGCAGGGTATGTTCTTTCATCTGACAACTCGATGTCACTAGTGCAATCAAATTAAGAAAGACTGAGTATGTTGTCAATTATAGAGCTACGTTTAATTAAAGTGAACCTGGAATGGAAAAAATGACTTCCCTGTAATTGCTCCCATACACATTGAATACATCAGGTCATCAGATACATGGTGTATTCAATGTAAAAGGAGTTTCCATAGAAGTTCAGAAATTTCCAGCTAGGGTTGCTATGGGATGAAAACAGAGGGACCTCCGGTGGGAGGTCTTTTCTGCTCTCTCTCTTCTATCAATGGCTTGGCATGGCAAGGTGTTGACCGACAGCTAAGTGGAAAAAAAATAAATAGTTTTCTCCTTATCTAAACATTTGCTAGCACAATGTATAGATGAAATCTTAGATTCAATCTAATGACAGGTGCTCTTTAATAACCCTGCATTGTAGCGGATAGGATTGTGGTATACTTACTACCTTTAGGGGTAAATGGGGAGTGTGGTCTGCGTTTGTAAATTGCACAAATCACTTGAACACTTTAACTACAGCTTAACAGAGTTTATTTGTAGATCATTTATGTTCTAATTCACTTTTTTTTGTTAAAGTTTGTCCCTTTTAAAGGAGGGAATTGAAGTTACGATCAGGGCCACCTTAACAGAATTACAGGATCCCAGGCAAATTAGAGTACTGGGTCCTGCCTACACACGAAAAAATAAAAAATAAAAAATTATATATATATATATATATATTTATTATGTAGAGCAGAGATTAATCCACACAAACATTTATTAACCAACAGGGGGAGGCAACTGACATGGACTGTTAAAAATATTAGAAGGACTTTATTATAGCGTTATTGCTTCAAAAAAATTGTGTGTCGATTTTGTCTTGCTTATGCACAATTAGTACATGTACGTTGTTTTAGTCAAGGTCAAGATATGTATTCGCAACAGAAAGATTACATGTGTGGATAACCGCTGTTACTGAGGTGATTAGACCACCTAAACATTTTAATAAGAGGCTTTAAAAAAGAGAATAGGAATTATTGTAAGTCAATTATCCTAACGAACATATTTATCCTTTAGCATTGGTAATGTGTAGGGACGTGTGACTGGGGCTAAAGTGGTTTAACTTTAAAATTAAGGTATTTAAACAACAACAAAGTATAATAAAAGTTTCAGTTTTTCCCTAAAGTGGCCAACAATGACAACATTTGGTTGAAATAACCACATTTGTAATGCAATGCTCATATGTATCAGTGGGTAAAAGAAAGCATATGGTATAGAATCAATAATTCTCATATTTTCCAAATACTGCATTGATAACAAATCTTGCCTTGTTCTTTCTGCAGGCAAATCGAATTGAATTCAGATTATTTGTCTGCTGTTGGATATTAAAAAATCCTTGGTGGTAGTAATGTAAGCTAAAAAAAAAAAGGGACTATCCCATGAAGACAGTTTCTTTGACTTCTTTTTTATCAACAGCAAAAACATTTGTGAGGAAGACTGAACTTGATGGACGCAAGTCTCTTTTCAGCTATGTAACTATATATAATTTTGTCTGTGTGTGTGTGTATATAAAGTGTACCATCTTCTGCACTCTCTGCTTGTGTTTTTTTTTTCTCTCCCTCACTCACTCTGATCTTCAGAAAGATATTTATGACCCTCTGCAAGAATGTAGTCTATTTTTTATCAAACCTGTGTCTTATCTACACTCCTGTATCACAACTCAACTTTGAATTCTATGTGTCGTCTTGCTCAGAAATGCTTTAGACTTGAGAAAGGGGAGGTTCTCCCAGAAGCATGTCATTAAAAAAATTATGTTCGTCCAATAAAAAAAAAAAGTATAACAAGATTTTACTGCTTTTTACAAATTATATATATATATATATATATATATATATATATATATATATATATATATATATATATATATATATTCCCCTGAAGAGGATCGCCTAGTACCTGGGGCTAAAAGCCATTAAGGGAGAATACATCACTGATTAAAACGCAACACTGAGTTCCACACTTTAGGCTGGGAAGCTCTGGTCAGCCTTGGACAGGAGTAAATTAATCGTGCAATTTCCTGCACAGCACAGGATGAAGCTTCTGACAAAAACATAAAGGGACACTATAGTCACCCAGACCACTTCAGCTCAATGAAGTGGTCAGGGTGCCAGGTCCCTCACGTTTTAACCCTTCAGATGCAAACAGGTAACAACCGCCTCCCACTCCTCCTGTTCAGCCACCTCTGTGCCTTAAGCCCCCTGACTGACTGTGGCTGGATGACATCTTCAAACTGTTTACATTTGGGTTTAAGCCAGCCTCTAGTGGCTGTCTTCCAGACAGCATCTGCGACTTTGGAGGCATATTTCGCCTCCATCACGCAGAGCGTCCATAGGAAAGCATTGAGAAATGCTTTTCTATGGACACTTTGAATGTGCGCGCGGCACTTGCCACGCATGCGGCTCCGCTGACGGACGGGGGAGCCGACGTTGGCGAGGGAGGCCGGCACTGGAGTAAGATAAGCTGCTTAAGGGGTTTTAACGTGAGGGGAACTCTGAGGGCACTGTAGTGTCAGAGAAAACCGCTTTGTTTTCCTGACACTATAGTGATCCTTTACAAAAAAAACCAAAAAACAAAACCCAGCTATTAGAATATAAAAAGGGGTTTTACCCGCCTAGTTTATGCAAGTTACACGCATACTGCACACATACTAGAATGCAGCTAATCAAAAATACAAGACACATCAGTCCATCCTAGAGCGCTGGCCAGACAGCTGGAGAGAGTCCGAGTCATGTGACAAGACACCTGCACTTTGTTTGGAAGATTCTGAAACTCTGGACAGTGTGCCCAGAATATTGCAAAATCATAGGATACTTTTTATTTTTTTTAAACTAAACATTAAAAAGCGATCAATATATATCCATACAGTTCGCAATACAAAGCCACCACAGCAAAAAAGTTAAAGATGAAACATACAATCCCCATATAATTACTGCAGGACAACATTTTTCCTTAACTCCCACCCAACATGCCATAGGGTTATGTTCACTAAATTGTTAAACACATTAAGCAACAAAACAACTTAAAAAGGTTAACCCTTTTAAAATAACTTTTTAATTCAATATAAAATACCCTTTTGGGTACTGCTGAGTTTAAATTTAAAGGGTGAACTTTATATAAAATCCACATGACAGACGAGCCTCTCAGCACTCCTCTCCATTTACCGTTCCAAAGTCACTGCTTCTCTCATGTGGTCCAAGCAAATGTCTTTCAAATTGAAACATTTGATTGGACCATTCTCCCCTTAGAGTACGGGGGGAGCGGGTGGACAGCTGGACTGCACTAGTATTTTTTAAAACACTCTTTAAAACAGAGGGAGGCAGGGAGGGCTGTCATAGTAAACGTGCGTGCCTGCAAGTGAAGATTTTGACCACATTTGTAGCCAGTTTGCAGACGACAGACATATTTTTTGCAAAGAATTTCCATTAGGCACCCTGAACTAAGTCACGTGTGCAGGTGGTGTAATAAACTCCTGACACACAAGGAAGCCATGTTGGGTTAGACCCTACCATTATCTGACCAATTGCTGTTCAATCCAACTTGACTGCTTCTGCAGTGTCATCCACAGCAATACAGAAACAACAAGATTAGATCGAGCAGCAGTTGGCAGGTAACAGAAGAGTCTGACACAATATGGCTGCTCAGCAAGATTAAAAAGTCAAATCTTCTCATAAAAATAAAAATCAATTCACTATACATTACAAAAAACAGTAATTGTTTCACTAAATGTAACAAAAAACGTGAAAATTTGATTTTAATTATCCTTTAAAAGTGTCAATTTTTATCCATGAAGGTGTATTGAATTCGAGGGTAGCATTTGTGTTTGAGCTCAGGTCTGCGTAAAGTGGCTTGTAGTTCTTTAAGATGATTTAGATCTGAGTTAAACTTATTTAACAGCTTGTCCAAAAATACCATCAAGTGAGATCTGTCCAATGTCCATTTTAAAAAAAAGGACATTTACTACAAATGATGGAAATTAAGGGGAAAGTAACTTTTTTCCTTGCATCTGCTTATTAATGCATGAAATCAGGTCATGGTCAACTCTTCCCAGGGGTGTGGATTTGTTATCAAACCAAAGGAAACACTCACAGCTAGGCTCGCCAAAATGAATTGCCACTGCAAGCCTAGAGTCCATTGCATAAGCACCAGGGGTGAATTTCTGTTCTCCAAGGTTAAATCTTCACTAAGTAAAAGCTAGTGGTGAGTGGAAATTTTGAACCGTGCTAAAGCTGTTTTAATAGGTTTTAGGAACTCCTGATTATCCTGATGATCATGGTGCACTGTTCCACATATTGCTTTTTTATTTGAGACACTAAGGGAACTTACATTTTACATAGTCCAACGTATGTGTGCATAAAAAAAAATAAAAAAAATAAAATAAAGGCTTAAGATTTAATTCTGAATTTGCTAAAGTGCAAGGAGAGATTAAATAATTGTGATATTACCTGCATGAGTTGCTGTAGTTTAAACACTCTCTTGTAGATGGCTGAATTTGGGACATTGTACCGCTTGGCATTCTCAAACATCAAATTTAAATCGGACTCAAGGTGATCCAAACTTTCATACTCTTGGTTCTTAAGCTTTGTTCTGTACAAATTTAAATGACAACTCTTATTAGCTGTAAAACAGCACAAGCAGAATACAACTTGGCTTTCAGAGTATAAATCGAGCCATTGAGAGTTAAAACCATCCAACAAGGCTAATCAGCATTTAAACAAAAACTTGTGCAATAATGATCAATGGTAATAAAAATAGAGATTTTCTCTTACTTTTAAACATTTCACAGCTGAAAGCAAACATGCATTTGTATAATCAAAAACATGTTTGTCTTGTTTCTAACCTGATTTGCTGTAGTGAAATTGGATTTTTGATTTGCTGGTAATAATCTGGATACTTCTTCTTGGATGGAAGGTGAAAGAACGGTTCGGCAATCAGCTGCCCTTGATTATTCCGACATGATCTTACAGTTTCATAAAGCTGATATAAAGGGCTAGATATATCCATAAACGAAGTAATGCTCTCCCCTTCGGACTCCCCTTCTTCGTAACGTATAGCAGATGCTGCAATGCAATTTGAAATTATGAATAAAAGCTTTTGATCTAATATAACACAAACAGTATGAGAGTGTTTTAATTCAGAGTGGTTTTATGATAAGGCTAACTTTAAAATTATTTATAATTCATTAAACCAAAACGCACAAAGCACATCTTTGTGTAAAACTGTACTGCACATGCACATGCACAAAAAAAAAAAAAAATTTAAGCAAAATCATAAGAAAAACTAGTTCCTGTGAGTAAAATACAAAAATTAAAGGGACACTCCAGGTACCAATCTAAATTAAGTTGTTATGGTGCCCGGAGGCCCCCTTACCTCAAGGGGTTATACCTTTGAGAACCGTTTAATCCCAAATTTGCCTTCAGCGCCAATCTCAGATCCCCACAGGCAGCTTCCAGCTTCTGTATTTTCAGATTCAGGAAGCGTGGAGTGTCGCTGAGCAGAGGTGCCGCTGATCGTCTGAGAGCAGTCAGCTGATGCTCTCAGCTAATCAGTGACTCCCCATTCACTAAACTGGCTTGGAAAAGGATTTAGTTAGATTTTTTTTTTTTTTTTTTCGGTGCAGGTTTAGGCATTTAATCCTCCAATCTCCCAGGAGATGTAGGACTAGACATTCTGCAAAAAATATAAAGAGACTATTTTATTTATGTATTTTTCTTGCATACTGCTTGACCCATTCAGAAAGTACATCCCATTTGTGGACTGCCATACAGTATAAGTGACAAAATAGATGAAGTAAATGGTCAAATAGTTTGCTTATAGGTATTTCTAAGGAATCTGAAGGCATTAGTCGCAGTATATTGTACTTAAAGGAACACAAACATGTATTCCTGACCATATAGTGTTAAAACCACCAGTTAGGTAGTTAGCCCCCTCAGAAAGTGTTAAAACATAGCTTATTTTAAACGCAGTGCGGGTCTGCCTCCTTGGTGAATCATCAGAATTTGATTTTTAGCATGATTTTTTTTCCATAGGGAAACCATTGGATTGGCTGAAATCGGCAAGGAGCCAGGGCCAAATGTTATTTCGATCAAATTAGCACCTCCTCATAGAGATTTAGTGTCTCCATGCAGAGCGTCCTAGGGGGCAATGTAAACACTGCCTTTTCTCTGTTTGCACGAAAATGCCTGGAGGGAATGAATATACTCACCAGGACAACTACATTAAGCTGTAGTTCAGGTGACTATAGTGTCCCTTTAACATGGCAACAGAATGCTAAAAGATTGTCAGTATTTTATTATATTGTATTGCCCACATACAGTTCAATCATAATACCCTGGGCTTTAGGAACATCTCAGTGATTCTTCCTTTAATGTTTGGTATGAAAGGGGAGCTGGTATTTTCAGCACATGAGCAGACATTACGAGGGTGAATAGTGGCTTCTGGCAAAGAAAAGCATTACTCTACAGCCGGGTACTAAATTCATGGTGTATAAATGAAGAGGAGTCATGCTTTACAGGCCAAGGTTCATTTTGCCAAGTGAATGAAAATAAAAACATATACACATTTCTGGGAGTAAAAGGGTTGAAGGGACACTTTTAAAAAAGTTACTATTTAGTTAATATACATACAATGAACATGCATCAAGCATTTAAATTGTACATATTTTTCCGCTTGCAAAAGCAGCCGGTTTTGCAAGCTCTCCCCTTCTTCCACTGCCCACACTTTCTGCTGTTATCCATTCTCGGACTTCCCAATGTAACTCATTGAGAAGTATTTGCACAAGGTGGGTGCTCTGGACAATTGCATGTCTCTCAAGATTGCCTCCAGTAAGCTAAACAAGAAAATATTATTGTTCAGATTAACAGCCAGGAGGCGTAACAAACTTATTTTATAAACCTGCAAATTTCTATTGAAATCTGCATTTTTTGTAAAATGAAAAAAAATAATAAAAACAAAACACTTCAGCAAGTGCCATAAGTACTTAGATTGCTCCTTTAATAAAAATTGGATATGCTGCTTACAGTGTCCCCTGAAGAATTACCCAAACTGAAAAAAAAAAACAAACACTTACCATTTAAAGAAGCATCTTCCTCACTTTCTGATCCATACTGTAATGCCATGGTAATTGCAGAGAGTCTGTCCCCTTGAGCAGGTCTCCTGTTTCTAAAGATACAAGTCAAACCTGCATGAAACACCTTTATATACCACTCTTAAAAAACAGCAGCAAGAGCATAAAACCAAAACTATATACTAATTCTTAGTTTTTTTATTTTTGTGCAAATCCCCACAGGGTGTCATTCCCTTCCCCGAGCAGCTCAAACAGCAAGTAAAGGGAATAAGTGGTCAAAAGTGACAGGAACAGACAGAGATAGACAATGAGCCGCATAGATTGAAAACTGAAAGTGCACTCCTCCACTGCAGAGCACCATGCACACATAATTAGTTCCCAGTCTGCTTCCTTCTAACTTGGACTAAAACTGGAAACAAACAGAAATCTTGCAGTTAATGTGAAGGTTATTTGTAAATAGCATATATCTGCAGAGGGGACTACAGGGGTGAGAGCAGACAGACAGGGCAGCCTGCTGCTTTGGAGAGCATGCAGAGTGATGTTGCCATCGTCCTATGTAAACCTGCAGGAGTAGGCAAGGTAGACTGACCAACAGTTGGCTGGATAAAACTAGAATCCAACCCAATATGGCCGCTCAATAAATAAAGATATAAATCTTCTTCCTCTCACATGAACTCAGACTCAGCCTTTCCTCTTGTCTGTCGTATTTTCTTGATTCCTTAGGTCACTTTCGTACATAGTTTTCTTCACATGATTCCCATTTTCCTGTTACATCCCGTCCCTCTCCCACCCAATTCTCCACGATTTCTTGATAGCACTGGAAGGTAGCATCATCAAAATTTGGCACTCGCTACATTGCTCCTTTTCATCTTCATTCCACCTTTCTAAAACTGCAGTGACCTTGCCAGCCTAACCATTAATTATCGCCCTACCTATGACCCTGTCCTTACCCTTTGACTTAATCCCTGGCATTTGGTCTGAGTTTCACTTAAACTTTGTGTTCCAAAGAACTTAAGTGGATACTACAAGATCCTTTCCCTGGTTTTCTGACTGATGGTTGTGGGTATTCCATAGACAACAGTACTACTACTGCTAGGGTAGCTCTGAATTTGTTGGCGCTATATAAATAACATAATAATGATTATTAATACTATCAAATCAGGTTGGGCGGACAGTGAATGCAGTGATTGAGTGATATTGGAATGAAAAAGGGAGTGTAATGGGTGAGGTGTGAACATCAAGCCTGGGACTGACCTTCTGTATTCCTGTTGGCGCTCTGCAGACCCCAGGTAAGAAGTCAAAATGTATTTAAAAACGGATTTACTACTAACCCTGGGAGGGTACTGCTGGCACAATAACTACTAAATTGGGCTGTGGTGGTTATGGTGCTTGGAATATTCCTTTATTATCCATTGGAAAGTCTTACCTGCTGCGCAAACTTGATTTGGCAAATTCTGTATAATCAATTTCAGACTTTTTCAATGCAAAGATTTTTTTAATTGTATTTGCATCCTTTCCAAAGAAAAAGAAAAAAAAAATGATTATTGCAAGGAAATCTACATTTCAGTTGAGCAAAATATAGTATAATATCTCACCTTAAAAACTTGAGATCCTGGTTCATTATATGTTTTGGCATTCTTTGCTAACAGATCAATATCCTTGGCCATGGTGTTGACACTTTTATAAGAACCCGTCTGGTTAAGAAGAAGCATAAATACAAGTCAACAAATTAGTTCTGCGTTTTTTTTTCCAGTAAAATAAAAATAAAGAATATTTAGTTAATACGTAAAAGTATAATATATTCTTGTCTAAATTATTGAAGATATATTGGTCTTATCCAGGACCATATAGATAAATAAAGTACTTGAACTAAAAAGCTAAATTGTTGAAAATGGGCTGTCATTTCCCAATAATCTTAACAATATATTTACTCATGCCCTTTATTTACGTAAAGGATTCTGAGATGTAAAAAAAAAAAAATATATCCACAATCCAGTTTTACTTATACCCTGGCTCTAACCTGATGGAGGTAAAAAAAAATTAAAGGAACACTATATTTTTAGGAATACTAAAAGGTAGCGTTGACATTAAAAGGCCTGCAGGGGTGTGCTACAGATACCAGAACCACTACATTAAGCTGTAGTGGTTCTAGTGACTATAGTGTTCCTTTAGCGCTAGCTATACAAGCACAGAAGAAGCCATCTAACAATTTAGTAAGTACCTGAATCCTTTGTGCAATGGTCTTCAAATCGATTGGTTCTTTTATTATGGCATAGTAGTCTGGATAATGCTGAAATGGTAAAAGTTTATGGGTTTTATTTCAAATGTATAATACTGCGAATGCCATTCTTATAAGCATCGAAGAGCAAAAGGGGGCGGAGCTGTGCAAGAAAATTAAAAACTTACCATCTTGGAGGGCAGTTTCTGGAAGAGCTCGCTAATTATTCGGCCAGTTGGGTCCGTGGCGGCAGTTACAGATTCCAGCAGCTGTTCAAGAACGGGCTTCAGGTAATTTGGAGTTGTCTAAGAACAAAGAATAATTAAATAATATGCAGACAATACCAGTATAACTTGCCACATGTCATAGGCAGAGAATAATATAGAATAGGGGTGTGCAAGAAGCAGATCCCAATGTTTCTTAAAGCATCAATAGAGTTGTAGTTCTGCTAGCTGCTGATCTACCTTTTAAAAGCCCTTAATATTTTTCAGCAGTTGAAAACATACAAAGTTCAAAACCATTCATGCTGGAAAAAAAAAAAAAATCAAACTGGTAAAGGTACCTCTCCTTCGGGAGTGGCTGTGTTATGGTCATCTGCTTCATCCTCATCTTCATCCGCCTCCTCGCATTCACCTTTCTGGACAAACTCGCTCTTTGTGCGCACGTACAGATCCCAAAGCTTGCATGCGGCTTTGTATTCTGGTGAGTCAGGCTGAAAGATTTGAAAAATTTTATAATTTTTTTTTTTTCAAAAAGCAGAATACTTGGCAATCTACAACTATGAATAAAATAAAAAAAATAAAAAAAGCCACTGCAGAGAGGGGATTTCAATTAAATACACAATAAAAAAAAACAAAAACAAAAAAAAAAAAAAACTTGTATTCTTAAACGTACACAGCTTTATGTTGTCGTGTTGGTGTCCCTCAGTGTTCGCACAGTATACACTGGCTTTTGAGAGAAAAAACAGTGTTTACAATGCTTTCATATGGCAAAGCATTGGTTGAGATGATCAAGACAGTGTGATCAGAGCGGTAGAAAAGGTGAGCAAAATCATCTTTTTACTGTGATTGATTGATGTTGAAACTTTAAAGTGCAACTTTGACATGTGATAACCATTTAAAGTAATAATAGCAACATGCCAAGCATATGTCACAAAAACGGGACGTATGATAAAATATTTTGAACAAAATCTTATTTAAAAAAGAGGTGAGGAACACAAGTTATAAAACTGCATTTGTAAATTAGACCGACTGAATTTGTTTTAGTTTGACATTTTATGTTAACAATTCCCAATTGCCAGCACATTTACTTTGCACGCTGCAAACATTTTTAAGCCTTGGTGGCATATCAGACAGCAACTCACCTTGTAATATGCTTTTGCATTCTGAAACAATAACTGAAAATCAGCAGTCAGTATATTCACATCATCATATTCCTCCATTTTTAATTTTTGCTGGATTTTCATTAAATCAATAGGTTGAGATACAACTTCATAGTAATCTGGTTGGTTTCTGGGGTTGTGACAAAAAGAAAATAAAAATGTTATTTGATCTATGAAATCACAGACTATAGTGGGGTTCTACGTTCAAAGCGTTTTATAGGTTTACCTGCGTTTTGGAGCCCTAATGAAGAGCTCACACAGAAGTCTACCTTGCTCATCCTTATAGTCTCGAACTGTGTTGTAAAGTTCATGGCACACAGCAATCTGGAAAAAAATAAATAATAAAATTATATATGTATATATAGCCAAACCCACACCACAAAGCTAACTGCACTAAAACTAGGGACACTATAGACACTCACATCACTTTACCACAATTAAATGGACACTATAGCTTAATGTAGTGGTTCTGGTGTCTATAGCCTTTCCCTGCAGTGCAAGCACTTCAAACACTGCTTTACACTGGTGCTTATTAACACCTCTAGTGGTAGTCACTCAGACAGCCACTACAGTTGCTTTCTAGTCCGGTGCTGCAGTTTGCAGCACCTAGTTTCAGCGACTCCGCGCTCTGCATGGAGGTGCTGAACGTTTCCAATGAGGAGGAGATGATTGTCACAGCAGATGTGTTATTAACCTTCAGTAGATTGAAGATTTCAATCATGGAGGTGGAACAAACTGCAGCTTGGGAGAACAGGTACGTTTTAACCCTTTCATCTCCACAGAGAGGGTGGGCCCAGAATTTAAACATCAATTCTAGAACTATAGTGCCAGGAATATATGTTTATAGTCTTGACAGTATAGTGTAAGTAATGCTCTATGAGGAGATGCTGATTGGTGTAACATGATGTTTTGTCGGGCATATACAATAGACTGCCAATGCCTTCCTTTAGGAAGGCATTGAAATAGTAGAGATCACCACATTTTATGATCTCATCCAAGGAGGCGGGACAGGACCATTCACCTTGAGATTGATCTGACGCTTGAAATAAGGGGAGTAAGATCAACCTTTTTAACAGTTTTACATTTTATTTCCCAAGAGTTAATAAACACATTATCATTCATCGAAATAAGTATTGGTATATGCTCTAATTTAGTGCTATCCAGAAGACTAGAAGCACTACAGGCCTGTGATAAACTCTGGTATTTCTCAAATCATTTGAAAACTGTTTAGCTACTTACCATGGGACAGTGCCAAGGGACTCCTGGCATTGTAACCAGTACAGCAGGCAGTAAGGGATATGGTGCCTAGGCTGCCCCTTGTGCAACAGTGCAAGTAGCTGCATGCTTTTACCCAGCTAAGAAAAAATAGCATTTATTTTCAATCACGCAATTGTATTCACATACTAAATGCATGCTTTTAAAGCTTGACGTTTAAGTAATAAGTTGAAGCTAAAACTCTCTCTACAGCAGGGATGCCCAAAAGGTAGATCCCCAGATGTTGTAAAAATACGACCATGAAGCTTTGTATGCCTTTGGAATGCATGGAATGTCAAAGCATCATGGGTTTGTTTGTCTGTAAAAGAGTATGTGTGTGTTTGTCAGTGAGAATAAATGTGTGTTAAGGTTTGTTTATGTATATCTGAGGGTGTCAGTGTGTGTATATGTCACTGTGTGTATCTGTGTGCCACTATGTGTCAGATAGATACATACATACATACACACACACACACACACAGGCGCACACAAACAAATATACACACCTTGACACAGATACACACACACATTGACAACGATACATACACACACAGATACACAGTGCGTCATGGTTTGTGCATCTGTGTGACACTATGTCAGATATGCACACCTTGACACACACCGGCACATACAAAAAAAACGGCGCAATTTAGAATTATTATTTTTCCACTATGTTGATACACTATGTCAAAGGGTTCCACGGAAAAATTAATTGGGAACCCCTGTGCTAGGCTGATCTTTCTTACCGTCGCACCTCCTATATCTCGCCCCTCTGTCGATCCTTAAACTGGCTTCCTGTATCCTATAGAGGTCAATTCAAAATACTAACCCATACCTATAAAGTTCTAACCAACTCTGGCCCCTCTTACATTTCTTCCCTGATTCATAGATACGCCCCTTCTTGGTCTCTCCGCTCTGCCGGTGACCTTCTCCTGTTCGCTGCTCGTACCCTTACTGCAAACTCGCGCTTGCAGGACTTCTCACGGGCAGCTCTCTTCTTTTGGAACAGTCTGCCTATCCCATCAGACTCTCCTCTAGTCTTCATTTGTTTAAGAAGTCCCTCAAAACAAATCTGTTCAGAAATGCTTATGGCCTCCCAGAGTAATTTATCTATACTTATCCAAACCTGTCTGTTGCTCTCCTAAAAGAGCCACACTCCACTCTCACCTCCAGCTCTGCTACTTTTCCACCTTGTTTGGTGGTTGCCACCCTTGCTGCCCTGTTATGTATTTGTACCCCAAGCCCTCTAGACAAGTAAGCTCGTTTGAGCAGGTCCCTCATCTACCTATTGTTCCTGTGTTATTGTCTCTTTTATTGTAAATTTTCCCCTTTCATAATATTGTAAAGCGCTGCGGAATTAGTTTGTGCTATATAAATACCAATAATAGTAATAATAATAATAATAATAATAATAATAATAATCTGGGAATCTGCCTTTTGGGCACCTTTGCTCTTCAGCAAGTAATGTTTATGATATGGTTTCCAAAGATTAAACATGAGTTAAATCGATCTCCTGCAACCTGTGTGCATATGTACTTACAGGGTCTACAGTTGAAACATTAGCAAGCTTCCTCTTTTTGCGCCCAGAGTTTGGAGTACTTGCTGCATGAGGTACATCATCAAAGTCTCCGCCACTTACACTACTGGATGGTGACGTAGCACGTCGGCGCTTGGAAATCACTACTGGTTCTACCGGTTCCTGAAAAAAAAAAAAAAAGAAACGTAGGTTTTCATGATATAGACATATATTGCCAGTTTCAAAAATACAAAACATAACATGCAGACTATGGAATAAAACAGATGCATCCTGACAGGTGCTGGGATATATATGTCTAGCAGTTTCCTGCAGGTGCAGTGATCACATTTTTGCCTTGTTTGTGTTTTGGGTGCATTGGTTTTCCTCCAGTTTAACACAAACATGTGCAGTAAAAAGAGCTACCATAGGTCCCTGAATATAATGTGATTTATTATAGGATGTGTGATGGTTGTTGAAGCAGGTTTGGCGATGATAGTTTATTATGGGATGTGTGATGGTTGTAGAAGCAGTCTTGCTGGTGATATTATGGGATGTGTGATGGTTGTAGAAGCAGTCTTGCTGGTGATATTATGGGATGTGTGATGGTTGTAGAAGCAGTCTTGGTGATGATATTATGGGATGTGTGATGGTTGAAGAAGCAGTCTTGGTGATGATATTATGGGATGTGTGATGGTTGAAGAAGCAGTCTTGGTGATGATATTATGGGATGTGTGATGGTTGAAGAAGCAGTGTTGGTGATGATATTATGGGATGTGTGATGGTTGAAGAAGCAGTCTTGCTGGTGATATTATGGGATGTGTGATGGTTGTAGAAGCAGTCTTGGTGATGATATTATGGGATGTGTGATGGTTGAAGAAGCAGTCTTGGTGATGATATTATGGGATGTGTGATGGTTGAAGAAGCAGTGTTGGTGATGATATTATGGGATGTGTGATGGTTGAAGAAGCAGTCTTGGTGATGATATTATGGGATGTGTGATGGTTGAAGAAGCAGTCTTGGTGATGATATTATGGGATGTGTGATGGTTGAAGAAGCAGTCTTGGTGATGATATTATGGGATGTGTGATGGTTGAAGAAGCAGTCTTGGTGATATTATGGGATGTGTGATGGTTGTAGTAGTAGTGTTGGTGGTAATATTATAGGATGTGTGATGGTTGTAGAAGCAGTCTTGGTGATGATATTATGGGATGTGTGATGGTTGAAGAAGCAGTCTTGGTGATGATATTAAGGGATGTGTGATGGTTGAAGAAGCAGTCTTCCTAGTGATATTATGGGATGTGTGATGGTTGAAGAAGCAGTGTTGGTGGTGATATTATAAGATGTGTAATTGTTGTAGTAGCAGGTTTGGTGGTGATATTATGGGATGTGTGATGGTTGTAAAAGCAGTGTTGCTGGTGATCGTTTATTATGGGATGTGTGACGGTTCAAGAAACATGTATGGTGATGATATTATGGGGTGTGTGATGGTTGTAGAAGCAGTCTTGTTGGTGATATTATGGGATGTGTGATGGTTGTAGAAGCAGGTTTGGTGATGATATTATGGGGTGTGTGATGGTTGTAGAAGCAAACTTGCTGGTGATATTATGGGATGTGTGATGGTTGAAGAAGTCTTGCTGGTGATCGTTTATTATGGGATGTGTGATGGTTGGAGAAGCAGTCTTGCTGGTGATATTATGGGATGTATGATGGTTGGAGAAGCAGTCTTGCTGGTGATATTATGGGATGTATGATGGTTGGAGAAGCAGTTTTGCTGGTGATATTACGGGATGTGTGATGGTTGTAGTAGCAGTCTTGCTGGTGATAGTGATATTAAGGGATGTGTGATGGTTGTAGTAGCAGTCTTGCTGGTGATATGGGATGTGTGATGGTTGTAGAAGCAGTTTGGTGGTGATAGTTTATTATGGGATGTGTGATGGTTGTAGTAGCAGTCTTGCTGGTGATATTATGGGATGTGTGATGGTTGTAGAAGCAGGTTTGATATTATGGGATGTGTGATAGTTGTAGAAGCAGGTTTAGTGATGATAGTTTATTATGGGATGTGTGATGGTTGTAGAAGCAGGTTTAGTGATGATAGTTTATTATGGGATGTGTGATGGTTGTAGAAGCAGGTTTAGTGATGATAGTTTATTATGGGATGTGTGATGGTTGTAGAAGCAGGTTGGTGGTGATAGTTTATTATGGGATGTGTGATGGTTGTAGAAGCAGGTTTAGTGATGATAGTTTATTATGGGATGTGTGATGGTTGTAGAAGCAGGTTTAGTGATGATAGTTTATTATGGGATGTGTGATGGTTGTAGAAGCAGGGTTGGTGGTGATAGTTTATTATGGGATGTGTGATGGTTGTAGAAGCAGGTTTAGTGATGATAGTTTATTATGGGATGTGTGATGGTTGTAGAAGCAGGTTTAGTGATGATAGTTTATTATGGGATGTGTGATGGTTGTAGAAGCAGGTTTAGTGATGATAGTTTATTATGGGATGTGTGATGGTTGTAGAAGCAGGTTTAGTGATGATAGTTTATTATGGGATGCGTGATGGTTGTAGAAGCAGGTTTAGTGATGATAGTTTATTATGGGATGTGTGATGGTTGTAGAAGCAGGTTTAGTGATGATAGTTTATTATGGGATGCGTGATGGTTGTAGAAGCAGGTTTAGTGATGATAGTTTATTATGGGATGCGTGATGGTTGTAGAAGCAGGTTTAGCGATGATAGTTTATTATGGGATGTGTGAGTTGTAGAAGCAGTGTTGGTGATGATATTATGGGATGTGTGATGGTTGTAGTAGCAGTGTTGGTGGTGATATTATGGGATGTGTGATAGTTGTAGAAGCAGTGTTGGTGGTGATATTATGGGATGTGTGATGGTTGTAGTAGCAGTGTTGGTGGTGATATTATGGGATGTGTGATGGTTGTAGTAGCAGTGTTGGTGGTGATATTATGGGATGTGTGATGGTTGTAGAAGCAGTGTTGGTGGTGATATTATGGGATGTGTGATAGTTGTAGAAGCAGTGTTGGTGGTGATATTATGGGATGTGTGATGGTTGTAGTAGCAGTCTTGGTGATGATATTATGGGATGTGTGATGGTTGAAGAAGCAGTCTTGGTGATGATATTATGGGATGTGTGATGGTTGTAGTAGCAGTGTTGGTGGTGATATGGGATGTGTGATAGTTGTAGAAGCAGTGTTAGTGATGATATTATGGGATGTGTGATAGTTGTAGTAGCAGTGTTGGTGGTGATATTATGGGATGTGTGATGGTTGTAGTAGCAGGTTTAGTGATGATAGTTTATTATGGGATGTGTGATGGTTGTAGAAGCAGTGTTGCTGGTGATATTATGGGATGTGTGATGGTTGTAGAAGCGGTGTTGGTGATGATATTATGGGATGTGTGATGGTTGTAGTAGCAGTGTTAGTGATGATATTATGGGATGTGTGATGGTTGTAGAAGCAGTGTTGCTGGTGATATTATGGGATGTGTGATGGTTGTAGTAGCGGTGTTGCTGGTGATATTATGGGATGTGTGATGGTTGTAGTTGCAGTGTTGGTGGTGATATTATGGGATGTGTGATAGTTGTAGTAGCAGTGTTGCTGGTGATATTATGGGATGTGTGATAGTTGTAGTAGCAGTGTTGCTGGTGATATTATGGGATGTGTGATGCTTGTAGTTGCAGTGTTGGTGGTGATATTATGGGATGTGTGATAGTTGTAGTAGCAGTGTTGCTGGTGATATTATGGGATGTGTGATAGTTGTAGTAGCAGTGTTGCTGGTGATATTATGGGATGTGTGATGCTTGTAGTAGCAGCGGTGTTGGTGGTGATATTATGGGATGTGTGATGGTTGTAGTAGCAGTGTTAGTGATGATATTATGGGATGTGTGATGGTTGTAGAAGCAGTGTTGCTGGTGATATTATGGGACGTGTGATGGTTGTAGTAGCAGTGTTGGTGGTGATATTATGGGATGTGTGATAGTTGTAGTAGTAGTGTTGGTGGTGATATTATGGGATGTGTGATGGTTGGAGTAGCAGTGTTGGTGGTGATATTATGGGATGTGTGATGGTTGTAGTAGCGGTGTTGCTGGTGATATTATGGGATGTGTGATGGTTGTAGTAGCGGTGTTGCTGGTGATATTATGGGATGTGTGATGGTTGTAGTAGCAGTGTTGGTGGTGATATTATGGGATGTGTGATAGTTGTAGTAGCAGTGTTGGTGGTGATATTATGGGATGTGTGATGGTTGTAGTAGTAGTGTTGGTGGTGATATTATGGGATGTGTGATGGTTGGAGTAGCAGTGTTGGTGGTGATATTATGGGATGTGTGATAGTTGTAGTAGCAGTGTTGCTGGTGATATTATGGGATGTGTGATGGTTGTAGTAGCAGTGTTGGTGGATATTATGGGATGTGTGATAGTTGCTTGGTAGCAGTGTTGGTGGTGATATTATGGGATGTGTGATAGTTGCTTAGTAGCGGTGTTGCTGAGTGATATATTATGGGATGTGTGATGGTTGCTTAGTAAGCGGTGTTGGTGGTGATATTATGGGATGTGTGATGGTTGTAGTAGCGGTGTTGCTGGTGATATTATGGGATGTGTGATGGTTGTAGTAGCAGTGTTGGTGGTGATATTATGGGATGTGTGATAGTTGTAGTAGCAGTGTTGGTGGTGATATTATGGGATGTGTGATGGTTGTAGTAGTAGTGTTGGTGGTGATATTATGGGATGTGTGATGGTTGGAGTAGCAGTGTTGGTGGTGATATTATGGGATGTGTGATAGTTGTAGTAGCAGTGTTGCTGGTGATATTATGGGATGTGTGATGGTTGTAGTAGCAGTGTTGGTGGTGATATTATGGGATGTGTGATAGTTGTAGTAGTAGTGTTGGTGGTGATATTATGGGATGTGTGATAGTTGTAGTAGTAGTGTTGGTGGTGATATTATGGGATGTGTGATGGTTGTAGTAGTAGTGTTGGTGGTGATATTATGGGATGTGTGATGGTTGTAGTAGCAGCGGTGTTGGTGGTGATATTATGGGATGTGTGATAGTTGTAGTAAGTAAATTGTTGAATTGGTGATATTATTATGGGATGTGTGTTTGTGCTTAGTGTTGGTGGTGATATTATGGGATGTGTGTGATAGTTGTAGTAGTAGTGTTGGTGGTGATATTATTATGGGATGTGTGATGGTTGTAGTAGCATGGTGTTGGTGGTGATATTATGGGATGTGTGTGATGGATTTGTAGTAGCAGTGTTGGTGGGTGATATTATGGGATGTGTGATGGTTGTAGTAGCTTGGCCGGTGTTGGTGGTGATATTATGGGATGTGTGATGGTTGTAGTAGCAGTGTTGGTGGTGATATTATGGGATGTGTGATAGTTGTAGTAGTAGTGTTGGTGGTGATATTATGGGATGTGTGATGGTTGTAGTAGCAGTGTTGGTGGTGATATTATGGGATGTGTGATGGTTGTAGAAGCAGTGTTGGTGGTGATATTATGGGATGTGTGATAGTTGTAGAAGCAGTGTTGGTGGTGATATTATGGGATGTGTGATGGTTGTAGTAGCAGTCTTGGTGATGATATTATGGGATGTGTGATGGTTGAAGAAGCAGTCTTGGTGATGATATTATGGGATGTGTGATGGTTGTAGTAGCAGTGTTGGTGGTGATATGGGATGTGTGATAGTTGTAGAAGCAGTGTTAGTGATGATATTATGGGATGTGTGATAGTTGTAGTAGCAGTGTTGGTGGTGATATTATGGGATGTGTGATGGTTGTAGTAGCAGGTTTAGTGATGATAGTTTATTATGGGATGTGTGATGGTTGTAGAAGCAGTGTTGCTGGTGATATTATGGGATGTGTGATGGTTGTAGAAGCGGTGTTGGTGATGATATTATGGGATGTGTGATGGTTGTAGTAGCAGTGTTAGTGATGATATTATGGGATGTGTGATGGTTGTAGAAGCAGTGTTGCTGGTGATATTATGGGATGTGTGATGGTTGTAGTAGCGGTGTTGCTGGTGATATTATGGGATGTGTGATGGTTGTAGTAGCGGTGTTGGTGGTGATATTATGGGATGTGTGATGGTTGGAGTAGCAGTGTTGCTGGTGATATTATGGGATGTGTGATGGTTGGAGTAGCGGTGTTGCTGGTGATATTATGGGATGTGTGATGGTTGTAGTAGCGGTGTTGCTGGTGATATTATGGGATGTGTGATGGTTGTAGAAGCAGTGTTGGTGGTGATATTATGGGATGTGTGATGGTTGTAGTAGCAGTGTTGGTGGTGATATTATGGGATGTGTGATGGTTGTAGTAGCAGTGTTGGTGGTGATATTATGGGATGTGTGATGGTTGGAGTAGCAGTGTTGCTGGTGATATTATGGGATGTGTGATGGTTGTAGTAGCGGTGTTGCTGGTGATATTATGGGATGTGTGATGGTTGTAGTAGTAGCAGTGTTGGTGGTGATATTATGGGATGTGTGATGGTTGGAGTGCTAGCTCTGCGGTCACAGTTTCTATCAGACTATGGATGCACTCACCCCTCGCCGTCTCCATCCAGACAGGCGCTGTCGCTGCCACCCGGGGGTCGCCAGAGCTGCAGATAATGTAGTATGTGAGTATGAGGGTCCGGTTGATACAATGAGTCTCTGTGTGAGGATTCTTTAGGCCGCGACAGACGTAAACAGCGGTAACAACGCCGTGCGCGAGCACACACAGCTCGTGCACACCGCGCGCGCACACACACACACACTGACGTTGGACGAAGGAGGCGGTAACGGCCATCTTGTTGGTGGTGGTTAGACGTCCTGGCAGCCATCTTGTTTGTTTTGCCCGGGCAGCCATTATTTTTGTGGGCAGATGCCTTCTTTAGGAAGCACTGTAAATTGCTCAGCGCTCATCCCGCATGTCGGTGGAGGAAACTAAGATTAACACTGCGACACATACCGAGTTACATTGACTACATGTCATTAATGTAACACCAGGTGAACTTCCGGTGACGCCATACGCATACGGGGCGTCACCTAAACGCACGTCCTCTCCGCCCCCTCCCGGAGAAACACGCGGCGAGTGGCAGCAGCGAAGCGGAGAGATCGCAGTGTGCCGAGACCGGAGTCACCATGAGGCGACCCAGTGAGTGAGCGGAGGGTGTGCGGGGAGAGCGATCCGTGTACGGAGTGCAGAGTGTTTATATAGAATATAATATAATATATATACACACTATACACACACAGCGCGCTCTGTATATTGTGTCAGTCAGTCAGTGAGGGCCGCTCAGTGCTACACACACACACACACAGCTGCAAGAAAAAGTATGTGAACCCTTTGGAATGATATGGATTTCTGCACAAATTGGTCATAAAATGTGATCTGATCATCATCTAAGTCACAACAATAGACAATCACAGTGTGCTTAAACTAATAACACACAAAGAATGAAATGTTGCCATGTTTTTATTGAACACACCATGTAAACATTCACAGTGCAGGTGGAAAAAGTATGTGAACCCTTGGATTTAATAACCGGTTGAACTTCCTTTGGCAGCAATAACTTCAACCAAACGTTTCCTGTAGTTGCAGATCAGACGTGCACAACGGTCAGGAGTAATTCTTGACCATTCCTCTTTACAGAACTGTTTCAGTTCAGCAATATTCTTGGGATGTCTGGTGTGAATCGCTTTCTTGAGGTCATGCCACAACATCTCAATCGGGTTGAGGTCAGGACTCTGACGGGGCCACTTCAGAATGCGTATTTTCTTCCGTTTAAGCCATTCTGTTGTTGATTTACTTCTATGCTTTGGGTCATTGTCCTGTTGCAACACCCATCTTCTGTTGAGCTTCAGCTGGTAGACAGATGGCCTTAAGTTCCCCTGCAAAATGTCTTGATAAACTTGGGAATTCATTTTTCCTTCGATGATAGCAATCCGTCCAGGCCCTGACGCAGGAAAGCAGCCCCAAACCATGATGCCCCCACCACCATACTTCACAGTTGGGATGAGGTTTTGATGTTGGTGTGCTGTGCCTTTTTTTCGCCACACATAGTGTTGTGTGTTTCTTCCAAACAACTCAACTTTGGTTTCATCTGTCCACAGAATATTTTTGCCAGTACTGCTGTGGAACATCCAGGTGCTCTTGTGCAAACTGTAAACGTGCAGCAATGTTTTGTCTGGACAGCAGTGGCTTCCTCTGTGGTATCCTCCCCATGAAATCTATTCTTGTTTAGTGTTTTACGTATTGTAGATTCGCGAACAGGAATGTTAGCATTTGCCACTGACTTTTGTAAGTCTTTAGCTGACACTCTAGGATTCTTCTTCACCTTATAGAGCAGTCTGCGCCTTGCTCTTGCAGTCATCTACAGGACGGCCAATCCTAGGGAGAGTAGCAGCAGTGCTGAACTTTCTCCATTTATAGACAATTTGTCTTACCGGGGACTGATGAACAGCAAGGCTTTTGGAGATACTTTTATAACCCTTTCCAGCTTTATGCAATTCAACAATTCTTAATCGTAGGTCTTCTGAGAGCTCTTTTGTGCGGGGCATCATTCATATCAGGCAATGCTTCTTGTGAAAAGCAAACCCAGAACTGGTGTGTGTTTTTTATAGGGCAGGGCAGCTTTAACCAACACCTCCAATCTCATCTCATTGATTGGACTCCAGTTGGCTGAAATCTCACTCCAATTAGCTCTTGGAGATGTCATTAGTCTAGGAGATCACATACTTTTTCCACCTGCACTGTGAATGTTTACATGGTGTGTTCAATAAAAACATGGCAACATTTCATTCTTTGTGTGTTATTAGTTTAAGCAGACTGTGATTGTCTATTGTTGTGACTTAGATGATGATCAGATCACATTTTATGACCAATTCGTGCAGAAATCCATATCATTCCAAAGGGTGCACATACTTTTTCTTGCAACTGTATATATACAGTTTTGTGTCAGTCAGTGATGGCCGCTCAGTGCTATATACAGTATTGTTTCTGGCAGTGCTGACACGTTTTATGCTCGCAGTGACTCTTCGTGGAATCCATTCCCTGTATCTACATATAGATCGGATGGCTGGCAGTATATGTAGACATATATCCAAGATCTAGCAGGAATTAAACACCTACTATGACAAGTCAGACCTCTAAACATAGCGAGCATGTAGGCTTTTCTTCCTTGCAATATGGAGCACTCGTGATTCCGTATGGAAAACTAAGAATCATCATTGATTAATTCCGGCAGCATGTGCATTCAACACATTGCCAGGCATAATCAGTTCTGGCATATGGAAAACCTAAATAAAGTGAATGCAGTGGTGGTAATAATATCTAGGCCTGAAAGAAAACAGCCCCCACACTGCTGTATATGGCCATTTAACTTAATTCGAGTTGCCTATACAGGTGATACTTGAAAAATTAGAATATCGTGCAAAAGTTCATTTATGTCCATCATGCTGGTAGAAAGGTGACAACAGTGTGGCAACAGAAATCATCCTCTTCTTACCTTTGGCCTTTACTTGCTCTACTTTCTGTGAGAATTTTACTTACCGAACATAATAAAATATTTTAACAGGAAGGATACATTAATATTTCTTTTGTTTTTAAGTATGTTCTTTGACCACAAACATTGCATTGTTACAATAGGGTACCGCAGCGGTTCCCAAACTGCCACGGTGCCCTAGTGCCACAATAATTCCCCCATACACACAATACATCCTTCACAAACAAATTGCACCCCTCGCACACACATACAATACACCTATAGAGGATAGTGGTTGCATGGAATCGCGTTCCAGCTGCCCCCCATACACACGCACTGCCCGCTATACAACCTAGAATTATTTTTTTTTACTTGGGGCATCTTGGAAAAATATTGAAATATTAAGTGCGCCTTCGAACTTAAAAAAAAAAAAAAAAAAAGTGTTTAGGAAACCACTGGGGTACAGCATAATATTTTAAATACACAGTAATATTTAAAGGGAAACTATACTGCCTAGAAAAAAAAAAACTTTTTCCTTGCACTATAGCTTCCTCCTTTTCGTAGTGCGGTATGGTATACTGAAGTGCTGGTACTGGATCTGAGATTATAGGAATGTGGGCACCCCGGGAGAGCATTTTATCTGGGGCTACCTAATTGTTATGGAAGAACTTAATGAAAACTGGCATTGTTTTTTGCCTCTTTGTTTCCCTTTATTATTATCTTCATTGGTACTTACCGTTTTGGCACTTTGTTAAACTCACTACTGTACATTGTGGTGGTAGTGCGATGTATGAATGTTGGATTATGCTCCCAGCTGCTGATCTGCTCAAACTATGAAGAATATTCACTAGATACTAGATACTATAGTCACCAACACAACTTTGGCTTAATTAAGCCATGTTAATGTGAAGGTCATGCCTCTGAAGTCTCACTGCTCAATTTTCTGCCATTATGTTTTTATATTCTGTAAAATTTGAACTTTAATTACATACAAGAGGCTCATAGCAAGCCATTAACAGAGCAGGAGATAAGGAATTCTAAATTAAACAGAATTTGCAATAAAGGAAGTGTAAATATTAGATGAATTTTATGGAAAGTGTCTAGAAAGCCTGTGTAAGTCACATGTGTGGTGAGGGGGCTGTATTAACAAAGTTCTTTAACTCCTAAATGACAAACACTTGAGACTGCATGGGCATGATCTATACACCAAAACTACTTCATTCAGCTAAAGCTATTTTTGTGACTAAATGTCCAACCTTGAAATACAGTGATAATCTGACCTCAGTGCTTGCGGACTATCGTTGCCCTCAAAAGTTAAGTGGATAATGTGATATGTACTAGAAGCACAAGTTGGATCTGCTTTGATCTTTTTAAAAATATAAAATAAAATATTATCATTGGGTATGGTGGCATCATTGGGTCATTTCTACTTTCTAATTATAGAGCTAAGGAAAGCGAGCAAGCGCATGACATGTAGCAAACGTTTCAAAATCCAAAAAAAGGTAAGGTTTAACATTTTACAAAGTTTGTCACTTTATTCCCTGGATGTCTAACTGTTTATTTTTTTTCTTTAAAAAACAATGTTTGTTTTGTGTTTCCTTTCAGGTTCGTGAACACAAACGGAAAGTAAAAAAACAGGCAAAGAATAGTGGCTCCAGGAAACAAAAGAAAGACCTTAGTATTCCTAACGATGCCCCGTTTAAAGAGGCGATCCTCCGCGAAGCAGAGCTGAGGAAGGAAAGGGTATGTGTAAATGGCTAAATATTGAAAACTGTCCAAAAATGCATTTTTTTTATAGAAAGCATATAGCTGTTGCAAAAAATATGCTTTTATTCCAATTTTCTCAAATATTTCCTTGTTACTGCAGTTCTGTAGCTCGTCATAGATATGTATGGAGGACGCTTATTTGAGATTATGGGATTTTTTTATTTTTTTAATATCTAAGCGGTCTTTATGTGATTTTTTTTTTTGGGACAATTAAAATGTTGACTTGTTATGAAAAGGCTATTTACTAAAATCATCCTGCTTAGCCAATCGCTTAATAAGGTTGATTAGTTATATTACACACAAGCTGTTTATCAATGATTGCTTCACTTTCCCGTTATCTAATTCCAATTAAAAAAGGTTGACTATTTCAGTGAGGGTATCAGGGCACTTCTGGAACCATAAGCATTACAGTGGTCTGTAGTGGTTATGGTGCTTATGGTTTCCTATGTTTCTATTAAATACATAAAGGAAATAAGCACAGTAAAGGAGGAGGGGGGAGGGCACAGCTAGAATAGGGAGGGCACAGCTCTCATGTTCACTACCAACTGTATTTGTAAGTGGAGTATGTGCCTCGAATGATTAACACATTTATTTTTCTTTCTGTAAGCATTAGTTCTATTCTATATTTTGTATATTACATGTTTGTCAATGTCGACTAGAATTCTCCCGTACACTATGCACAATTCGTGGAATGTATTGTGTAATTATGTATGTATGTATAATGAACCTATCTTCCCTTCTGTAACATATATGTTATGCATTACCTGTATTTCTTCTCTCTTTGAAAAATTTCAATTAAAACGATATATTGCGGGGGAAAAACACAGTAAAGGAGGAGACTATATTTAAAAACGAAAAACCACAACAACTTCATAGTCTTAAATTAGGAGGGCAAAGGATTAAAAAATATCAAGAAGTATTGCTTTACTGAGAGGGTAGTGGACGCATGGAATAGCCTTCCAGCTGAAGTGGTAACACAGTGAAGGAGTTTAAGCATGCGTGGGATAGGCATAAGGCTATCCTAGATATAAGATAAGGCCAGCGACTAATGAAAGTATTTAGAAAATTGGGAAGGCTAGATGGGCCGAATGGTTCTTATCTGCCGTCACATTCGATGTTAAAATTACAGGGCCAGTGTACCCAGACTACTTCATTAAGATGCTGTTGGACAAACTGTTTTAAAATGTATTTATTATATTCCTTTTTTTTTTTTTTTTTTGGTAGCGGGAGGAGTTGAAGAAAGCCCAGAAACTTGAGAGGCAAAAGGAATTGGCGAAAAAAAGGAATTTGGAAGCTAAACGGTCAGATCCTGCTGAAACAAAGCAAGCAAAGAAAAAGGTAAGTTTTTAATTATGTATCCCTTAGCATTGTTTTTTTTTCTTTTTTTTTTATACATTCGCAAGCAGCACCATACTGTGTTAACACCAACACACACTGTAATACACGATTTATTATTTTATCCTTGATAATGTTGTAGTGAACTCTGAAGAAGCCACACATAGAGAGTCCGGATACAGGTCAGTTCAGAAAGCAAAGGTCTTTATTCTCACTGATCGTGTCTCAGCTGAACTCTTGTTCAAAATGTCTGAGCACATGGAGTACGAGCTTTTTATAGACTATACATCACCTATCCGCAAACCGTATTTACACCATTACCTTATATGGTTCACAACATGGCACTTGAGGAGAATGGAATGTGGTTTTACAAATCCAGCACATGCTTAGTACATTGATGACAATATCTTAGCTACACGTAACTAACAGATACCTGTACTTGTATATGCCACATGGAGATTTTAGGCCTACTAACTTTTGGGCCTAGCTGAAATCCCATCACAATAATCTTTAGAAATTAAAATTGTCATGGTTTTAGATTAATGTGAAAATTGCATCTAGGGAAAAGTTCATAGTCTTCCCTATCTATTTTTAGATTCATGTCTATACCGTATTATCCAATCCTGAGTAAAAAGAAATTTTTAGGTTAATTTTAGGTGATTCTTAAACAGGTTATGTTCCTTGGAAACTCTTGCTCATAAAATAAAGATGAGTCTGCTTTTAAATTCTAGATCATTATGGTCTTGTTTGTTCAATGCAACATAACTATTTAAACTTTCTTTTGTAAAGGGTGACAAAAAGGAAACAAAACAACCAAAATCCACGAAGATACACAGTGTTTCTGAGAAATCCTTTTGTCTCGAAGTAAATAAGGTATGTTTTGCATTTGAGGATTTTGATTCTAATAACTTGATACCTATGGTTGGTGCACGGTTATGGCAGTGTTGTGCAGGATAAATAAGAAAACTTTTTTTAAACCTTTATGAGCCGCGGCATTTTGTACCCTAAGATAGATGTGTTTAATTATTGACCTGTCTGGGTGTTAGGACTCCAGATATCTCATGTTTGAATTGTCACTTTTGGATGATAGTAAAAGCATGAGGAGGCAGGCCATGTGCGTTGAGGTTTGGTGTTTGGACCAAATCACATGATATAATATGAGACCAAAAAACATTACTCTTTACTCATACATAAGAAGTGGGAGATATGCGTTCGATATCATCTGCAAATGCTGAGATACCTGTTCTATTTGCACCAACAGAAATCTCAGGGATTGTATCGGGATAATGGAAGGTGTATTTTGAGGCACTTCTTGGGTCTAAGGAAACATTGAATGGGAGACAATAAACATACCCCTTGTTCTATAAGGACCAGAGATATGTTAAGACAATTAAAAATCATTTTAGTTGAGGGTGAAATATATATATCAGGGCTTGACAAATTTGTTCAGACTCTTGGAGCCAGCTAAGAAAGTTAGGAGACAGTTTTTATTTTATTTTTTTAAAGGGACACTATAGTCTCTAGAACCACTACAGATTAATATAGTCGTTCTTGTGCCTATAGCCTGTCCCTGTAGCCTTTTAAATGTAAACGCTGCCTTTTCAGAGAAAAGGCAATGTTTACATTGCGGCCTAGTAAGACCTCTAGAGTCACTCACAGCCACTAGAGTCCTGTGTCAATGCTCTGGATGGAGGCGCTGAATGTTACCCATAGAGAACATGCGTAATATCCTCCCAATGCTTTCCTATTGGCTTAGCTGAGATCAGTAAGATATCATCTACGGAGGCGGGACAAGCCACGGCGAAACCAGCATGACATGGGGGAAAAAACACCATTCATGTGATAGGAGGAAGGGGCAGGTACCTAAACACACGTTGACAGAGGCATACACACACATACACATTCTCTAACACTCTCAAATTGATTTTTTTAATTATAATCCACCCAGCCTCCCTACCTTTGAGACAGCTGAGTGGACTTTCCCTGAGGTCCAGTGGGGGCTGCTCTTCCTGTGTCCTCCTCTCTGTTCCCTTGCACAGGCAAAGGAAAGGTTTTTTTACTGTAAGAACAATCTGGATGTGGAATTCTCTGCCTGAAGAAGTGGTTTTATCAGAGTCCATACAGATGTTCAAACGGCTACTAGATGCATGCTTGCAAGAACAGAATATTCAAGGATATAATCTTTCAATGTAGGGTAATAACTGCTTGATCCAAGGATAAATCTGACTGCCATTCTGGGGTCAAGAAGGATTTTTTTTCCTAGCTTGTTGCAAAATTGTGCTTCAAACTGGGTTTTTTTTTGCCTTCTTTTGGATCAACAGCAAAAAACAAATCTGAGGAAGGCTGAACTTGATGGACGCAAGTCTCTTTTCAGCTATGTAACTATGTAACTTTCTGTAGAGATGCAGGGGCCGGAATTACGTCATATTCCGGCTCCCGGCCTCACTATACAGTGCGATTGAGCAGAGAGGAGCTGCAGGAAGATCACTTCTCTCGTGTGCCAGAAAGACTTCCTTATCAAAGGTTGTTGAAGATTTGCTTCTGACCAATTTTGGCTTTAGTAAATATGAGAATTACCATTATGGTCAGAGTTTTGTCCTTTCAGACAAAATTTAATCCTTGGTGAATAACACGGTCTGTGGTATCGCGTGTAGTAATAGCAGGATCACCAGAAGTGTAACAAGGGGCTTAAAAGGTTTAGGAGAAGCTGCAGGCATATTTTATTAGACTATAGTTTATATTTTTTTCCCCAGGTAATCGAAGCCTCAGATGTTGTGTTGGAGGTGCTAGATGCCAGAGACCCCCTTGGTAGCCGATGTGTGGAAGCAGAACAGGCAGTTCTTCGATTCCCAAACAAAAGGCTGTTGTTTGTTTTGAATAAAACCGGTGAGTGAACAAAGACAAATTTGGTGATCATACAGGGAGGTATGAGGATAATATTGATACAGTCTGATACTATAATGAAGACTGTCAGATCCAACTCTGATCTCCCAAAGTGTCATTTTCTGTGTGGCAATTTGATAGAAATTAAATTACATACATTAAATACAGTTTACTGTGCAACAGTATTTGCGTTTGTAATATAACAATTCATTTGAGCATAATGTTAATATTTTAACATTCCCATCACCGTAACCACTACATCATTAAGTTATCATTTGTTTTGGTATATTAATATTTCTCTCTCTTTCTGTGTGTGTGTGTGTGTGTGTGTGTGTATGTATGTATGTATGTGTATATATATATGTGTATATATATATATGTATATATGTATATGTGTATGTGTATATGTGTGTGTATGTATTTATTTCACACTTGGCAGAACTGAATCTTCAAATATTGCAAACTGAGAACAGAAAAATTATTGCTTTGCTCTGTTGGATAATGGTCGTCGTAGAAAAAGCTCTTTCCCCAATTGCACCTGTATGTTGGCAACATATGGGCCATTTTCATTAACATATCAGATTGCACCAGAAAGAAAAGGGGGCAAAACAATTCCATGATGTCTGGGTTCATTTCACCTTTGCACATTCCAGCAATTTAAAGCCCTTTTATTTAAGTCCACGATTAAAAGCATCTTTATGACATACAATGTAATCGGGTCACCGCAATCTACATAGTTTGCATACTGTGCACTTGATAAAGATGTCATGAGCCCATTTCGCTGAATGTCACCGTGATACTTTCAGTCATGGAACAAAAATAAAGGATCTTAAATTGTTGGAATGTTTATGGCTTGGGATATTGTATTATTGGAGAGTGTCATTCGAACATTATAACTATAGTTGTAAAAGTAGATTGTGGAAAGGGTGTATTTATACTTGGGTCATTAAATATGTTTTTGCCCCACCATCAGGTCAAATTTGAGATATCAGTCAAACCTTTTTTTGGTTTTGTAATAATAAGCAGCCCTCACAATGCATATCTGTCTCATCACTGAGGTAAGGCTGATCTCAGAGCCAATATTTAAATTATCTTTAGGAGTCCTGGCTTAAATTAAATTAAAAGCAGTGTTCTCAATGTCTTTCTTTCAGATCTTGTGCCTAAAGAAAATGTTGAAAAATGGCTTTTATCCCTCAATAAAGAGATTCCCACTCTTTCTTTTAAATGTTCGACACAAGTGCATGAACGGAACCTTGTAAGTATTTATTTAGGCAGATTGGTATTTTTCCTGTGGTACATTATTGTGTATTTATCCATGTTCCACTACAGCGTGTTAAGGGGGACATGGTGCAATGAGAGTTTGTGCACAAAAGGACCTCTCGTGGTCCAATAGAGGCTTCTGATAGTGAAGTCTGTGCTTTTCCATTTTTCCACCTCAGAACACTTCGCCTGCAAGAGGAAGATTACATCTGTCGGAAGCGTGTAGTGCACACTGACAACCGGCATAACAAATGCACAGATTTGGCATTGACAGTCCAGAACAGAATTCAATGCAGGGGGTGCAACTAGCCCGCCCGTACGCACACAATTTACAATATCTCTGCAGAAACTCAGCACATAGATACTCTTACAACCATGACCACTTTGAATCACTGAAGTGGTCATGGTGGTTGGAGTAACACAATCACAATCTGTGTATACAGGAGCTTCACACAATCTTACGAAATCTTAAATTAAACCTTAATACTAAATGTAATCATCTGTTTTTCACACTACCCATATATTCCTTTTATACACTGCAAACTTATCTATCATGGCATGTTCACTTTAACAAGGTATGATTTGGACTTTTTATGCACCTTAGAACGACTGATTTAAAGTGCTGTATGCCATATAAAACCTTCATAAACATATTTTCTATAATACAGTGCATAATCAGTGTACACAAACATATTCCTTGAAAACCATAGTGCAATATTAGAGTGCAAGTGTCAACCTCTGTCAACATGTAGACTCCCAAGAACTGATCTAAATGTTAATTCAGTCAACCATATAACTACAACTAAACAAATTTGGCTCCAATTCCAATAACATATCAACATACTAATTGGATTGATGCACCTCTTCTTGGGCAAATAAACTCTTTTAACATCACAGAAAGAAGATAAACATGTAATTGTGCAGAGTTCAATGAAAATCGTAAACACGCTATGTTCACTCTTCCAAATGCCAACTCACCTTAACCCCAGAGGCTCCGATACAGGCTCCCATTTTTAGTCTTTCAGTCAAAATCTGGGTTACTCCATTTCTTCATTGACTGTTCCTCCCTTTTTTTTTTTTTTTTAAACAGGATGGAGCTAATAATGAAAGAAAATGTTTATAGTATATTCAAAGCTCTAGAAATAAAAATGAGGAACCGGTTCCATTCACATGTTCTGGAGCCTTCTTAACGATGCTCAGCGTTGTGGCTTTAGCGTCTGCTTGTCAGGAATAGGCATATGCCTTTTTTTTAATAATCCAAGAGCTTTTGCAAACTCAATACACCTGAATTTTAATTCCAAACTAAATACACAAAACATTAACCTGGAACATTTTGCAACATTTCTGTCAATGCACCTTTTGTTCATAATATCCGAAAAGGAATCTAATCCTCATCTGACCATCCATGTAGTTAATGCCCACCTTCCTGACCGATTCGGTCGGAGCATATTGTGAATAGGGTCTGAGCTTACAAAAGTGAATAGAGGGGACAGCAAGCTAACTGCTTAAACAGCCGTTCCACTCTTCCTATGTGACGAATGGAATGCTGTTCAGTGAAGGACCCACTATAGCATTAGAAATACAAACATGTATTTCTGTTTTGTGTTCCACTTCCTATTTAGGTGTCATTTTATCATCATTTTACTTGCCTTCCCTTGCCCTGGCTGGTTCACCTCCATGGCTGAGGTCATCAAGATTGATAATGGGGGAAGGCTAAGCTGGTACAAGTGAGTGGCAAATCGCTGTGAGAATCATCCAAATCTGACTTTATCAAGGAAGTGCTTCCAGGGCTATCAGGAAGACGGCCATCAGAGTGTTTAACACTGCAATGGAAACATTCTAATTTCTACAAAAATGCAATGTCTTAAATTGTAGGGTTAAAGCCCAATGCACCCAGACCACTAAACTGGCATGAAGTGGTCTTTTAAAGGAACATTCTAAGCACTAAAACCACTGCAGCCCACAATAGTGTTTTTTTTTGTTTTTTTTTAGGAGTGCCCTGTCAACATCCCACCATAATCGGTCGATTTTGTTTTTAGCAGTTTGACACCAAATGCCCATCGGCCACCCTTGCTGCATCTGGTCTTCCATAATCTACAGCTAGACAGGGATATTGAGTTCAGTTCTTTGTTGACTGGGGCACTTTCTTGTCTGGTCAAAGTTCACTGCAAAATCACCTCATACTGCAGAACATGGAACTGTTTCTGTTTTCGATATCGAATATTCGACCCATACAATGTTCTTTTAGCAGTTGTTGCACTTTTTCATGATTCTGATAACCGTTTGTTAATATTTTCTCTAACACTAGTACTTTTATGAATTCTGCAGAAAAAGAAAAGGAACATTATACCCGGCCGTATCGATGTGACCAAGGGAACAGTTTGTTTTGGAAGCAGTGCCTTATTAAGGCTTCTTCATGAACTCTGTCCTTCGAAAACCGATGGGATTAAAGTTGGGTTAATAGGTAAGGGAGTACAATCAAAATAAATTAACTCTAATACAATTTATAAAACATTGAACTTTATAGGAAAATACAAAGAAGTAATGCACAAAGATTTATTTTACGGGCAGAAAGAACCAAGAGGATATAGTTAAAAGGACAATCTAAACAACATACCAGCTAAGTGTAACAATATGTTGTCTAGTGTTTCTGGGCACCATCCCCAGATTGCTGTGCAACAGGTTAGAAGTGGGTTTGAAAAGGGCTGGTTTTAACTATTTCCACCAAAACGTTTTATGATTTGTAGCCTTTTTTTTCTTGTTGTATTAAATCTGTGTGTTTTCTGGTTTTTTTTGCACAGGATTTCCAAAAATAATGTTCTGCCTCAAGCTGGAATGTCACAATTTAGAATGCAGCATTTATAAAAGTGTTACTTTAATCCCATAGATTCTCCCATACACACTTTTTGGCAAGTTTTGAGAAGTTGTAGAACAAACATATACCTACTTATTTTAGGCCTGTTAATGTTTCAGCTAATTAATGTTGAACATATGTTGCCTTTTGCAGCATATTAGCAGCTGATAAATTAAACCATTTGCAAAATGAGACAGTCAGGATTGAATTAGCTGATCATGCATGCTTGGGATTTTGCTTTTATTTAGAAGTGGGTGTTATGGATAGGTTAACAGTTATCCATTTTTTATTTTTCCCACAACTCGCAGGATTTGCAAATGTTGGAAAGAGCAGTTTGATCAACAGTTTGAAACAAGCTCATGTCTGTAATGTTGGAGCTGTCAAAGGAACCACAAAGTAAGACATTCAGTTTCTGCTGAGATAATACAGTTTAAGTGTTTGCTCTGCAGACTTTCTACTGCTGTTTAATTCATAAACTTTATATTTGAAGATTATCATTAATTCCTGCTCGGCTCCTGCATTCTCCTTAATCCAATAATACTCATTTCAATACACTGCATATTCATATCATCTTTTTTTTATTATTTATTTTTTTAAATGTGATGTTAAAAGTCTGTCTTGCTGTCTCTTGCAATGTTTTAGAGTAATTGTAACAGACTGACTTTATGTAAGCTAAGGGTCATGATGACAGACTGGAACTGACTTTCCCATGGAGGGTCCAATCAATCCAACTCTGAACCCTGCGTTGTCAATATGTCTGCTATTTAGGCTATTTAATGGTGTTCTTACGATCTTTTCTCTTCACAGGATACTGCAAGAGGTCAATATTGATAGTCAAATCAAAGTAATTGACAGCCCTGGGTTGGTGGTTTCCCCCAATAACCAGGATGTTGCCATCACTCTGAGAAGTGCGTTTCAAGTGAACGATAGTGACGTAATGAAAGCTGCCCATGTCATTTTAAAACACTGTGATAAGCAGCAGGTCAGTGACCTTTCTTTTGGTAATGAAATAATCTGGTGTTTATTTATTTTTTCTTACTTTACTTGTAGATTGATGTGTGCGTTCTCCCTTTCCTTAAAACTCAGCCCTGATCTAAAGCAATTGTTTTTTGGTATTTTTGTGGATTTTTATGTTAGTGTATTTTACATTGTAATGTCCAATTTCTTTTATCTTTTTTTTTTTTTTTTGTTCCGTCCTCCAATTAAAGGAACAATCCCACCCTATGATAACATAAACTGAATATAGCTCTTATGCTTATAGCAATGTTTGGGCGCTTGAGTTGCCATCAGGGGTTAAAACACTCCCAACTGTGTTGGGTATCCAGTGATACGTTGTTGGTGCAGATCACACTCTTAAACTATCACCAACCACCCAGCAAACCTTCCTGTTACTGCAGTGGCAGAGAGGAACCTGAAGTGTCATGTGCTGGGGGACCAACTTTGGAGTTGCACCATTGGAAGTTACGGTGGTGAGAAGACACTCCTGGCTTGGGAGAAATCCTGTAAAGGAACACTTCAAATACCACAGCCACTACACGGTTGACAAATGCACAATGTACTGTCATAGCAGCTAGCTCGTGTGTAATTTTCTTTATCAAATAACTCCGACAAATGTTTGTAATTGGTCCTGCTCATTAGAACCAGTTTCGCACATTCCTAACTTGAGATCTTGCAGATCTTTGCTTTTATAATATGGTTTAATATTTCATGTGAAAATGTTTGTATTATCCCTCTCATTTCCAGGTCATGTTACAGTACAATATTCCAGACTTCAGAAATCCCCTGGAGTTTTTAACCTTGCTATCACGTAAGAGGGGAATGCTGAAAAAGGGTGGTGTCCCCGACACAGAGAGTGCAGGGAACCTATTTCTTAATGATTGGCTTGGGTAAGGAAATATGGCATTTTACTGTAATGAATTTGTTTTAGCATTTAATCCAAAGCAGCTGTGATTAGTTCTGACATGTGTGGTGTTAAGACAAGGCAGTATGGTTTTTATGGGTTATGATGCATGAGCCTAAGATTCCAGCCTGACCGTTTCTAGATGATGTCACCTTGGTTTGCAGCCCTGATGGATTACAAGAGATCCCAGGACAAACAAAGCAGCTTTGGATTATGACAAAGCATTTAACCTTTAGTTGCTGTGTCCTGTGGTAAAGTATATTTACACAATTCACACTGTTTACAACATACTGTATCACATGACGAGGCAAACGGAACATGTTACACTAGGTGTCATTTTAGATTGACTTTCTCAAAGTGCACTTGTTCACTACAAAATGTGGCTATCAAGGACACCTATATGCTGGCAGGGCTTAAAATGTCATGTCCTATGCTACTAGCCAGGCATTAAATGTTACTCACCAGTGCAAGTAAGGTTCACATTTCTACTCGCCAGAGCTAAATGTTTGATGGTGGTGGTATGCATGTAATCCACATATTGCCCTATTAATATATGTGGAGATCTTTGTCGTAACTGTGCTGCTCATTGTAAAATCCACCAAAAGACCTCCATAATCCATGAAACCTGCTAATTTAGGGCAGAGAGTCTGGACATGCAGGAGCCCATAGGCAACACCTCTGTGGTCTTTACAGCTTTGTTGGTATCCTAGTGATCAAGGTTAACAAACTAGAAGCACTTCCAATGACGTTTTGACCAGGCACTTGCTAAAAGCTTTGCTAGTTAAAGTTTACAAGTGAAGATTTATTTTTAGTATGGATTGCTAATTGGAGTGGGGGCTTTAGGAGTAATCTTAATTGTTAAAGCAGTTCTAAATTGTTTAATTTTTTTGTTTTCTCTCAAGTGCTAGATTGAGTTACAATTCCCAGCCACAAACCCCAGCCTGCGATTACATAACCCCCGAAGTTACAAACCGAATGCAGAAAGGCATCAACCTGGAACTCCTTGCACAGGACAACACAGAGTCTGTTAAAGGTAATAATTTCAGATGATTGTAAAAGATTAAGATTTATTTTTATTTTTAATGCCTAACCTGTCCCAGTACATTTAATATAATTAGACCACCACCACTGTCTGGTATTTCCTATTGTGAGTAACTTTGATTGTAGAACACTGCAGGCGAGACTCCAGGCACCATAACCACTAACCGCCTCGATACCTGCACCGCATCTGTTCTTATCCTGCAGGAGAAGCTAGTTTTCTTTATTGAGCTAGGTCTGGCCGATTCAGGATTGCATTCATTGGCTGAGAGACTAAAGCTGAAGCTTTCAGCCAATGAGCATGTCCCTGCATAGCTTAGTAGATCTAACCGGATTCTCCCGCAGAGTGAATCTGAAAGCATGATATAGAAGTGTGGGTTCCCAGCAGGACCCTGGTAAGTTTATAACACTTCTACACAAATTCAAACACTGCGATTTCTCCTGGAAACGCAAAACTGTTGGCATAATCTCTGTTTAATGGGTCTGACAGCTTTCCTGCGACAAGATCCACTGTTTATGTATTTTATTCACCCTTACTCTTTAGACAGATTTCTACATGTCTAAGCCACTCTCGGAACTGAGCGTGTGTGGGTTCTTTTTATCCCATCACCTTTGTAATCATGCAAAATTGTAATTATCAAGTTTCTTTAACTTTGAATAATAACTCTCGGCTTTTTGTTTAATGATTTGTACTCATTTTTAACTGTTTATTTGGTGCCACTCAAGTTATTTTAAAACAAAGCAGACTTTCTGAGTCATTGAGATTGACATCCACATGTTAAAAAATATATTTATTTTTAAAGGGAACACTGTAAGCGCTGTAACTTGATTCATTTTGTTGATGGTGTAGTGTAGTGTCCCCTGACACCTTCCATTATTAATCATTAAACCATTTTCAATGGTTTCATTCCAAAGTAAGAGTTCCCTGCAGCCCATTCCATCTGTGCTACTTCGACTAATGAGGAAGCATTAGCTTGACGAGCAATTGGTGGTTGTGATTGGCTGAGAGTTTCAACTGACCTTTCAGCCTGCCACACTGACCATTGCTGATATGAACTGTGATGGCAGGAAGGTAATGCGTAATCTTTGTCATAGTCATCCCTACAGTAGAGGTCAGTGTGTGGGTGGCCAGAGGACACGGCAACAAATGACTAACCGTTTCAATGAAATGGTTATACTACCTACAGTGTCCCTTTTAATGATAGGGTTTCTCACGGTTTAGATAGACTTTTTTTTTTTTAAATTTAAAAATAAATATATACACACTAGTCCTGCACAACTCAGCTTTTTTTAATACTGAGTTAAGTTTATAAACTATTAGAAAATAGTTTGACTACTTACATTGGAGGGGATGGGGGTGCAAACCTGGCACCAATTTAACTCAACGTGCTGTCGTGGTTATGGTGCTTGAAGTGCTACTTTAATAAGTGTTAATTTAACCATATTTAACATATATAGTGTGTTCCAATGTAAAGGGTGATTAGACATCCTGTTACTGTATGAGTAATGAGTTTTAATTGCTGACAATTGTGCCCTGCAGCATTAAAGTGTCCTAGCTCTGCAAGTAGTATTCGGTTTACGTCTGCCGGTCTGATCAATGGGGTAATGGATGTCAATGAAATAATGAAACAGGAGGAAAGCGAGGCAGAGACTGAAGAGGATGAACAAGACATGGAAGAGGAGGATGCTTCAGAAGCTGAAGAGGTAATTAGCCTGTCTTTGTGGGTGGTGGGGGGGGGAGTCTGCACCTCTCATCACCTGAAGAAACTAATCTTTTAATTCTGTTTCATAAGGAGGAGAGCCAAGACATATCCAGGGAGGCAAAGACTACACCTGAAGCAGCTACAACTCTATGTGAGTTTTAAAAGTATTATATAAACACTGAACGCCAAGCTATTATGTTAAAGGTCTAGGTGATATTTTAGTCCTGCGATATAAAGTAGCAAATAAACAAAAACTGTACAATAGTGTCAAACTCCTGTGGAGGGCTTAATATTACATTCAAGTGTGAATTGAGAACAGAGCATAATATAGAAATATCTGTGGACTGTATATCAAGGCCATCGAGGGGTTCTAGAGCCACAATAAATCATAGATTGTAAATGTCTCCAGAACCCTCAGATGACATTTTCCTCGAATGGACCTCACCATTTTGCATCTGTAATGCGAGTTTTGAATAGGGTTTTGTTTAGTGGTTAAGACAGCAGCAGCTAATTGAGCAGTCTCCATTATTTTGGCACAGAAACAAGCATAATAGGGGACTGTTTGGGAGTATACCATCAATGCATTACTGGAATCTAAAACAGGATCTCAGACAGATCATATTTTAAGCCCTGATAAATTAAGTCCGATGTTACAAGCTTTGCCTTTAAAAGTTACTTGCTACTGCAAACCCCATAGTATGCTCGCCAGGGCCAAATGTCTAATTCTCAATTACTATGGGAAAGTTTGAGCACTGATGCTATTGGTAGGTTTAGGAATATCCCCTCCGTTTTATTGTATGGACCTGTACTTGTAGGATTATTTCTGTAGTGTGTTTATAGTTACACAAGTCATTAACTAATAAAGCCATATTCTTATTTATTTTGCATCTGATTTCTAATACGTTTCTTCATTTTTACAGCAAAAGAAGCCCCCAGATCAGTCTGCTTTGATAAAGTCGAAGAGAAAGTGGATGATACTTATGACTTTAATAGTGATTTCATCTAATACTTTTCTCAATAGCCTGTGCATATTATAAACAATGTCAGTCCAGTACAGACTCCTACACTATGTATAATTTATATTGTAAGGTTTGATTATTTACTGGGACTCTATTTTTGCCATTTGCTTAAAAGTTGTGTTTTTAAAAACCAAGGTGTTTAATAAGCAAAACTCTCCCCCTGCTCCTTCTGGTTGGAGAAGAAATGTGGGTTCTGTGAATCTGGCAGAATTGTTCGTATGCTTTTTGTATTATGTATAATATTTGAAGCTGAAAATAAAGATGTTAGGGTTGCTACCTACAAGTTGATTGTCACCATGTCTTTCACATTATTTCCTAACTTAATGCAGCATTTGTCAAATAAAAGAAACTGCCTCCTTTCTGCTGGTCAAGTGTGTATTGAATGCTGTCATTGACGGGATAATATCTACTATCATGCAGGAAATGGTTTAATAAGTGCTTTAAACTAAGAATGCAAATTTTTTTTTTTTTTTAAGGGAACCCTTCTAGCACCATAACCACTACAGCCAGCTGCCACTCTTTAGCTGGAAGCGCCTTGCTTTGAGCTAAGCCGAGATACAGCAGATGCTCTCAGCCAATGAGCTGACCCCACTAAGCAAACAGAAGTTCCTTGCTGGAACTTCTAGCACCAGAAACGGTCTCAACCCGTTTGACTAGTTACCTTGGGAGGATGCCAGGGCATTTATGACTTCACTACAGGCTGTAGTAGGTATGGTGCTTGGTGTGTTCCTTTACATCAGAATATTATTTTTGATGTAAGATAAAGCCAACGTATTCAACTGTGCTTTAGGATTTGAAAAAAGGTGGGATTTAACAGTAAATGGGAAACATACAAATCTTGTAATGTGGTATTCACAGTACTGATAATGAAATGGCAGCCGCGATTAAAAGTGGTTTCAATTTAAAATGCCATTAAAATCTGTAAATAACTCTTACCTGACACCTGCTGATTTTCCACGCCCCGTCCTGACATTGGACTTTCACCGGCTCAGAGCGCAGTGATATTTAATAATTTTTACAAAAACAAAGTTACAGAGGGAGAGCAAAGCTACCTTCCCTTTGCAGGAACTCTGTCTGCAAGGGAGAAAGATAATTAGGATTGTCGACAGTGCACTGACAACAGATGTTAAATATGCACAGAATTGACATTAGGTAGTCTGGAATTGCAGTCTGTCTTGTGTGCTGGGAGTGCAGTTAACCCCTCGTATTCAATTAAAAAAAAACCTATGTGCAGTGTTTCAAGGTGAACCACTGAACATCCAGACTCCTACCACCATGACTACTTCAAAAAAGTAGAAGTGGTCATGGTGGTTAGCGTAACACTATTTACAGTATTGCTTTCACATGGCATATATAGGGGGAATTGAATATCTGCACAAATGTGTTCCTGTAAACGCAGCTTTTCCCCTTCTCTTCATTGGACATAATATAATCCCTGATTGGAATATGCCTTGTTTATTACAAACAAGCGATACCAACTTAATGCAGAATATTTAGGTAAAAACGTGTTTATTGATGAGGACAGCGATTACACGACACATCGTCAACATGGCAGAAAAGCTTGACCTTAATATTCCATTGATAGGCAGTGAATTGTAAGAATCCATTAAAGGATCACTATAGGGTCAGGAACACAAACATGTATTCCTGACCCTATAGTGTTAAAACCACCATCTACACCCCCTGCCTCCATAAATATAGTTTAAAACTTACTGTATTCAAGCCAGAAGCTGTGACTGCATGCTGTTTGTCTCAGAAAAACAAGCAGTCTGCTGACCTCATCAGAAGTGGTAGCCTGATCCAGTCACAGTGCTTCTCCATAGGATTGGCTGAGACTGACAATGAGGCAGATCAGGGGCAGAGCCAGCATGATTCAAACACAGCCCTGGCCAATCAGCATCTCCTCATAGAGATGAATTGAATCAATGAATCTCTATGAGGAAAGTTCAGTGTCTGCATACAGAGGGTGGAGACATTGAATATTTGGATGCATTTTAGGCAGCCATGACCCAGGAAGGATCCCTAACAGCCATCTGAGGAATGGCCAGTGAAGTTATCACTAGGCTGTAATGTAAACACTGTATTTTCTCTGAAAAGACAGTTTACAGCAAAAAGCCTGCAGGTAATGATTCTACTCACCAGAACAAATTCAATAAGCTGTAATTGTTCTGGTGACTATAGTGTACCTTTAATGACTCTAGTCTGACTAGTGTCCTGTAAAAGATTTGCTATTTGAGGCAGTTGTTAAAAACAGCCAATGAATCTGTCCCATGCTTATATCCATAGTCATTAGCGGGTGCATGTTTAGTAATTTTTGGATCAACAGCAAAAACAAATGTAAGAAAGGCTGAATGTGATGAACGCATGTCTCTTTTCAGCTATGTAACTTGGTGAGAATGTTATAAAATCTACCACTTGCATTATGTGACATTTAGGCATCTTGCTGTACTTGTAAAAAGTACCTTCTGAGTAATTTCTCTCATTCTGCTCTGAGACAATGAAATTACAGTCAGTATTTTCTCATCTTCCTTAAAGTGGCATCATTACCCAATGTATTTCATTACACTTTACTATGGTTCCAACTCCTATAGTGTGCAGACCAAGATGGATCCTAAGCGACAGGACCAAAGCTTTTATTGCAAGTGATTCCTGAGAAAATCTTGTTCCAATGGGCCATTCACTTGCTAGTCTCGCCATCAGAGTGTCTGCGAATTAAGGTGAATTTTCCTGTGGGGTCTGGAACATACCACTTCTCCCACACATCTGCGTAGGATGCTGCCCTGCCCCATGGTTTAAAGTGTCCATTCCAATGTAAGAGCTTGGCTGCCTTCACATACTGGGGTGAATAACGCTTCCCAGAACTGGACCCTTTAAAATAAGATTAACAGTGTCAGCCACACATGAAGTGAGGAAAAACTAGATAGATAATGTTTGCCATTTTAATCCAACTAATTCTCAATTTCCAAATATATCATCTAAATATTGTTTTAATATAATTGGTGTTTTCTACAAGTCAGTAATTGTGTAAACCGAAAAATTTAGGTTAAAATAGCCAAATTTCCTTTTTTTTTTTTTTTATGCCCTTGTAAATTCTTTACAATGCCTGATCTAGTGAGTAAAGCCTCCACTGTTTTACAGTCTGTACAATGGAGACTGGCCAAAGATATTCTCATACCAAAATACAATCTATTTAAAGTGGTGCTTTCAGGATACCCTCTAACAGTTAAAGGAACATGATCTAGCACCCCCATCCCCTAAATATAGTAAAATTGTACCTTTATTCCAGTCTGCTGGCTCTACCCCTGATCTGCCATCATCAGAAGTGATGGTCTAAGCCAATCACAATGCTTTCCTATAGAAAAGCATTGGATTGGCTGAGATGGTCAATTCTGATAATCTCAGCCAAGGAGGCGGGCCAGGGGTGGAGCCAAACATAGCCCTGGTCATCAGCATCTCCTCAGACACAACGAACATCATTGGTCCAGAGGTGTTTAAGATATTTATTTAGTGTGTTGGAACTTTTCCTTTCCCCCTCCACCCCCTTTCCCTTAATACAGAGAGTGAGTCCTGTTTGTCATGGACTATAGTCAGTAGTCTGTGGGGCTTTTTCAAACTGGAATATTATGTTTTATTCCTACGGCTCATGTCTCTTCGAAGATGGTCTAAGGTTCTGCTGTTTACGATAAGTTCTATTTAATTTTCTGCATAGGATTTGCTCCTGTAAAAAGCAGCCTGTAATTTTGCTAGTCCTGCATGTTTTAAGTATTGTCAAATGCTTTTCTAATCTACTTACTGTATTGCCCTACTATCATGGCAGATATCATATAAATGTTTGTATTCCAAATGCAGGTGACCAAATGTCACAATATCTCTGTTATAACATCTGGAGAAGTTTTAAAGGGACACTGTCACTATCTATGAAAAATTTGTATAAACATAGAAGAATCTTTATGAAATACTTATTTTGACTGTATTGGAAATTCACTAAAATTCCAACTCAGTCAAAAGATATGCCGAGACAAAGCCCTGTATATCTCCTCCGCCTTGTTTTCTTAGACTTAGACTGTCGGGAATTGACTGTGTCTATGGGGGATCCTGCATAGACCTTAATGAGTACAGCAGTGATGTCGGCTCCTGGTGCTGAAGCAGACCGAATACGATGGCGGTACGTCCAGATGGTGACAGTACTGCTTTAAACTTCTTGATATGTACAGTATTTGGTCAGGATGCATTTCTATTGTTTCTGGACTTGTTATACGAGTTGCCACTCTTCCACTACTTTTAACCTAAAGACAGGTAAACTTGTTTATTTTATGGTGGTTTTACCACGATTTGTCTGTTGTCTGGCACTTACTAGTAACTATCTTTTTATATTATTCCTAAAAGAATATCTAGTTATCCTGACGTTAGAACTATGGCCCTACAACAAAGGGATTTTTTTTATTTAGTTTTTTTATATTCTAGTACATGACATTCAATTTCACGCCCCAAAAATCTCATAAATCTTAACAATGCATGCATAACAAAGTGTTTTTCCTAACACGAAACAGTAATTTGAATTCAATATAAATGATGGTCCTGATGGTGCTAGTGGGACTATTCTATGAAATATAATATCCTATTACATCATCACTTTCCAGACCTTCCCCCAATTACCTAGATGTCGCACGTTCCACATAGGGTCGATCTTGGAGTGCCTCTGGTAAAAAACGATAAGAAGTGGAGGAGCAGTGATACTGCCAACGAGAGTCTTACTGTACAGTTCCTCACTACAGATATAATAGCACAAAAGAGACAATAAAACAATGTGTCACAAAGTGGGTAAAGTGTATGTAAATACATCTGCTACTGAGATCCTATTACGAGTCCTCTTTTAATCCATATTTTTGTTGTCTTGGTTTACTTGTAAAAGATGAAAAAAAAGTCCATAGAAACATAGAATGTGAGTGCAGAAAAGAGCCATTCGGCCCATCTAGTCTACCCAATTATCTATATACTTGCATTAGTCCTTATCTTATATCTAGGATAGCCTTATGCCAATGACATGCATGCTTAAACTCCCTCACTGTGTTAAAGGACCACTCTAGGCACCCAGACCACTTCAGCTTAATGAAGTGGTCTGGGTGCCAGGACCAGCTAGGTTTAACCCTTTTTTTCTATAAACATAGCAGTTTTAGAGAAACTGCTATGTTTATCAATGGGTTAAGCCTTCCCCCAAATCCTCTAGTGGCTGTCTCATTGACAGCCGCTAGTGCTTCTCACTGTGATTTTCTCAGAGATTTTGTCCATAGGAAAGCATTATGAATGCTTTTTAGCGAATTGCGCCGCTTTTCAGCCGGAGGCGGAGAGAGAGGAGGCCCAGCGCTGGAAAAAGGTAAGTTTTTACCCCTTTCCCCCTTCCAGAGCCGGGCGGGAGGGGGACCCTGAGGGTAGGGGCACCCTCAGGGCACTATAGTGCCAGGAAAACGAGTATGTTTTCCTGGCACTATAGTGGTCCTTTAACCTCTACCACTTCAGCTGGAAGGCTATTCCATGCAATCATTACCCTCTCCGTAAAGTAATACTTCCTGATATTATGTCCTCTTATTGGGGTAAGTTTCATTCTTTTTAAATATAGTCTCCTCTTTTACTGTGTTGATTCACTTTATATATTTTAATCTTTCTATCATATCCCCCCTGTCTCGTCTTTCCTCCAAGCTATACATGTTAAGATCCATAAACCTTTCTTAGTACAACACTCCAAGTGAGGTCTCACCAGTGTTCTGTACAATGGCATGAGCACTTCCTTCTTTCTACTGCCAATACCTCTCCCTATACAACCAAGCATTCTGCTAGCATTTCCTTCTACTCTATTACATTGTCTGCCTACCTTTAAGTCATCAGAAATAATCACCCCTAAATCCCTTTCCTCATATGTTGAGGTTAGGACTCTATCAAATATTCTGTACTCTGCCCTTGGGTTTTTACGTCTAAGATGCATTATCTTGCACTTATCCACATTAAATGTCAGTTGCCACAATTCTGACCATTTTTCTAGTTTACCTAAATCATTTGCCATTTGGCTTATCCCTCCTGGAATATCAACCCTGTTACATATCTTAGTATCATCAGCAAAAAGACATACCTTACCATCAAGACCTTCTGCAATATCACTAATAAAAATATTAAAGAGAATGGGTCCAAGTACAGATCCCTGAGGTACCCCACTGGTGACAAGTCCAAGCTTTGAATATACTCCATTGACCCCATTGTCACTACTACAGTTACTGCCTAACCCATTTGACAATACTGGAATCCAAACTTAAATATTGCAGTTTATTGATGTGCAACAGTGTCAAAAGCCTTATTGAAATGTAGGTAGATGTCTACTGCACCACCCTGATCTATTATTTTAGTTACCCAGCCAAAAAAATCAATAAGATTAGTTTGGCATGATCTCCCTGAAGTAAATCCATGTTGTCTCTGATCTTGAAATCCATGTGATTTTAGTTGTTCAACAATCCTATCCTTTAACATGGTTTCCATCACTTTCCCCACTACTGAAGTAAGGCTTACTGGTTAGGGCTTTCTAGACCTGGTTGAGAAACAAGGCATTACCATATTGTACAATAACAGAGATGCACTCACGCAACATTACGCTCCATCCATTCTTCAAGCTGTTTGGTTATGTTTTGCTGTTTCCATTCTGTTAAATTGGCAACAAACACTCCAGGATTGAAAGAGCAGGTGACTGCTTTCATGTCTAACTTCCGGATTCTCTCTTTCTTGTAGTCAAAAAATCCAATGTAATTATACTGTAAATAAAAGTCCAAATATTATTAACCATGTCCCAAAGCAATCATTTATTATATGTACACCCTTTGCCAAATATAGTAACTCAGTAACAAGTAGAGATGAAATAAAAAATAAAAAAATTATTCACAGTCCACATTATAAATATCTAAGATGGTTATTTACAAAACTCTGTTTTTGGTTGTTTTTTTTTTATGAAATATGGGAGAAATATAAACCAGCTTGCGACCATGGCCAAGTTGGAGAAGTCTTCCAGATAAGCTATTTTTTCCACAGTTTTTATATTTGGATTTAATTTGCTCAAATTCTTTTTAGTAAATAACCCTGTAACTGATTACACGCACATCAAGGTCATGCCCTTGCCTCTGTGTCATAAATGAATACCTATGAATATAATTTTGCAAAGATAATAATGAAGCCTCAACTACTAATATTTGAAATAATGTTTATTCCACCATACAAATGACCTGGCATCTTATAACTTTTTGTATCTGAAATGTCTATATCACATTTGTCAAGAATTGACAAAGAATGTAAAATGTCAAAACAATTCCACAGCTATTCTTTTGATAGCGAAATAAACAACTAACATTTTACATGTAGTTGTATATGAGCCTAAAGATGGGACCCTTGTACTTGTATCCAGCATGTACACAAAGAGAGAGGATTGTGACCTATTTAATCAATCCTACCAGAGTTTGACTACAAATGAGAAGTCAGAGCCGTAAGCTTCGGCAGTAGTTGTGGGAGGGGTTAACCGGCCTATAAATTCTCAGGCCTCCACGATACTTCCTGGTTCAGCCCACCCACCGCTCACTTTATCAAGACATTTACTTAGTGGGCCCTCTTTTTAAAGGTCTACCCGAATGTCGGTTTGGGCAAACCACAACTGACTTACTCCACCACTACTATTACTCAGCTTATTGTTCCCGACCACAAATATATTATATATTGACTATGAACATAAGATCAAATATGCATCAATGTTCAAGACTATAATTGGCTGCCTGCTCCATTACTCAGTGTCATACCCGATTGCCTGCACCTCTAGCGATAAACTTGGAGGTCACCGAATCACAGTCATCGGAAAATGCAGCAGCATGTCCAGCACTGATTGGAGTATTGTAAAGTTCCTGAATGTCATCTGCAAGAAATTTAAAAAAAAAAAAAAGACGTGAGCCTGAGCTTTCAACCTGGAACACCGTTAACAGGAAGTAGATTTATGGAACGTTTCAAGGAAAGTGAAAATGAGTGACATACCTTGGACAATAACATCATCATCCAGATATATTGCCCTGTCTTCACCAGGGACCAGGTCAGGCAAGTAAAATCTTGCAAATGCCAACTGGAATAATAAAGGGAGAGAAACATTAAAATGTATTAAGTTATCATGTTGAAAAATATATATATATATTTTTGGAAAGTCACAGGGTCACATATAGGGCCTTGTGACCAACAGGGACAGCATGCCACACCTGTAGCACAGGTTTCTCTCTCTCACAGTAGAGACCTGCAAAGTTTCTCTGCTGATGTTAGTATTGCTGTCAGCAGAGGGAATCCCTCTTAGTTAGGGTAGGTCTTCGTATAAGGTGAGGGTTAATGATATTTTAGGGGTAAGGTAAGGTGTACGATTCAAGTTAGTGTAAGCATAGGGTTCACGTTAACTACCAAAAATACATTTGCATCCTAGGCTATGAGGCATTCAACAATGAGGACTGATACATCTCTTTTGAGTTCCTTTTTCTTTTGTAATAATTATTATAGGCAAAACTGTGAAAAAAACTATTTTTTCTTCCCTATTTTTAATATTTCATTCAAACTTAATGTTGTGTTAGTTATACACATAGGGTATTAAAAGAAAGACATTTCTATCCTTTAAAAGTAATACATAATATGTACGGAATATATAATATATTAATGTATTTAGTTCAGAAGTTAGACAACTGCTTCCATCCTAAAGCGGTCAATTCACATATTCAAAGTTTGCTACGTGTGTGAATCACCACCAGTGTAGTATATACAAAGCAATGGGAACATGACGGAGGGTACCACTTTAAAATTCCTTGCTTAATAAATGTAAATGCATGAACAAAACAACTTCCAAACTCCAAAGTCTTCCACTTTAATGCTTAAATTAACAATATTAATGTAAGGATTAATGGTGTGTAATTTCCTCACTGACTTCAAATTCATTTCAAAAATAACTGTTTGCGTCTTTAAAAACAAACAAAACAAAAAAAAACACGTGGTCCCAAATTGTTATCACTTACTGGATTAGCTGGATCTCCATCAGCATCAGCTTGAATTTTCCCCTCAAGGACACGAGGATTGAAGTTCACAATTTTATAGTTTACATTTTTAAGGTCTGTATTACTGAGCCAGGGTCTAGAAGAAAAGCACACATATTGACATACTAGCTCATGTATGGTCAGTACAACCTAAAAGGAAAGGATTATGACCAGATTAAAGGAAATAACAAGCACCAACTAAATGGAAAATAATGCCCCTGCTAAAATAGAATCATAGAACAGAACATTAAAGGAACACTATTGGGTCAGGAACACAAACATGTATTCCTGACCTTATAGTGTTAACACCACCATCTAGCCCCCCTGTGCCCCTCATGCCTCCATAAATAGAGCAACAGCTTACTGTATTCAAGCCAAAAGCTGTGACTCTGCATGCTGTTTGCCTCAGGAAAAAAAAAACAAGCAGTCTGCTGACATCATCAGAAGTGGTAGCCTGATCCAATCACAGTGTTTCCCCATAGGATTGGCTGAGACTGACAAAGAGGCAGATAAGGGGCAGAGCCAGCATGATTCAAACACAGCCCTGGACAATCAGCATCTCCTCATAGAGATAAATTTAATCAATGAATCTCTATGAGGAAAGTTCAGTGTCTGCATGCAGAGGGAGGAGATACTGAATGTTTGGGCAGCCATGACCCAGGAAGGATCTCTAACAGCCATCTGAGGAGTGGCCAGTGAAGTTATCACTAGGCTGCAATGTAAACACTGCATTTTCTCTGAAAAGACAGGGTTTACAGCAAAAAGCCTGAAGGTAATGATTCTACTCACCAGAACAAATTCAATAAGCTGTAGTTGTTCTTGTGACTATAGTGTCCCTTCAAGTTAAATGTAAGGACTACACTAGCACCTACAGTTAGGGCAAGATGCACCAAAATATGGACTATCAAAAGCAGAATATTTACATGAAAGGGCTAGTACTATATGCCCAAAAGTTAGATCCCCAGATGTTGTAGAACTACAACTCCCATGACGCTTTGCATGCCTTTAGAACAACGTGTCCCAATTCGTGTTCTGCGGAACCCTAGGGTTCCGCCAAAAAATGAAAACAAAATAGCCGCGGACGGCGAGTTTGCAGGAAACCCCTGCTTTAGAATGACAACGCATCACGGAAGCTGTAGTTTTAAATAATCTGGGGATCTACACTCTGGGGACCCCTGGACCAGTAGATTCTCCTAAAATCTAAAACAAGCTTAATGACAGCAGCCATCTTGCTTCTTTAGCAGAACTTAAATGTGTTTGATAGGCACTGTATAGTACCAGATCATATACTTTAAACAAGAACGATTCAAATAAAAAACAAACTAATTGATATCTGTGTGGGCAAGTTTTGGAGAGGCAATTATTAGTAGGCACACTTTATCAAACAGGGAAGATATTTTATGGCAAACAAACCACAACAGATATGCTTAGTGAGAAATGCGCACAGCGAATGGTTAGCTAAAATAGATAAAACACGGTCAGCGTCTGGGGTTTTTGCATGGCGGCTCCATTGGATGTCCTGTGGATGCAGGGCGCAGGGGAAAGTGAGTTTTACTTATCTGAACCTATCCCTCATGGCCGCCACTGTGGTCTTCCTGCCAGTCCTCCTCAGCTACTGTCAATTCATCTGTCAGGAGCCCATGTCAGTGTTGTAGAGTGAGTACCACACCGAGGTCAGTGGAGGATGAGAGACAATGCCTTTTTCCCCTACAGCCGTCACTAGTGATGACAATACTTGATAGCAGTAGCTGTGCCTTCAAGTTTAGGAAATAGTACCAACTTTGTCCTACTATATCTTTTAACGGTGTAAGAATTTCAGTGAAATTCCATCACAGTCAATGGGAGTATTTCATAGAGGTTTTATCTTTATTAAATACCAACTTTGGAAAGGGTAGGGGGGTGACTGTGCCTATTATGAAAATATAACTTAAAATAATTAAAATTATAGAAAATCAAATTTCATTAAATGTGTTAGCAGAATTGCTAGCAAAAGTCTAGATTTCTCTAAAAATCAGAGGTTAAAAAACAGGCCCTCCTTCCTCTCAGTCAGTTCATTCTGTGCCAACTGGCACAGAGATAAGAGAGCTGGGCTTTGCGTGTCTGTTACCAGAGAAAACCCTTCTCTAGGCATCTCTCCTGCTTGAAACCAGCCTAATGGAACGCAATGCCCGCTTGGGTGACTGGTGGGCTTGGTGTCAGAGCAGCAAGCAGGGAGAGAGGCCAGAATGTGGACAGGCAATCTCAGGATGGAGAAAGAATAAATAAGTTTTAATTACACAAAGCCAAAATAAAGGGGATTTTTAACCTATTACGGGAAGAAAATCTATACTTCCCAAACAAGGCCTGAGAGGTGTGTCTCACAAAAAGTGTAACACCCACTGAAACATGATTAAAGCAGGAGACTGGAGTAAAGGAAAGAAATGAAAATGTGAGCTTTTAACACTATTAAAGGAAGAAGCACTTAATTGTATAACATGAGTCAGGTCAGATGGTTAGACTGCAAACATATCTATCATGACAGCTTTAAGAAACCACCTCAAGTGCTCCTCCGTGCCGTTCAGGGTGACTATATAGAAGACTACATTCGACTTTGTGTTGCTGGAAATGCTGTTTATCGCAGCAATAACGCCTCCTAGTTGTTCATCCACCGCTGGTATAACCACCGGTATCTCTTTTACATCTGAAATCCTGCGAGGAGATTCCACTAAAAAATCCACTTGCTGAAATTCTAAAGGAGTGGAGTCTGTGGGGGAAAAAAAAAATGACATTAAGATTAAGCAAACGTACATATGCCGAAACAAAAAAAGGAAAAATGTATGTTTTATGCTGTCTCGGCCACGTTGTCTCACATGCAAACGCCAGGCTAGGTATGACCTTTACTTTTAATTCATTATATAAATAATGCATTCAAACATGTCAAAATAATTAAATGGTAAATAAGATAATCCCATTTGAAGCTCCTGCAAAACACCAGCAGGGCTATTCACTAAAGTGAGAAGTTGAAGTGAATTTCAAATTTAAGACCAGAGTAGCTGAACTGAAAACATATTCAGTTTATTCGAAAAGGAAAATCTGTGGAAATGTCTCAGAGGATGCAGCAAAACAGAGCTCAGGAAAGACTAAGCTTCTTGCATAATTATGGTGCACGGTTCCCTTTCTACCCGTTTAAACCTATAGTATCAATAGAGTTAATATAATGACCAAGTTAATTACTAGGGAAAGTACGTTTACAGTGGGTCCTCACCTCTTCTGACAGGACTATTCGGTGTAGCTATGCAGCTATGTGAAAGATGTAAAGCTGTGCCTTGTACAGTAGGTTTTTTTCATGTGCATGAAATTACTGCTGAGTGCTTTAGTACATATGCTATAAACTGATGAGGCCTAACAAAGTTGAAACGATCTTCTGGGGTTGCCGCATCTCTTGTGCAGAGGGAGCCTAGCCTGCTTTTTGGATTTGTACCGCCCTTTTGTGTGGAGTAAATCTGATAGTGCATCTTTGCCATTGCAGAAAGAACCTAAACAATTTGCATAACACCAGCTTGAGAACTGAGTGGGGATCCAAGTTATTGTCCGTCCTCCTGAGCGGTGATCCACCGACGGGCAAGTTATTGTCCGTCCTCCTGTGCAGGGGATCCAACAACGGGCAAGTTATTATCCATCCTCCTGAGCGAGGGATCCACTGGCGGGCAAGTTATTGTCCGTCCTCCTGAGCAGGATCCACCGATGGGCAAGTTATTGTTTGTCCTCCTGAGTGGGGATCCACCAGCGGGCAATTTATTGTCCGTCCTCCTGAGCGGGGATCCACCAAAGGGCAAGTTATTGTCCGTCCTCCTGAGTGGGGATCCACCGAAGGGCAAGTTATTGTCCGTCCTCCTGAGCGGGGATCCACAGACAAACGAGTTATTGTCCGTCCTCCTGAGCCTGGATCCACCAATGGGAAAGTTATTGTACATCTTCCTGAGCGGGGATCCACTGAAGGGCAAGTTATTGTCCGTACTCCTTAGCGAGGGATCCACCAATGGGCAAGTTATTGTACCCGGATTTTTTTTGTCTGCTCTACGTATGCTATAAAAACCTACTTAGGGGTTTCTGAAATATGTGCAGATTTCCATTACATGAACTTATATGGTACCTTAATTTATACCATTAACTATAAGATGTGCAATAAATTATAGGTTGATGGCATTATAGAATGAACCTTTAATTTGTTTCCCCTCAAATCTACACATTTTAAAGAAACACTATAGCGTTAGGAAGACAAATGTGTATTCCTAACACTGTAGTCCCACAGTCACTGTTTAGGTGACCAGGCCCCTGCTGCACAGCGTAAAATTTGAGTTTACTTACCTTTTTTCCCTCACAGGGCTGTTCTCCAGCGTGCCAACCCACCTCTGACTGAGATCATGAAGATCGATGATCACAGTCAATCCAATACTTTCCAACAGGAAATTATTAGGAGGCTAATGTGCATGCATGGCAAAACAGCACATTGTAACAAGCAGATGGTTTCTAGGAGACCATTTGTTTGAAATAGTGGAGTTTTACTGCACTGTTTCAGCAGAAGTGCATCTAGTGGCTGTCAGCATGTGGTCAGCTGCAGGGTTAATATGGGAGAGTCATGGCATCCAGACCACATATATGTTTACATTATAGAACTGTTATCACTTTTTTATACAAATAATCCATTTAAATACAACAGTACGTTTACGTAAAACAGTACGTAAAAAAGTGAAATATAGTTTTTTGGGTTTTTTTTGTAAAAATAATGAACTGTAAGCTGAATATGGGCATCATTTTTGATTGAACCATGTAATTGCTCTTAAATCAATGTATCACCTGATCTTTGCCTCTTCAAGACATCACTCAATCCTAGGAGATTGTGATGTAAAACCAACAGAAAGACTACTGCAGCAAGGAGTAGAATAATGATATTGACTGCAAAAAAAAAAAAAGTCAAATCGAACATTAAGCACAAATCTAACAATATATACTATAAATTAACAAATTCACCTTTTCGAAATAGCATGGTTTCATGTATTCAGGATTACCTGCAAAAATAGAATTGTTTGAATAATTATTTTTCAAAAAAATGTATATATAGAATATGATGCCTTATAAAACATATGTAACCAATAAACAAGGATCCCTTATAAGCAACATTCAATTTCCTTGATGACCACTATAGGCACCCAGACCACTTCAGCTTAATGAAGTAGTCTGGGTGCCAGGTCCATCTAGGGTTAACCCTGCCTGCTGTAAACATAGCAGTTTCAGAGAAACGGTTATGTTTACATATGGGTTAATCCAGCCTCTAGTGGCTCTCTCACTGACAGCCGCTAGAGGTGCTTCCGCGCATCTCACAGTGAGAAGATGCCAGCGTCCATAGGAAAGCATTGAGAAATGCTTTCCTATGGACTGGCTGAATGCGCGCGCGGCTCTTGCCGCACATGCTCATTCAGCCAATGACGTCGAAAGGAGGAGGAGAGTTCCCAGTGCCGGAGAAAGGTGAGTGTTTAACCTCTTCCTCACACTGCAGCCTGGCGGGAGGGGTGGACCTATTAACATTATAGTGCCAGGAAAACGAGTATGTTTAACTGGCACTATAGTGGTCCTTTAAAATATTAATGAAACTAGTGATATTCTTAAAGATGGACGCCCCGCCTCCTCTAGCTGAGATCATCAGTCCTGATAATGTCAGCCAACCCAATGCTTCCCCATAGGAAAGTACTGGGAGGCTAGTGTACATGTGAATCAAATTGCAACACTGCACCAGTGAGGATCTACTCATAGAGATGCTTTGGGTCTTGTTGGTCCTGCAATCTTTGCAAGACGAAAACCCAGGATGTCGCTCTAATGGCTTTCCAAATGAGGTAGCCTTAGGCATCTTAGACATTTCTAAGAAAAGGCAGTGTTTACACTACTGAGGCTGCAGCCTGCAGGGACAGTTCCTATGGCCCAGAACCACTACATGAAAGGATTATAGCATTAGGAATACAAACGTGTTCTAAATGGAAAACAATATGGTAAAATAGAAAAACTATGACTTTAGCGGATTTGGAGAATTCCTCCAAATCGTGTGTTTGCCAAGTGTTGGCCATTTGGATTTCAATTTGCAACTGAGTTTAGTGAATTACCTTGCTTGTGTAATGTGGAAAAACCTAAGGGTGACTTACATTGAGGTTTGCAAATCTCAACTGAGAAAAAAGAAAAAAAAAAAAGGGGTAAAGCCACATTTGATTAATTATTCCACAAACTCAACCCACGAACTGAAATCTGAATGATCCAGCTGATCTGGAAAAATTCTCCAGATAAATTATATAGTCACAGCTTGCGGTAAATTAGCCTAAATTGTCATTTTTGCATTTTAATATTCCTACCTGTCAGAGATTTGTGAATAACTCCAATATTACATCGTGTATTCTAGATCTTAGGTTGAGCTGCTACCGATTTATTATTATTATTATTATTATTATAACAGCAATGTAACCACTTATAAAACATGACTCACATTGAAACTAACAATAATAATGTTAATAATAATAATTACAGTAACAGTAAGGCTGGCATTGATAGCAATACACACACCGCTGTTAGGACTGGTTTCAGACTGTAACACAGTATAATAGTAATGAGAGCACTGAATAATGCCATTAATGATAGTCACTTACTTTATTCCAGTTATAGAAGACTTGATTCCCGAGCTGCCCGATACAGAGCCCACTGCTGCCGATCGCCAACTCAACACCACTCGGGGGGATGCGAGGGGCCACGGATCCAGCTGTCACGTGACGTGCCCACACTGGTGCCGCGGCCGCCATCTTGGTTAAGGGCACAGACTATTCCCCCCACGAACCCCCGAAATATTGATCGCCTGAAAACGCTAGAAAACCAAACATATCCGCTCCGTCGGTTCCTGTTCATAGAGCACATTGGAGCCGCAACTGTACCAGAGGGAGTGATCATAATACCCCTGCCCTTAACAAAAATGTCCCATCAATAACACCTCCCCGCCTGAGGACCCCTGCTCGGTAGCTCTTACCCCACGCCAGACATGGACTACATCTCCCATGATGCGCTGCCACTATGATCAGTGTAAAGCATTCAGGGGGATGTGGTGTCACTGAGGTAACTGCCGCCGAGGCCCGGAGTAGTGGAGGCTCCCGGCAGGCGCGCTGAGGGCAGCCTCGCGGGGTCCTTCACGCTGAACGCTGACGTTGCCCCGAGTGTCCGGTGAGAGAGTGAGAGCGGCAGCAGCCATGTTCCGGTTACTCGATGCCATCCCGACCCAGATGGTGAGACCGCATGGAGGAGGGGGAGAGAGACAGGCTGGTGAGACCGCATGGAGGAGGGGGAGAGAGACAGGCTGGGGGAGAGGATGGAGGATGAGACAGGCTGGGGGAGAGGATGGGG